ACCTGGCAGCAGTGAGCCTTCAATACTTCACAGGATAGCCTCAAAGTGCACCTAGCCTGGCACAAACACTTTGGTGATGTCACTTGTCACTTAGTGGCAAGTGGATGCTACTTGTTATTGTGCCCGTGTGCCCAGTGTATACGGGTGCATGTGTGTGAGTGTATTACCACCCTGATGTGCATAGTCGAGATGCAGTTTGCCACTAAATGGTTAATTCTAATGATCACAATTCAAATTAATGAACGGCCTCCACCAGTATGAGTGGGTATTTCCAGGCTATTTATGATGGCGATACAGTAATTATTAATCCGGTGAAATCGGAACATGCGGGCAGGTCACCTCCCTTGTGTGCGCATGCGTGTACCTGTGTGTGTACGTGTAGGAATCAGTATTGTAGTGCTATGTACCCGGCGACCCGAGTTCGATTCCCGCACACGACTAACACCAGTAACAATTATCTGAAACGGTCCTGGCCTGCCTTCCATAGGTCGGCTCAGCCTCAAATAAGTATCTGGAGCAACATGTAAACGTCGCCACTAGGGAGACAAAGGCGGCCGGGCGTGATATTGGTCACTCACCCCCTTGTGTGCCGTCGCAGCCTTCATAGGTGCTTGCTAACTGCACTTGCCCCAACAGTCTGTTCAGGCTATACGGGGGATATTTGCATTTGTATCTATATATTCGTTTGTGCCGTGTGTGAGTGAGGCTCTGCATGAGTGGAATGATGCGCTGGTGGTCCCCTGTTTTAAGAAGGTGGACTGCACCGACTACAACAACTATCAGGGCACCTCTCCTTAATGTACTGAGAAAGGTCCTGGCAAGGTCTATTTAACATCGTTTTACCAGGCCCACTTAGAAATTGGAGGAATTCCAATGTGGCTTCAGGCCGGTGTAGTCTTGCATGGATGCCATATTCTCTATCCATCTGCTCCAGTAAGGGTTTAGGGAATTTCAACAGCACCTACACCTCTTGCTTGTTTGACCTGGTAAATTCCTACGATGCCATCAAGAGGCCAGGGCCTTGGGTTATCCTTGTTTTTGGCGTTCTTGACTCTCTGTTCACAATCTTCAAGAACTTTCAAGATGGGTGGGTAGGTCGGGTAAAGCTGCATGGCCTGGAGTAGGAGCCTTTTCCTGTTCACCTTGGGGGTGGAGCAGGGATGTCCTCTTTTTCCCCGAGACTTGGCTTTTTTTTTACCCGTAGCTTGAGAAGTTTCCCATGGCTGTACCACAGGAACTTAGAACTTTGTGAAGGAATGGCTCCTTACTGATCAACCTTGTTACGCGTGCCAATAATATGGTAATTGTCGCTTACTCTCAGAAGGAGTTTCCGCTAATAGCTGGTTGCCTTACCATCAGCCCTACTAAAGCAAGGCACCTGTCTGGATAATTCGTGTCATCGATACTCCACTACCTCAGCTCCCCATGAGCACTGGGGCAGTTGTGGATAGTGTGAAGTACCCCATACTTGGGCAGAGTGTGCTCATGCTCAAGCTCCTGTTTGGCGACAGCAGAGGTTTCGCTTCAAATCGGTTGAGCAATTATTATATATTTATTGTCTGCTTAACGCTGCATGAATGCTGCCAGCATTGTAGTTCCACATGTAGTTCCGGTTCTGTTCAGCTACAGTTATGCCCACTGTTCTCTTTGTTTGCGAAATGCGGACCGTTTTACAGGAAAACCTGAACAGTTGTCCCTTGGTTAACGATATGAATCTATGAAAACCATCGTTCATTGAAGTTATTGTTAATATCGAAAAAAGGAAACGCATGTTAAAGGCTTAGTCTGTTCGAAGACGATCGGAAGTTGACCTTTTTCACTTTTAAAAACATGGTTTATAAAATTTAAACATGCAATTTTAAGAAATAAACGTTAAAGGAGCATAGTAAAGCATGAATATGAACAGAAACATGGATAAATAATGAATAAACAGAGCATAACATTTAATTATTACCTTGAGCTAAGAATATAGATGGCTTAAGCGAGCCATTTGTCCTCAAAACGCTCCTAAAAGGGCGTCATTGGTTGGCTGAGGTCTGCTGAGTCCACTTAGGAGCACTCTAATTGGCCGAAATTGGCAGCCGCGTGATATCGTAAAAATCGTTAATCGAAAATGTCTCGTTAATGGTAACAATGGGACCCTATGGGAGGCAGATCATTAATCGAAATATCGTGTATTGATGGCATCGTAAACCGAAGGACCACCTGCACTGGCTTGAAAAATGTATGATGGTTTGCCTACGATCCATCCATGGTTTAACTAGACTGGATTGTGTGAGCATCTCAGATCCTTGAAATGTCCGGATATAGTCTGATGAGTCGGCTAATTTGACAGGCAAAGTTGCGTTGGCTGGGTCATGTAACTTTCCTGCCCAACCACTGTATGCCCCAGCAGCCAAATCGTCACGATACTGGCTCGAGAGGCCATGGATTGGTGTGGTATGGGTAAGAATTGGAGCTGAGTAGACCTGCCAATGACTGGTGCCAGCGGATGTCAGGATCGACCTCTGTGGAGGAGGCTCATGAAGGATGCTGCTCTGGGCAGTGATAGGCGAGGTGTACTTTGAGGTTATTGGGCAGTTGGAGACAGTAGCCCTCCTGCAGCAACAGAAGGAGGAGTGACCCTCAACACGAATGGAGTCTCGGGTGGCCAACATGGAGAAAGGCAGCAACAGTGGGTAGCACAGGTGGTGCAACTGGCAGTCATCTCAGTCGGTCAAAACCATAACACGTGGGTTTGTCCAGTGACCTCCCGCCGGCAAGCCTGACGACACACTTCGCGTGGCTTGAAAATGTACCTGCCCTGGCACAGCCGCGGTGGTGACGTTACCGCCACTTAGTCGTGAATGGCGACTTGTTATTGTGTGTGTAAATGTGTGTTCAAGAGCGTGTGTGTGTGTGTGTGTACTGTGTACAGACTTGTTTGGTACAGTGCAGCCACGATTGTTAACTTCCGTGTGCAGCTAAATGTGGGTAGCCTCAGTTGTGGGGGAGCACGACGCGTGCCTGCTCCCCCCCTGTCGTGCACAAATCTTGCACACTCATACCTGTACACACACGTAGCACAATGACGAAAATCCCTCTTATAGCATTCACAGACTTTTGGGGCAAGTGATGTAAGCGAGCAGCTATGAAGGCCGGCATGCTACGTGAGGGGGTGGATGGGCAGCACCACGCCCGACCGTCTTTGTTTCCTCAGTGGCCAATTTTACACACCACACTGGGTAGTCCATTTAGGACTGAGTCGACCTCGGGAAAGCCCAGAACTGCTTTAGATAATCGTCACTGGTGTTGGCCATGAGCAGGAATCGAACTCGGATCGCCAGGTTCATAGTGCAGGGTGATAACTGCTACACTACCTCTCCCCACACACGTACACACCTCAGAATACACATACACACATGTACCACATACACATGGTTCACAGTAGGGCTGAACGATTTGGGGAAAATATCTAATTGCGATTTTTCTGACAGATATTGCGGTTTGATTTGCGATTAAATTTTTTGAAGTCAAGCTTCAGTTCAATATTCACTGCGTGATAGATTTATAAACACGTTATTGAGCATTACCACACGATACCATCAACATATGAACTGCTCTATGTATTACAATGCAAGGATGAGAACTTAAAATATATGAATTGCTTCCAACATGTATTTATTAAAATGTTTTAATTGAAATAGAACAATCAAACATAGAACAATTGTTAAGTTAAATAAAAAAAGTTATAATAATAAAAAATAAAACAATTCCAATCAGAAAGTAATCGGACTTTTCAAATCGCAAAAAAAATCGCAGCCTTTGCGATTTGCTAATCGCATTATTTCAAATTTCGATTTGAAATCGATTAATCGTTCAGCCCTAGTTCACACACACACCTTAATTACACACCACACAGTCACTTATACACAAAGACTTAAATGTCCCATTTAGTCTTATTGATCATAGGGACAAGTACTGTTAGTGAGCACCTATCAAGTCTGGCTGAGTACAGTAGGTTTTGGCGTGGCCAGAATCACAACCAATCACCTTTGTCTTCCTTGTACTGATGTTGACATACAACACTATATACTTATTTAAGGCTGAGTCGACACGATTTATCATTGAAACTGCGCGTCTTGACTTGGGGTTGAACATGTACACCTATACAGCGGTAGCTGAAATTACACGCAATGCACACTTTCAGGTTCTTATATGTGACCCTTATGTGGCCTGTGTCACTTTCATATGTCCTCTTTCCCTGGATCTCCCTGTTGCTTGGTCCCTCTTGGGGACATCCATTTAGTACGTACGCATGCACGGGGAGGGGGGTTAACCCAAATGCGTACGCTTGCGTATGGGGGGTCTACTGACAATGTGCGTACGCATAGGAAACGAGGGGGGGGGAGTGAAGCCTCGATAATAATTTGTCTACATTGGCCTTCAAATGAGTTTGATAGTCCGGCGGTGGACTATCTGTTTGCTTAAACACGTTAATATTATTAAGCCTTGATCGTTTCTGCGTGGATTAAATATCGCCCGTTCTATAGGATTCGGGGGGTGCGTCAGGCGTACGTACGCAGGTGGGGGCGGGGGGTGTAAAAAGTCCGCGTGCGTACAGGGAGGGGTCAAGTTTTAACAGATTTTTGCGTACATACTAAATGGATGGCCCCTTTCCTCGTGTCACTCCATGCCCGTCTCTGTGTGTGCCCGTATCCCATGTTGTGTGCACACGTGTCTCCCCCCCCCCCCCCGAGTGCCCCATTGCTCCCCGTGTGTTCCGTCTATGTGCGCTTGTGACCCGAGTGACTGCGTGTGTGTGTCCTGCGTGACCCCATGTCCCGTGTGTTGTGTGTCTCGTGTCCCAACGTCCCCTGTATCCCCTGTCCCGTATCCCTGCAGATCTCCCACGTTCTCTGCATCTCCAGTACATCTCCTTGTCACGTGTGTTTTTCCGTGTCCTTCGCGCCCTGCGTCTCATGTCCGGTGTTTCCCATGGTCCCCGTTTCTCCTGGCAGCATGAGTAGGGAGGTGTTGCTGCAGGATCTGCTCATGAAGAGGTCCCAGCAGCGGAAAATCACGAGTCCCTGCAACTTCAAGGAGCGCGTGTTCATTCTCACCAGCGATCGGATCTCCTACTACGAGGGCACGCTGGAGGTGCCGCTCCGCGCCCCGCTCACCCCCAGCACCCGCCACCACTCGCCAGCACTCACTGACACTTGATAAAGATTGCCACCACTTACCAACAATCACCTGCCTCAAAACTCACCAACACGTGCGTGGAGTAAAAAAACACACGGAATAAAATGCAACAACACTCCAGCACTCAAAAACACGTTTAATCACTGACACTCGCTCAACAGCACGAACACTTTCCACACTAAGAAACTTACATGTAACGAAGACAATTATCCCCCATGTAGCGTTAGATTACTGTTGGGGCGATTTCGGCTTCGTGATCACCGATAAAGGCCTGCGTGGTACACATCGGGGGTAGTGTGGTCAGCACTGCGCCCGGCCGCGTTTGTTTCCCCAGTGCTGAATTCTTTTGTTACACACACTACACCAGATACAAGTTTTTTGTTGCTGATTCGACCCAGGCGAGGCCCATGACCAGTTCAGATATTTTCCAATGATGTTAGCAGTAGCTGCAAATCAAACCTTAGTTCACCGGGTTTTGTAGCGCACACTGCGCTAACTACTGCACTATGCCACCACTTCCTACTCACACGCGCAACAAACAAGCTCACTCGCACCCATCGCAATGGCTCGGTGGATGTGTGTGATGTGCGGAGAGCGGTAGCGTCGTGGTTAGGGCACCGTGCTACAAACCCGGCAATCCAAGATCGATTCCCAATTGCGACCAGTATCAGTGGCGAATATCTAAACTGTTGCTCTGCTTCCACGAGGTCGACTCGGCCTTAAATAAGTCCCTGGTGTGGAGTGTATAAAACATCAGTACTGGGAGACAAAGGTGGCCGGCTATAGTGCTAGCCACTCACTCTCTCATGTGCCGTTCCAACCTCCATAGGTACTCGCTAACAGCACTTGTCCCGACAGTCTGTTAAATACAATACAGGGGGGATCTTTGTCTTTATCTTTGTGGATTTAAGCAAAGTAAGGTTGGGGAGGGGAATTTTCACACAAATCTCAAGTTTGTGTGGGAGGATGCATTGTCCACCTGGAATCAAGGGCTGTTATCGTCTTCGCTCACTAAAGAATGTGCATGCAGACCGTAGAACCTTGACACTCGGTGGGGGGGTGGGTGGTAGTCGTGCGACAACGCATGCAGGCCACGTGAGCATGCAGGTATTCACGGTGCCAGATGGACAGACAGATACATCCTCCATGTAGGTATTTCGTGCTGCAGATAAACACTTTGATTCATAGAGCAATGCACATGCGCAGATGTCTGAGACGGGTTTGGCAGCAGAGTTGTTGCCCTGGATCAGTCGAGCGGCTTTATCATTTCATCGCCTGCTCAACGCTGTGAGGAAGCACCCTTACCTCTTGCTCCACAAGAAGCTCCAGGTCTTCTCATCCATAGTTATGCCCTCCCTTCTGTATGCTTGCAAAACATGGGCAGTCTTTTCAGGAACACTTTCCCCCGCTTGAAACATACAGGCTGGCCTTTATACGAGTCACCCTGCGTATAAGGAGCGCACAGATCATTGTGAGGCGCTCACAGATCATTGAACCGATATGGACACAGTACCACCCGTGAGTTCCTCCGCCAGACAAGGCTGAATTGGCTGGGTCGTGTATCCCACATGGCCAGCCACCACATACCCAAGTAGCGATGGGGGGGCTAAACGGGCGCAGCACAGGTTAGAGAAGAGATAGGCTTTGGTACAGGAGAATTTGGAGGTGAGTGGACCTGCCAATGATCAGTACCAGCAATGTCAAGATCGGTCTCTGTGGAACAGGCTCATAAAGGATGCGACTAGGCAGTTTGAGCTTGGCCTGTGACTTCCTGTCAGTGTCCCTAGCCTGTCACTGCTATTTGGTAGAAGATGGTATTTGTTGTTCATGTAGTATTCGACAACAGGACCCTGCAGGGTGGGCTGGTAGGAATAATACTAATGCCGGTACAGGGATATCGACCGGGTATAGAGGAGTTATAAAGAAAATTATTTGTGCATGGGGGGTGAGCGATGACGTCCACACCCCCCTCCCCACTGACTCGCGCGCCCTAGAGCAAGGATTGCAACAGGCGATGTCATTGGCTGCGCCGGATGCGACGGCCATCTTGTTTAGTTCATTTAGTTCACGGATCGCAAGGGGAGCGGGCGGCCATCTTGTCGGACAGACGGACGGCCTCGCAAAGCCTGTCGCAGTAGGCCTCGCGAAGCCTCCTGCACTAGGCCTTGCGAAGCCTCCTGCAGTAGGCCTCGCGAAGCCTTCTGCACTAGGCCTCGCGAAGCCTTCTCTGCAGTAGGCCTCGCGAAGCCTTCTCTGCAGTAGGCCTCGCGATGCCTTCTCTGCAGTAGGCCTCGCGAAGCCTGCCGCACTAGGCCTCACGAAGCCTGCTTGCACTAGGCCTCGCGAAGCCTTCTCTGCAGTAGGCCTCGCGATGCCTTTTCTGCAGTAGGGTTCGCAAAGCCTGCCGCACTAGGCCTCGCGAAGCCTGCCGCACTAGGCCTCGCGCTGTGCTTTTCGTGCACAAATAAGGCGATTAAATGTATCTCGTCTCTGTGTTAATAAATGTATCTTGTCTCTGTGTTAAAAAAACGTGCTGCGTTTCAGTAAAGTAAATTTGAAGCGAAGTTTAAAGTTTCACCGTGAGGCGCCGGAAGCGACGGCCATCTTGTTTCGTTCACAGATCGCAGGGGGAGCGGGTGGCCATCTTGTCGGACAGACGGACGGACGGACACATTAATCTATTGGTGGTCTGGTCCACTTCGTTCCTACCAGTATAATGTTATCTGTAATGTGGTGTGGTGGTTGATGTAGTGTGGGGTGATGTGGCTTGTTGGGATAGATGATATAGTGTGGTGTGGTTCGTAAGCGTAGGATGGGGTGCTGTGGTGATTGAGGTGTGTGTTAGTCGGTGATGTATTAGGTTGTGATATATTATATGGTGTGTGGTAGTTATTGATGTGGTGTGGTGAGTATTCTGGCGAGTGGTGTGGTTAGTGATGTGATGAGTCGTGTGTTTGGTTTGCTGAGTGCTGTAGTATGTGTTGGTGTGGTGAGTGATGTGGTGCATTGGTGTGGTGTGCGCACAGAGACTGGGCTCACGGAAGGGTGTGGTGGAGTTGAATAAGGTGCAGTGCGTAGCGAGCATCACCACGTGCTCCGAGGGGGGCACACCCGGGAATGGCTGGTACCCCTTCCAGGTAACCCTTCCACACACACACACACGTGTACCATGTGCAGCACACACACATGTACCATGTGCAGCACACACATGCAGGTGTACTGTGTGCAGTGCACACACGTGTACCGCATGCAGCACAAAGACAAAGATCCCCGTATAGCCTTAACAGACTATTGGGGCAAGTGCTGTTAGCAAGCACCTATGCAGGCTTGCATGGCACATGGCATGAGACACGAGTGGGTAGGTGTCCAGCACCACGCCCGGCCGCCTTTGTCTCCCTAGTAGCGATGTTTGCACGCCGGACTAGGTACTCAGGAGCGTTTCAGATAATAGTCAGTGGTGTTGGCTGTGAGTGGGAATCGAACTCGGGTCGATGGGTTCGTAGTGCTCCCCAGACACATACACACGCACACACGTGTACCATGTCCTACTGCTGTGACTCCTGGCGCAGGTCGTGCACGAGGAGGCGACTCTCTACATCTTCACTCTTCAATGAGTCGGTGCGGAACAAGTGGGTCAACACGCTCAAGGATGGTGAGGGGGGCACAGGGAAATACTGGTGGGGGCTCGGGAAGGTATGGGGAGATGCATGGAACCACATGGAGCAATGGGGAGTTGATTGGAGAAATGGGAAGACAGAAGGAGGCATGGAGAGTTGATATCCTGCACCTTCGATTAGCACTGTTGGTTTCATACAGTGGAAAAGAAGTTCAATCATTCATACATACATTGGAAAAAACACAGCGAGACATGGAGGCATGAGGACTAACATGGACATATGGGGATACGCAGGGTACCACCAAGGGGAGTTGTTTAGGTGAAATGGGGAGACACGTGGAGGCATGATGAGCGGAATATAGGTACAGGGAGACACTGGGAGGCATGGCAGGAGAATGGGAGTAGGAGGAGACACAGGAACACATGGGAGATACAATAGCACTCAAAAGGTCACATGGGGGCATATATTGGGCACTGGGTGGCACTCGCCTTAGTTTTTGGTCCTGTGCCAGTGGTGCAAATTCCACATTCCCACGATGGGACCCAGTCTCATTAACTTGAACTCTTCAACAAAAGCCGCCGTATCTGTCCCCCACCTGTTCCCACGCAGTTACGAGACAGAACCAGTACCTGCTGTCCAAGTTCCACCCCAGCCTGTGGGGCAACACAAAGTGGCCCTGCTGTGGCCAACCCGACAAGAAGGCCATCGGCTGCGTGGTGTACACACACCACTCTGACGGTGCGTGGTGGTGCATGGTGCAGGTGTTGGTTAGATTATGTATATAGTGGGGAGTGGTGGCACGGTGGTTGGCGTGCTGTGCTATGAACCTAGTAACGCGAGTTCGATTCCAGCTCACGCCCACCAACACCAGTGACAATTATCTGAACTGGTCCTGGGCCTCCCCTAGGTCGACTCGGCCTCAAATGAGTACCTGGTGCAGCATGTAAACATCGCTACAAGGGAGACAAAGGCGGCCAGGCGTGATGCTGGTCACCCACCCCCTCGTGTGCTGTGCCAGCCTTCATTAGCGCTCGCTTACAAGCATTTGCCACAACAGTTTGTTGAAGGCTATATGAGGGATTTGTCTCTTTCTTTTGGTGTGTGGTGTACACATCACCATGTGGGCAATGTTTGGTTGTATGGTGGTAGTGGATCGTGTGCGATGATGTGTGGTTGTGCTGGTAGTGGTGGTGTGGTTGTCGTGATTGCAGTGGTTACTGTGTGCTTGTCGTAATTACTATGTTACGTTTGTCCTTCCTGCTGTCTCTCTTTGTGCAGTCAAATCTTTGATATACCAGAAACCCCTGCCACCAATTCCGGACTGAAGAGCAAAACACTGGATCAGGTACACATACAAAAACACGTACATTCATTTACACATATGCATTTTACCATCAACAACAACAGCCGCTAATCCCCACTAAGTGGTAGTGATGCCACCGGAGTGCTTGTGCCAGGCTAGGTGTACTTTAAGGCCACGTGAATTGCAGAAGGCTCGGTGCTGGCAGGTCACAGGACAGACCTAGGTGCCATGGGTTGACTGACCGAGATGACTGGCAGATATACCACCTGTGCTACTGCACTTTGCCAGCTTGTTGCGTTTTGGCCGCCCGGCACTCCGTTCTATACCACGACTGTCGCTTCTACTGCCCTCCGTTGCTGCCTGGATCCCAACTGCCCAGTCACGTCCTTCACAAGCCTCCTCCACAGGGGCCGATGTTGACACTGTTGATATCAGACAGCTGGCAAGTCCAATTTGCTCCAATCCTTCTATACCACATTGGTCCATCTCTTCTCCAGCCCGTGCTGCGTCCATTTAGTCCCCTGGCCAAATATAAGCAGCTTGAGCATGAGGTGGATGGGTATTCGGGAGCTACATGACCCAGCCAGCACCTACCAGAGGAGCTTCACCTGCCGGAGGATCTCACCAATGGGACTGTGTCTGTATATCTTTAAACGACCATGTAAATGCATAAAATGTACACACGAGGGGGCTGTATGCACGGCAGTGTTCAAATAAGAACAATCCAGTTTTTAAATGCATGGCTACCTCGTTCATGAATAAATGAAGTAGAATATTCACTGTATAAATCTTGTAGCGGTTTTGTCATTTGTAAACTCTCTTCCCATTCCTATAATGTTTCCACTCGAGATTTGGGATTACAGTAATCGTTTAACTGCTGTTGATGCGTTCCTGTATAGTGCCGCGTGAAGAGAAAAACACTTTAAGCGGAAACAGTATGCCCATAAATAATGTAACGATACAGTTTGGTGAGATACGATGTACGCACACACAGTAATATGGCGGGGACAAATTACTGCCTTACTGTATCATACCTCTCAGCCACGCAGTTCAAGAAAGTAGTTCGTCGTCAACCACTCAGAAACTGCGTGATAACGGGCATGTTCCGCGTTACATATGGGTGCATTCTGCATCTTGCCAAAGTGTTCCCTGGTGGAAGAACCGCGTTATAGCGAAAATGCGTTGTTTCAACACTGCGTTAAGCGAGGGCTTACCGTAGTTTTGGTAAAATGTGTAAAAATCCACGAACTTTGGTTGTGGTGGGGATACAAATTTTGCCCAAATCTCCCCATGTCTCTCCACATCTTCCCTTGTCTCCCCGTGTCTCTGTCGGCACAGGATGTCTGCTGGGCGTCCCCCATGCGCCGCCTCCCGCCCCCGCCACCCCCAGTGGAGGAGCCCTCCCATCAGCTTGTGGCGCTTTTTGACTTTGGAGGGCTGGAGCCGCACGACCTCCCGCTTATGCGGGGGTCGTTCTATGAACTCGTGGACAACCACGATCCCCACTGGTGGAAGGCACGCAACGAACACGGGTACGGGGGCATATACGGGGGGGGGGGGGGGGGGCACGGTGGGATGTGGAGGAGGCAAGGAGAAAAAGAGGGAGATGCGAGGAGACACTGGGAGCCACGATGGGTGTAGAGGCAACACGGGGAGATGCAGAGAGGCACGAGAGATGTCAGGTGGTGGCACGATTGTGACGAGCATGAGGATGGGAACACACAGGGGTCACGGAGACTCGTAGGGAGACACGGAGCGGAATAATGGGGACATAGGTGGACATGGGGAGATACACACTGATAGCATGTGTGTGACCAGTATGGGTACAGGGACAGAAAGATAACACACAGGTATTGCTCTCGCGGATGAACAGAAACAACTCACTCCTAACCTTAATGCTCGCTCTAACCCCAGCTCAAACCCTAACCCTGATATATGACTGATAGATTGCCATGGTGGTGAGATGTTAAATACCTTTCCTGGTATGCAGGAGGTCGTGGGTTCGATCCAGACCCTGACGTCTGTATATTTGGAGTTTGCGTGTTCTCCCTCCTTGTGGTCGTGCGGATTTTTCTCCGAGTCCTCCTTTTTAATTCCCTATAGTATTTGGCTACTATGAAATTCCACATGATAAGCCACTTCATTGAGCTATGTGGTACGGTGTGTAAACATCATCACTGGGGAGACGAAGGCGGCCAGGCGTGGTGATGGCCACCCACCTCATGTGCCGTGCTGGCCTTCATTGGTGCTCCCTAACAGCGATTTGCCCCAACAGTCTGATAAAGACTTATACGGGAGATATTTATCTTTGTGTGCACATTTGTGTGTGTGTGCATGCATGCAGGCAGGAGGGGTACGTACCGAGCAGCTACGTAAGCATCGTGACCGGGAACATCGTGCAGGAATCTGAGTGAGTCGCTTGCCCCTTTAAAAATACTCCTTCACACGCTACACCAGCGGTCAGCAACCAAAATAACAAGAACAGCCATGTTTCGAATTCGGTAAAGAAATTCAACATTTCAAGGGCTGCAATGCATGTGAATATGAGACAGTCCTTCCCACCCGCACCTCCAATTAGCACGGTTGGCTTCATATGGTGCAACATAAGATTAAGATACATACGGTCCTTCATAAATAACGTCACGCAGTAGTCATTAAAGAGCCACATGCGGCTCAGGAGCCGCAGGTTGCCAACCACACACCCTGACAAAAAAGCTCACCAAAACATATACACACTCAGATATACAACAACAGCCAGCGTTTTCTAAGTAGCGGTGACATTACAATGGAACTTGTGCCAGGCTAGGTGCACGTGGAGGCCACGTGAATTGCGGATGGTTCACTGCTGGCAGGAAGTCACGAGACAGACCCAGGTGCTTTGGGTTGACTGACTGAGACGATTGGCAGATGTATCACGTGTGCTCCCCTACGATACCAGCTTGCTATATCTTATCCACCCGGCTGTTCATCTGTTGTTGTGAGCATCGCTCCTCTGCTGCCCGTTGTTGTTGAAGGGCGACTACTTCCAGCTGCCCAGTAGCGTCCATCACGAGCATCCTCCACAGAGCCCAATCTTGATACCGCTAATACCAGTCAGCGGCAACTCCAATCGGCTCCAAGTCTTCCTGTACCATATAAGCCCATCTCAGATATACCAAGACACAAACCGACACATACCGATAAGGACACACACACCCGTGTGCTGTGTGTAACAAGTATTGTCGGGGTGTGTGGTGTGTGTCTAACATGTTGTAGGTGTGTGTGGTGAGTGTGGAATAGGTATTATAGGTGTGTGTGTGGTATGTGTGTAACAGGTATTATAACAGTGTGGTGTGTGTCTAATCAATTCTATAGGTGTTCATGGTGTGTAGCGTATGTATGTTGAACTTCTTTTGCACCGTACAAAGCCAACAGGTACTATATAGGTGTGCACGGTGTGTGTGTGTGTAACAGGTGGTTTTGTAAAGACGTCACGAGAGTCCGCGCTGAACAGCTTTTAAAACAACAGGTAACAGCACACACCACGCCCACAACATGTCGTGACACTACACCGCTTCACTATATTAGCACCGCACTGGGTCAACCACATTCCACCAAACCATCCCAACCTCGTCACATGACAATGCGATCATTTTCCGATGGTTCTAGGACTGATCCGATTATGGTTTATGAATCGTCTGTGACCGTCGTTTGAACCACATGCCGTGTGTCGGTGACCGTGCCGTGGCTGCGGTGGTGTTGTGCAGGGTAAGGACGGGGGCTACATGGTGAGAGACTCGAGTCAACCGGGCAAGTTCACCGTGTCCGTGTTCACCACCAAGCCCACGTACGTGTCTCGGTGTCCCTGGGTCCCAATGTCCCCGTGTCTTTCTGTCTCCGTGTCCCCCTGTTCTTTTGTGTCTCTTGTCTCCGTGTCCCAGTCTCCCTGTCCTCCGTGTTCCCGCGTCTCTCTGTATCTCAGCATATCTATCCGTGTGTCGCCATGTTTTCCCTTGTCTCTGTCCCTGGATATTGGTGTCACCATGTCCCCGCGTTGAGCCCGTGTCTCCTCTCTGTCTCCTGTCATCCCCGTGTGTCTCCAGGGAGACGATTAAGCATTACCACATCAAGGAGAACGTCCAGGGTCAGTTCTTCCTGGCAGAGAAGCACGTGTTCTCCAGCATCCCAGAACTCATCATGTACCACCAACACAATGCCGCGGGTACGGGGGAACACATGGGAACACGGGGACTCGGGTGAACACACGGGGAAAGCACAAGGACACGGGCACACATTGGGACACACACACATAGGAACACACAGAGACGCAGGGATATAAGGGAACATACGGGGCCATGGGGGAACTCACGGGAACACACAGGAACACACGGAGACACAAACGGTGACATGGCGGGGACATACGGGGAGTCACAGGGACATGCATGGATACACAGCAACATGGGAGGCACACAGAGACAAGATGGCATCAACTAGGGGCTACGGGGGCACAAGGGGATTCATTGGGATGCAGGACACTAGGACATACGAAGACATGGAGATACATATCGGGACACATAGAGACTTGCACAAGTATTGTAAGTGTGTGTGTAAATATCTGTTGTAGCGGTAGTGCAGCGGTTAGCACGCTGGTTAGCACGCTGCACTATGAACACAGCTAATTGTGTTTGATTCTCGCTCATGGCCAACACCAGTGACGATTATCTGAATCGGTTCTGGGCCTCCCCTAGGGCGCCTCCGACTCAAATGAGTACCTGGAGCGGTATGTAAATGTCGCCACAAGGGAGATAAAGGCGGTCGGACGTGGCACTGCTGGTCACCCACCCCTCATGTACTGTGCCGGCCCTTATAGGTGCTCAATAATAGCACTTGCCCCACCAGTCTGTTCAGGTTATATGGGGAATATTTGTTTTTGTCTTTTGTCGGAGCAAAAGTGTAGTGTTTAGCACAATACGCTACGAACCCAGCAAGCAAAGTTCGGTTCCCGCTCAATGCCAACACCAGTAGTGAATATATGAACCAAGCAATGGGGAGACAAAGGCGGCTGAGAATGGTACAGGCTACCCTACCACCTTGTGCACTGTGCTGGCTTCAGAGGTGGTGTAGCTGCGACCACCTATTCAGGCCAGCACAGTGCATGAGGTAGTGGTGAGCCGGCCTGAGTAGGTGCTCGCTAATAGCACGTGCCCCAGCAGTCTATATGGCTAAAGGGGGATCTTTGTCTTTATGCATATGTGCAGGTCTCGTCGTGAGGTTAAGACATCCTGTGAATCATCAGAGTATCGGGGCTCCTACAACCGTTGGATTCAGCTACCGTGAGACATCACCACCATCACTGATCACATCATTACTATCACCATCATCACCACTGTCATCATTATCACCACCACCACCATCATTATTACTACCACCGTCATAGCTGTCACCAACACTTCGTCGAATCTGCAAGAGCATTGGCATCATCACCTTAAGTGCATGTGTGTGACTGTACATTGTGTCCACTGTATGCTTGTTCATCTTTGTGACTATGTGTGTGACCACATGTGTGTGGCCTTAACGTGCACATAGCCTGGCACAAGTGCCGTGGTGACGTCACCGCCACTTCGTGGCGAATGGCGGTTGTTGTTGTGGCCATGAGTATGTGTGTGTGTGTGCATGACCGCGGCGTGTCTGTGTCTGCGAGTAGAGAAGTGGGAGATCGACCCCCAGGAGTTGACGTTCACGCACGAGCTCGGCAGTGGACAGTACGGGGTCGTGAGGCTCGGTGAGGTCACCCCCCGCTCTCCCGCCCTCATTCATCGATGAGGATTCGTCATCACAGCACCCTGCGTCATTTCATCAAGAACAATTCGTCAGCCCTATGGTTAATTGGTAGTTACATGATCTTCACCCAGAACCAAATCACGAAGAATGTGCCCGACCTCGTTATATTTCGTGTGCTACACCGGCTCCCTCTAGTGGAGAGGCCCTCCTGCCAGCAGTGGTGGAAGCAATCAATTGCAGGGCTGCACATTGACCTTTTTCACCATTTGCGTGCAATCGCAAGCCTTTGACCAAATCATCCGGAATGCGTTTGAGCCCGTTAGATCTCCTAAGCTAAGCTGGTTTGAGCCTGATGGTCTTTGGATGGCTGACCCACGCTACCTCTCTGGCCTCTCCATGTGTGCTGAAGAAGGGCCATTGCCCGAAATGTCGGCAATTATATACTTTGCTTTATAAGGCCACAGACGTAACAGCGATACACGCGGTTGCTCCTCACACGGTTGTCTGGCTTGACCACCTGAATACTAAATTGTAGTTGTTGCTCTGCATCTACATCACCCATATCAATGATGAAGATTAGTGCTACTTCCATCACCCCAATGAAGCGCTCGTATATTGCTGATATCAAAGAAATAACACCGTCCGAAACGCATCCCCATATATCCAGTGGTATAAAAGAACTATTTTAGCGCTGATTCGGTTCGTGCTTACTTCTCCAGGAACGCATCTTGAGCGTTAAGCGAGGTCTGCCTGTCATTTTGGGGTCTGCGTGATTATGTTTCGTGCAAAATTCCTTTGGTGCCACCTAAATAAAACGAGTGCCAATTAAAAGAGATTTTCACTTCAGGTGTTTTATGCAACGGGCCACTGATGAATAGTTACTGATCCTAATTAATCACGATTGATCCTGATTCATTATACAAACATCATTGTTTGTATAAAAAAAACCTGTCATAGATGTACAGTCTGTTCTCCTGTAACGCGATAGTTGCGTTCCTGAAGAACACCGCGTTATGGAAAAATCGCGTTAGAATGAATAACATAGGGTAAAGGACAGTCCGCGATAACACGTGAGATGCATATGCAGGCTGAACAAAGACTGAGGCGTGTCAATAGCATCTAAAAGCATCCAGCAGCATCCCGCCTTGGTGATGCTACGACCGAGGCAGCCGCACAAGCACTTATTCCTACTCGCGCGACGGAGTTCTGTTCACTCGGTCACGTTATATCCAATTCGCATCCGCGTTCTAAGAAATGTGTTCCCTGATGCATTCATCGCGTTTTATCAAATTCGCGTGATGAAAACCGCGTTAAAGCAGAACTGACTTTGTAGAAATTATTTCGCGCCATACGTAGCGAGCTGTGATAATAGGAGGTTGTTGATCCTGATTAATTGCTGACTAATTGCTGATTAATTGCTATTGATCATCATTACTGTGCGTGATTCATCCTCATTGATGCTGATGAATCGGTATAGATCCTGATTCGTCGTTGCTGGATCTAATGAATTGTTAGGGCAGTGGAAAAGACGAAAGTTAGTTGCTGTCAAGATGATCCAGGAGGGAGCCATGTCCGAGGAGGACTTCATCGAAGAGGCCAAGGTCATGATGTGAGTAAACCACACACGCAACCATAAGCAACCACATGTCACGATATGTAATCACGTGTGGCCACGCGCAATTATACGCAATTGCTCTTGTGCAACCGCACGCAGATCATTGCACATATGATCACATGCCTGTCCGCACAAAACCACGTGCAACCACACACGAACAACAGCACACAACCGTATGTAACTTCACACAACTGCACGCAACCCTGTGCGATAATCGCAGGCAACAGTGCCCTACCGCTGCTTTTTCTGCGTCTGCCGCTGCTACTGCTGCCACTACTGCTGCTGATGACGCTGTCATCACTGCTCCTTCTGCTGCTGACGCTACCGCTGTTGTCGCGGCTGCTCTCAGGTTCTTGCTGTTGCCACTGTCGTCGCTGCTGCTGCTGCTTCACAAAACAAAAAATGTGGGTGGAAATTAACCCGCTGCTGTACTGCCTTCATACCCTGGCACACCGGGGGATGGCAGCCTCGTCGACGGTCTCAACGCCAAAGCTGATGGTCGTTGCGCCACCCCTTGCTGTTGCTCGTGCGCGTGTGCGTGCGCCACAGGCAGTTGTCGCACCCGCGGCTGGTGCAGCTGTACGGGGTGTGCACGCAGCAGCGGCCGCTGTGCATCGTGACGGAGTACATGGCGGGGGGGTCGCTGCAACTTTTCCTGAAGGCTCAGCGTGGCTCCACAGTGCCCGAGCTCATGGCCGAGATCTGCTTAGACGTGTGCGAAGCAATGAGCTACCTGGAGGCGAAGATGTTCCTGCACCGCGACCTGGTGCGACCCCTGCGCTTGTGTGTGTGTGTAAGAGAATGATATGTGTGTGTGCGACCCCCTGTGCAGTTAAACTGCAGCAAGTTGGCACAATAGCGGGCACAGCTGGTGCATTTGCCAGTCATCTCCGTCAACCCATAGCACCAGGGTCTGTCTCGTGACCACTTGTCAGTGAGCCTTCCACAACTTCACGTGGCCTCAGTGCACCTGGCCTGGCACTGAGTGGGGTGACATTGTTGTGTGTGAATTGCGTGTGTGTGTTTGTGAAAGTGGTGACCGGTCGTGGAGCGATTGGCGCGCTGCGGTACGAACCCGGCTACCCGAGTTCGATTTCCGCTCACGGCCAACACAAGTGACGATTAACTGAACTGGTCATGGGCCTCTCCTAGGTCGACTCGGCCTCAAATGAGTACCTGGTGCACTGTGTAAACATTGCTACTAGAAAGACAAAGGTGGTCAGGCGTGGTGCTGGCCACTCACCCCCTAGTGTGCGGTACAGTACTTTGCCCTCTTGTTTAAGTGCATACGGGTCAGGAGATATGGATCGGTTACGTAGAAATTGACAAAGAATACGTGGAATAAAAAAAACTAAAGAGTGCACAAAGAAGGATGGAGAGGTGAATGCTAAGTATGATACGGAGAGACACAATGAGGCACTTGTGGATCTGAGAGCATCATATTAACTGTTAAGAAAAGTGAGATTGGGCAGAACATGTCACTCAGGGACGATAGCTGGTGGCTGAGAATAACGATGGGGTGGCAACCAAGGAGAAAGCATTGAGGAGATGGAGCGACGAACTCTACTCGTGTGCTGTGGCTAATATGGATTGTTTAATATCAGGATGGGTGGCAGCTTGGGGGGAGGCCTTTATCCAGCAGTGGATTGGTCACGGCTGACCACCACGGTGACAATAACCTTGCGTGTGTTTGTGTGTCAGGCCGCACGGAACTGTCTGGTGGGAGAGGGTAACATTGTGAAAGTTTCGGATTTTGGAATGACGAGGTGAGACACGTGTACACCCACCTCCTCGTACACCTCATCATACCTCAATCCAATTATGCCTCATTCACAACACACCTCATTGCTATATCACACCATTTCACACACCCAACACCTCCTTACTCACTCCCTCATAACACAAGAGTCACACCTCATCACGCAATCACACCCAATTAACAGTGATATTTCATCAGTCCCACCTTCATGCAATTACACCTCAACATATGTTATCTCACGTCGTCTCATCTCATTAGAATCCATCGCACTTCACTCCCAGAGTCATAGCTCATCGTAGCCACAACCCATCGCTCATCACACAGTCTCATCATATCTCATCACATCTCACTACGACCCATCATATTTCATCACACAGCCATCCGTGTCCGTACTCGTGTGTGTGTGTGTGTGCTCCTGCGTGCGTGCGTGCCCCTATGAATGCCTGTGTGTGTGTGCGCTCCTGTGGGAGTCCGTGCTTGTGTGCCTGTCCCCATGTGTGCGTGTGCATCCCGGCACAGGTACGTGCTGGATGATCAGTACACCTGCTCGATGGGCGCCAAGTTCCCCGTCAAGTGGTCCCCACCGGAGGTGTTCCAGTACACACGCTTCAGCACCAAGTCTGACGTGTGGTCTTTTGGTACGGACACAATGCACACACGGCTGCACACACGGCTGCACGCAGAGATGTCGGTGATGACGATGACGATGGTGATGGCGGTGATGGTTATGACGTTGGTGTGCAGGCGTGTTGATGTGGGAGGTATACACGGAGGGACACATGCCCTTCGAGGGATGGTCAAACCAGCAGGTGGTGGATGAGATTCTGCGTGGCTGCCGCCTGTACCAGCCGGCGCTGTCCCCTCCCACCGCCTACAGCATCATGCTGGACTGCTGGCAAGAGGTTTGCAAAACAAACGCACGTGTGCACAAATGTGCATGCCCATGCACTGCCATGCAAATCCACGTGCACACAGGTGCACACCTATGCCCTCGTCCACACACACCCATGCACTCATAAATATCCACACGTGTGCGTACAACTGTCCTCGCCTGCGTACACCCCTGTGCCGATCTGTGTACACCCCTGTGATGATCTGCGTACACCTTTGTGCTCACCTGCGCACACCGCTGTGCTCACCTGCGTGTGCTGTCCGTTTTCCCCACCCCATAGAAGCCGGAGTCGCGCTGCTCCTTCATTGAGCTGCTGCCCCGCATCCGGGCGCTGTGCGTGCAGGACTACAGCGAGTAGCAACACGCGGGGAGACGCACGGAGAGAGACACTGGGAGAGATGGAGACACGTGGGGAGATACATGGGGAAATGCAATGAAGAGACGCTGAGATATATGTTAAAACATGGCGGCACACTGCAGGACACACAGAGAGACACTGTGAGAAACTGCGAGCCACGGCGGTGAAACAATGGGCCAGCTGGACACTCAAGGCGGGATGGCAGTGTGCATAGTGTCACCTAAGATGCCACCCTCTACTGATTATTTCTCCCCATTCATTGCCTCCACCTCCTGTCTCTCTCCCTGCCTCTATTATTTCTCTCTCATCTCAGTTCACTTATCACTGTGTGATGAATTTCCCTTCACTCATCTCATCTTTTATCATGTCCTTATTGTGTCTCTCATCATGATCACTCTCCATTATCAATCCGTCTCTCTCCTCGCTCTCTCTCTCTCTCAGTGGGGTAGTGTAGTTGGCATCGGCCCTGGTACAAATAATACCGTGGATCCCCTTTCCAATTTTCCTCCGCACTCTTCATAGCCCAGTGTCTGGGCCCCTGTCGCAGTTGCACTGCCTACACACTCGACAGCTATGCCTCTACTCTCTACCCGTCTCTCGCTTGTGTCTTCATCTCTCTTTTATTTCTCCCTTGATAATCTTTATCCATCTCTCACCATCACGTTTCTCTCTCACCAGCTTGCCACGTCATTACCCCCTTTGCCCGAGTTACCTTTTCTCTTTGTATTTTTGTACAGTGTCTTGAGGTTTAGTGGCATTGAGATGCTTTAGAAATTAACTTTATTATTATGTGTTATGTCCCCCCCTTTCCTTATCTCTCATCTTTCTGTCTCTCACCCACATCAGTCTCTCATTTCAGTCTTTCTGTCATTATCTTGCTCATCTCCCCTTGGTGGCCATGTTTGTGTCAACAGTAGTTGTACCGCGTCTGTGTCGTCGGTATATTAACTTAGGGGCGTTCGTGTTGTAAGAATCGGTCTGCTCCTGATTGATTTATAAATATGTGTATATTTTAACTATGCCCAGTTGTGTCGTGTGTTTCTTGCATCCAAAGCCTATGTTGTACGTATGTATGTATGTTGAACTTCTTTTGCACCGTATGTAACCAACCGCGCTGATCGGAGATGCTATTTAAAAGTTCTCACCACCACGGTGTTGTTGGGATGTAATGCTGAGCTCACTGGACTTGTAATCAAGAGGTTGTCCGTTTGATTCGATCTCCCAGTACCGCAGTTGAATCTCGCCTCCTCTGTTCACCAGGCAGTATAAACGGGTGAACCAGTCGATTGCCAGGTCCTGTGTGTTGGGGTAAAGTGTGGGTACCTCCACTTCCAAAAGGTCTGACCAGCGTAGAAGAGTAGGTCAAATACAGTCCAGATTGACTCCCTAAAGCGTCATCTCGTGCAGGCCCAAAAGCCAGCAGTGGCTTGAGCAAGTAAATGCAGGGCTGGACCTGTGCCTTTACTTTTTACCACCGAGGCGCTGAATCAATGGCCTATCCATGGCCAGTGACCCTAAGACCCGGTCCTTGAACCTTGAAGTGTTGCCCAATAGCCCCGATATGGCCATTTATAAACTCCCTGAGAGAGTCAGCAGCCCCCCCCCCCCCGAATGAAAGTAACACAGAACCAGGGGTCAAGATCTGCAAGGTTTATTGTTCATGCCTGAGGCACATCGTCAGACGAAAGCTACCAATTAATTCTGAGCCAAAGGTGAGGTTTGGTGAATGACACAAATGTGTAACTCCCTTTGGGCATTGAGGTGTCATAACCTCATAACCTGGTTTGCCAGGAGAAGGCGATGCAGCAAATGTAAGGGATCGTGTTGCCCCCCTTCATGTGTGAGTTTTTTCAGGGCATTCCGGTTTCCTCCATGTAAATACTCTGGCAACGGTGGCGAGATGTTCACTACCTCGCGTGGGTTTGATCCCAACCCTGACGACTGTTGTCTATTTGGAGTTTGCAGGTTCTCCCAGGTCCTTCGGTTTTCCCCTCAACATTTAGAAACACGCATTTAGAGTATTTGGCTGCTATACATTTCCACATGATCAGCCACTTCGTTGAGCTATCATTTGTAGCCAGGTCGCTTGCGAAAAGAGCTGCGTACTTTAGTGGATCTTACCTGGTAAAGTAAAATAGTTTAGTTTAGTTTATTAACGGCCGATAAGACTATCATATATCGAGGATCCGAGTGCTTGGGTTCCTCGCGCATGTGAGAATCCTGTGCAGGGCCGTTACAAGTTGAAATTATTATTTTGAGTTGAGCGTTATTGCCCAATATTAAGCCTAAATGAAGGCACCCTTAGGGTCATCAGGGATCAACATTAATCCCTAGGTTCATTGCATCACATAAAGGCATCTCCAAGATTATTTCGGTTCATTGTTAAGGTCTGAAGCTCATAGAGCCATAGGACAACATCAGTGGGATTGTTGGAGTTCAGTAATGTTAATACCTGGGGATAACATAGCTAGATTAAGGCACCGTTACTATTTTTTTTTAGTTAAAAGTTAATGTACAGTATGAAAACAAGACTAGAGGCATCCTTATGATTATGAAGGTTCAGAGTTAATATCTGATGCTCATAGACCCAGACTAAGGCTTTCCAAGGGTTCAGTGTCAATGCCCACGGTGAAGGGTAGGGCTTGAGGCTCCTAGAACCACACCAAGACAAACCTGGGATTCTTAGAACCAGACTGAGGCTCCCTTGGTAGTCACGGTGTTCAGTGTAAATCCCAGAGGCTAAATGGGACAGATTAAGGCACGCAGGGTCTTATTATACTAATTCCTGGTTCTCGTTAAACGCTGCTCTCCCATTCACGGCAATGCAGAGCAGTAGTATCGCACACCCGAGATCCATCTCCACCGCGGTGGGGTTTGGTGGATCACGCCTGGCCCGTTGAGCCTGCGAGCTGAACCAGGAGATGGCAGTACAGCAAGTGGATCCGTGCGCTCGTCAGCGCAGATTCATGAGTGTTGTGTTTTTATTCTGGATGCACTGGTTTCCTCCCACGTGAAGCGAAACACTCCGTACAAGGCAAAGGGTCAAGCATCCCGATAAATGAACCTCCTGAAAAGAATCTTGATACTCGATTGAGGTATTCCTGGGTACAGCATTTTGACTCGGTGCAACTAGGTGCAACTCAGTGCAATCTAATGCATACTGATGCAGTGCAGTGCATCTTAGTGCAACCCAGTGCATGCTAGTGCAACCCAGTGCATGCTAGTGCAACCCAGTGCATGCTAGTGCAACCCAGTGCATACTAGTGCAACCCAGTGCATGCTAGTGCAACCCTCGTGCATGCTAGTGCAACCCAGTGCATGCTAGTGCAACCCAGTGCATGCTAGTGCAACCCAGTGCATGCTAGTGCAACCCTAGTGCATACTAGTGCAAACCAGTGCATGCTAGTGCAACCCAGTGCATGCTAGTGCAACCCAGTGCATGCTAGTGCAACCCTAGTGCATACTAGTGCAAACCAGTGCATGCTAGTGCAACCCAGTGCATGCTAGTGCAACCCAGTGCATGCTAGTGCAACCTCGTGCAACCCAGTGCAACCCAGTGCATGCCAGTGCATGCCAGTGCAACCTCGTGCAACCCAGTGCAAGGTAGTGCAACCCATTACAGCCCATCCTAGTTCACCTGAGGCAACCTCTTGTAAAACCCAGCGCAACCGAGCATAGTGCAACACAGGCAGGTCGGTGCACCCCGGTGTAGTTCGGTGGAGGTCAGTGCAGCCCGGTGTAGTTCGGTGCACGCCGGTGTAGGCCGGTGGAGGTCGGTGTAAGTCGGTGCACTCTCACTTCACCAGCCTCACACAAACCTCGCTTCCCACCAAAAAAACGCGACGGTGCACCAGCTGGCGGGGGGTCAGGGGTGGGTGGGGGGGGACAGGGGTGGGGGGGTGTCAGGGGTGGGGGGGGGGACGACAGGGGTGGGGGTCAGGGGTGGGGGACAGGGGTGGGGGGGGGTCAGGGGTGGGGGGGGGGACGACAGGGGTGGGGGTCAGGGGTGGGGGGGGGGCAGGGGTGGGGGGCAGGGGTGGGTGGCGGGGGACAGGGGTGAGTGGGGGGGGGTGATCCGAAATCCCCCCACGAGACGCGAGCCCCCATTGGTCGCGAGCGGCTCACGTGACCGCGTCCGCTCCAATGAGCAGGGTGCCGTCGACGGAGGGGCGAGTCGCCGCTGCCGCGCTCCCGGTGTAACGGTGAGGGCCGCTGTCAATTTGCAATAAACCATTGAGGAATAAATAATAAGAATGATTGTAGAATGTAACATGCCCTACTCATTGTAATCGCCTGTTGAGATGTTGATTGCATTTGTCGTTGTACGTTTTTAGGGGAGCGGGAATTTAATTTTTTTCCCGCGAGGCTCTCGCCGGCTTTGCTCGACGATTTTGTAATCTTCCTCCTCATCCCCGTTCCGTGCGGCGAATTCAGTGTTTTCGTGTCGCGTTATAAAGATGTTAACATCAACAAAAACTCGACGCGTTTATTTGAGGTCCCCTTCTATCAGCGCGGCGTTGAAGCTGCCGCTGCCGACCTGCCAAACAAACAAACACGGGGTTTTTTGTGGCGTCTTTTGTTTTAACGTAAAAATCGTTCAATTTTAGCCGCTGTTCAAACACATTGCGGAGAGATGGAGAGAGATGGGGGGGGGGGAGGATTTGTTGGGTTTGCATGTCGGGGTAGTAGGGGGGGGGGGTCTTTGAGCCAGACTCTAAGTTGGGGCACCCACGCAGGTACTTGTCCACTGCTGGATGAGTCTCCCACGCCGCCGCCGTGCCCCGGGTCGGTCATTTGACCCGCGCTGCTCACGTTGGAAGCATAACATCATGCAAATTCCTCACATTAACATCATGCTAATCTCCAAGTTACATGCAAATTCCTCACATTAACATCATGGTAATCTCCCAGTTACATGCAAATTCCTCACATTAACATCATGCTAATCTCCCAGTCACATGCCAATTCCTCACATTAACATCATGCTAATCTCCCAGTTACATGCTAATTCCTCACATTAACATCATGCTAATCTCCCAGTTACATGCTAATTCCTCACATTAACATCATGCTAATCTCCCAGTTACATGCTAATTCCTCACATTAACATCATGCTAATCTCCCAGTTACATGCTAATTCCTCACATTAACATCATGCTAATCTCCCAGTTACATGCTAATTCCTCACATTGACATGCTAATATCCAAGTTACATGCTAATTCCTCACATTAACATGCTAATCTCCCAGTTACATGCTAATTCCTCACATTAACATCATGGTAATCTCCAAGTTACATGCTAATTCCTCACATTAACATCATGGTAATCTCCAAGTTACATGCTAATTCCTCACATTAACATCATGGTAATCTCCAAGTTACATGCTAATTTCTCACATTAACATCATGCTAATCTCCCAGTTACATGCGAATTCCTCACATTAACATGCTAATCTCCCAGTTGCATGCTAATTCCTCACATTAACATCATGGTAATCTCCAAGTTACTTGCTAATTCCTCACATTAACATCATGGTAATCTCCCAGTTACATGCTAATTCCTCACATTAACATCATGCTAATCTCCCAGTTACATGCTAATTCCTCACATTAACATGCTAATCTCCCAGTTGCATGCTAATTCCTCACATTAACATCATGCTAATCTCCCAGTTACATGCTAATTTCTGACTTTAACATCGTGCTAATCTCCCAGTTACATGCAAATTCCTCACATTAACATCATGCTAATCTGTCAGTTACATGGTAAATCCTCACATTAACATCATGCTAATCTCCCAGTTACATGCTAATTCATCACATTAACATGCTAATCTCCCAGTTGCATGCTAATTCTCTCACATTAACACAGCTTATTCAATGCTAAATTCTTCTGTTGAGATGTAAACTCCTTTGTCAAGGCGCTCTTCTCCTCCCACCCAGCTTTAAATACGCTGCCACCTGAGGACGGCTGCTTGTGTTGTGGCCGAAACGTGAGAATTTTATTTAATGTTTTATTTTGATTATTTTATTATTTCCCTTCTACGTGACTTCACCGAAAGAACCAAGAAGACGAATCCCTGCAGTCACGAAAGCTTTAAATCGAAATTTAATACCGCGTAGCTCCGTGGCAGCCTGTGACACCTATCATGCGTCTAAGGCGCCGTGTCGGCTTCAATCTGCCGAGCTTGCGATATATTCGGACGCCTGGTGCTTGTTGTGGATGATTTGGTGGGTCAGACTAAATAATATTGGGCACTGGTTTCGTGTTGTTTTTTTCTTTGACGGTGTTAATCATATATGTAGCATTATTATGATGTTATATCTCGGTGTCAATCGTATTTATGCGTGGTGTATTTTTTGCATTATAGTTTTTATTTCGTCTTCTGGAATCGGCCGATGTTATGGTTTCTAAACGCGTGCTCATTTAACCCCGACGAAGTCACGGTGTTAACTCTGACCATTACGCTCACAATTATTTATAATGCACGCAATCATTGTGTGATTAAATCTTGATTTGAAGCTTTCGTGACTGCAGGAATCCATACTCTTTGGTTCTTTCGGTAAAGTCACGTAGGTAGAAAAAGCGCCTACTTCAGCAGTTTTTCTTGCTGTGGTTGTCCCACCTGATGACGATTGCTTGTGTTGCGATCGAAACGACGTGATCTATATTTTTCTACCTACGTGACTTTACCGAGAGAACCAAAGAGTATTGTGTGATTACCCACCATTGGTTCCATCTATTTGGTGTTTCGTGTTGTATTATATAGCGCATGAGAGTTTCTATGAGGGAGACGTTGTCTTGGGCTATTGTGCGAGCTCATTGAGCCAGACTAATGTACTCTACCACTTCCACCAGTGTTTCATCGTCGACACATTTTTATATTAACTGTACAGAATTTTTAATCATGTCTATGCCAATCCACTACTGGATGGAGTTCTCTCCAACGCCGTGAGATTCATGGGGGTTATTTCACCATACTTCCCCACACTGGTCAATGCGGGCTGGTGAAGGGTGAGTGGGGGTGGCAGGACCGGTTCAGGTACAGTAATCGCTCGCCACTGATTTAGCCTTCCCAGGGACTCAAACTCATGTTAGCTGAGTTTATAGCTCTCTGCAAACGATTGTGCGCACCGCTTCTCCGCTACACACAGTTTCACTATTTGTGCAGGCATACTACTGAATGTATTAATTTGTACAGTGTCGTGTTAGTGCAGTATGCGTTAAGTCTGTAATGGGATGGCACGATTATTTATCATCGTTTTCACAACCTTTATTTTTCATCGCAATTCACAACACAGGTTTCAGCCTCCATAAACAGGTTTACGATTATAGAGCAGAAAAGTGATGGTATATTTGTGTCGGCACCGTGGATATAATTTAGATGATAACTTTTGAATGTGTTGGTAAAAAAGCAGTCCCTCAATATAGGGGAATAGGAGCTCAATATCAGAATTGTTTTCGGATTTTTAAATGAAGATACAGTATTGGGATTCAGCATCCTCAAAAACCCTCAGATGCAAACGTGTGTCAGCTTGGGTTAAAATTAAAAATGTTCAAACATTTTGCCACCCACTTTTTCGGGCTCCCAAAATTTACTTTTAATCTTAAAATTGTTATAATGTGATACCATATAAACAGGCAGATTACAACTTTCGTAGGGTAAGAATAAAAAAAATGTTCATTTAATTTTTTTGCCTATAATAATTTGGGTTTTCGGACTTTTGTGTTTATAACCATAGACGGGATATTTTTTGTGCCAAATGAGCTTTCTCACCACTCTAGGTAGAACATTGTTAGAATAAAATATGTAGGTCACTCATGGCCTACATATATTATACAAGCAATTCATGACACATTTTTCAGCGTGCAGCCATGAAACACAAATGTATTCGTTATAAAACACTAGTTTACAAGAGAATCAATGCAATGAATGTAAACCCACTGAAAATACGGTAATAAAAGTTAAGCTACAGGCCTGCAATTCATGCTCCTGTAGCACTGCTGGTGGAAGGACCGCCATTGCAGGGAGCTCCAGAGAGGTCCTCTAGTAAGGTATTTGGCCTACTCTTCCAGGCTGGCAAGATACCTGAAAAATAGCTGGGGGTATCCACACTTTACCCTGTCATATACCTCCTGGCAGTCGACTGATTGGTGAATCCGTTTATGGTGCTTAGTGGACAGAAGCGGGGGGGGGGGGGGGTGTTAAATTACCTGCCCATTGTTTCCACTGCCATGCTAGATCAACGATCTGGTAACCCCTGGTTGCATGTCCGCTGTGCGGATAATAGTTAAACTGTGTGTAGTGGGGAAGGGGTGCGCACAATTGTTTGCACAGAACTATAAACTCGGATAACATGAGTTTGAGACTCTGCAAAGGCTAAAATCAGTACTGTAATTGTGCAAGAAGAAGATACAAAATAATACGTATTAAAAATCACTCAATCAGTGTAAATCCATAATACTGTATTTCGCTTGAATTGAAGACATAAAAATAGGAAATGCATAAGAGAGTCACCATAAACCTTTCGCTAAATGTTTTCAGCTTAGGGGCTGTCCATAAATGACGTCACGCACCTGGGGGTGGGGGGGGGGTCAGACATTTGTGACAATGTGTGACGAGGGGGGGGGGGTGAGAAATGTGACGTCACATCAAAATGCGCAACATTAAATAAATATAGAATTGTTATAACAACACTAATTGTTATAACAACACTCCTATAACATCAAAGTGCAGCGCCACATTAAATACGCACGACAATGACAATAGTTTAAAGCGATTTGAAGCATGTTTTATTTTCAAAATGGAAATATGGTTTGGGGGGGTAGAGCTTTGTGACGTCATATTTGAGGGGGGGTCTGACTTTTTGTGACGCCGTGTGACGAGGGGGGGGGTCAAATATCGTCAAAAATCGCGTGACGTCACGCGATTTTTGGCCCCTTAATTGTAAATGCAGGAAAGGAGTCAACTTTTATAAATTAAAAGGGACGAGCATTCTACCAGCGAGCGTAAAGCTAAAAAAACACGTGCAAAATATGTTTCTTATTTGAATGTCTCGCGTGCCTGTGGGATGTAGAGAAGTTCAGCAACGCCAAAATAGATAGTTCCTCTGTTGGGCATACTGGCGAATAGAGGGAGACTGGTAGCACGGAACAATATGGCACAGATATTACAGATAATAATCTAAACCATTGATATGTATAATACAAACTTAACCATTGTATAGACAGGAGAAGCTGGATATAAGCACGCACTTTTGGAGCAAGGGGAGGTGTTACTTATATGCGAAATGTGCTTGTGTTAGAGTTGCCCGTTTCCTCTCACCCACCAGTAAGGATGTGTTCCTATTATGAGCTGTACTCATAAGATGTGCCTATATCCAGATTCTACTGTACTGTATATAATAGCCTATGACCAAAGCTTCCAATCTTGTCAGAAACCGATTTTGTAGCGTCTCAAAAGCTGGACAGGTTGAGCACAGATTGTGCTTGGATGAGTGACCATGCATAAAACAGGTGTAATGTGATGCTGTGGTAGCTATGTTGTGGGCAATGCAGCATAATCCACTGTTGTGCTGTACTCTGCTCTCACCTTGATGCGCCCCACTTTCAAAAATCCACACTGCCTAGTGCAGTGAAGTATGATAATATACCGCACATCACCCTCACGGCATGGGGGGCCCTTATCCGGCAGTGGATTTTAAAAATGGCTGCATATGTACTTATACTATATAATATGTTATGATGAAGAAGGTACTGACGTGCTACAGTTAAATATTGATCGGAAGTACGGAAGGCTCAAACAATGTTTATATTTGGGCGTGGAGAGACTAATTGAAGTATTTATTTAGTTACACTTTTGAATTGTATAATATAGTGAATACATACACAAAACGAATTATTATAGTATACAGAATGCATATACATAGTTTATTGTACATGTGTATTGGATGTTTATAATTATATAGGTAATATCAACCTTGTTGAGCCACGAATACATGTAGCGTTCAAATATTCCTAATTTACAATCCTTTGTCAATACACTGCTGGACGCATGCCTCCCCACATCGTGTTGGTCATGGTGGTTGGTTTACCATACCTTACTATGCTGGTCATTATGGATCGGTAATATAGTCGTTTGGGACTGGTTTAGATAACACTCACCAATGGTTTAGAAATTGCCAGGAATTAAACTAAAGGTGGCCGGGATAATTGCGTAGTGCGCAAACCTCTTTGTCACTTGCCCCCCATTCCCCCTCAACACAGGTAGCATAGCCATATTAAATGATAAAATAACACGCAGTATTAAACGTATTTGTTGTACAGTCAATTAATACTAACATTTAATCTCTAACATAAAATACATTTACATCAAACGCATTAATTACGTGATGATAATTGCTGCTGGAGTCATCCTGAAGGAGTTGGTTTCTTGGTATTCTGGGGTTTTTAAGCTCGGCTTATTGAGCTTGTTCTTTAAAATGGCTCTCCCCGCTATCCTGATTAATTACAGTGTACATATACTGTATTTTGTGTGTGCATGCCACCGGAAGGCTGTGGGATTTGTTGCGCGTGTGCTTTTTTTTTTAACACAATTGCTGAGCACAAGCCCAATGGCCCACAACGTCAAGCGACCAGCAAAAAACAACATTGGTGTCAGTTAATGTTCCACGCATGGCTATGGAGTGTGGTGTATTCGTTGTCGGGCATGTGTGTGATTGTGCCACTGTTGCCTGTATAGTGTGTTGAGTGTACGAGTGTGCCACCAGTAGCTTCGTGGAGTGTTCATTGTGCGTGTGTGTGCCACTGGTGGCTGTGTGGTCATTTGAGGATATGCGTGTGTATATGTGCCTGTTTGTGTGCCACTGGTGGTGGTTGTGTGATGTGTGCAGTGTGTATGTGTGTCATGAGTATGTATGCCTCCCGGTGGATTTATGAAGTGTTGAGTATACGAGTGTGTCACTGGTGGATGGTGTTTTGAGTGTGTGCGTGTTCATGTACCCCTTTGTGGCTGTATGTGTGCGAGTGGTGGGTTGTGTGCGTGGGTGTGAGGGGAAGCTGTGGTGGTACTGACGCCACACCGGAACCACATTGCTTTGCGGACTAGTTAAAGTCATATGGGTGTGGACCTGTTGTACGAATATTCATACAATTCCTGTACCATTTTCATCATTAGAACAATCTAAAAATCTATTGTACATTCAGGACTGGTTTTGTGTATTGTATGTTGTTATTGGTGAGAAGAATCCATACAGCCTGGAGAAAATTATCAACTGATTTAGTCTGGTTCAAAGATCATAGTTAGAAATCCAAGAAACCAATTTCTTCAGGAAAACATCATTACCTACGTAAGATTGATGATTCGTTTTCAGTGTCGTGGGCTGTGTCCGTGCAACTCAATGCAGGGAAACGTGATTCACTCAAATGCGGGAAGTGCCCCTTTTCAAACAGTAGAATAATCATAATTTTTTATGAATGGTTAAAGGTTTATTACGTGACGTTGAAACATTTTCACACATGGAGGCATACGACCATGCCACATCTATAACTGTTAATATCTTTGCATCGTATATGTTATATTTTTACCTTCAGAAACATGTAACTTTGAGACATATATCGATTGTTCTAATAAAATGTTGTATTATCCTACAATATATATGCATCAAATTATGTATGTGAGAACTGATTATGTATTAATGTTTGCAAATTATAAGCACATGGTATATGTATTTATGCAAATTTTGGCTAATTGAGTGAATATAACTACGTAAAATTACGAGAAATGGAACCAACAACATAATGTATATTCTTGGGTCTTTCGGTAAAGTCACATAGATAGGTTCAAAGAAAATCACAAAAAATAACAAAAACTACGACGTTTCGATCGCAACACAAGCGGTCGTCTTCAGGAATAAGACGACCGCTTGTGTTGCGATCGAAACGTCATAGTGCGATCGAAACGTCGGAGTTTTTTGTTATTTTTTGTTATTTTATTTGAACCTATCTACGTGACTTTACCGAAAGAAAGTTAATTGAATCGCCACATGCCCAGTAATCTGCAAATACAAGGCGATATGACTTGCTGGTTACGTTTCATGTTTATTGCGTATATATTTTTACACCAAAAAAGGAATTCGTCTCCAGCAAAAAAAAAAATTGTAAATAGTTCGATTTAATAATTTACGTGGCAAGAGATGAAATTTGATATTGCATTCTCTTATCATACACCGGACCATTAATATGTGATTCCAGGTCTACTCAAGTGACTTCCGTGAACCAGGCGAGTCCAGACAAACCAGATGAACATGGCGCAGGCCCAGGTGAGCCTGGAGGACGCCTTGTCCAACGTGGACCTGCTTGAGGAGCTGCCCCTGCCTGACCAGCAGCCGTGCATCGAGCCTCCACCCTCCTCCATCCTCTACCAGGTAATTTGGTAACCGGGTGCTGCTGTAACGGGATAATGGGGGCAATTAACTGATGTGGTGGGGAACGGTGAACAAGCTGTTTGAGAATGAACCTGTTGTGTCTCCACTTACCACAGGCGAACTTCGACACCAACTTTGAAGACCGCAATGCGTTTGTGACGGGGATTGCGCGCTACATCGAGCAGGCAACCGTGCACTCAGGCATGGTGGGTCCATGTATTTTGTGCTTAGTTTGTTGTCTTCCCGCACCTCCGATTACCATGGTTGGCTACGTATGGTGCGAAAAAAGTTCAACATACATTCATACGGCGGTCACAGCGCTTGTGGAGATGGGGGTGGCAAAGGTTGTGATTGTGTTGGTGCTGTTGGTGATTGAGGTGGGTTGGGTGATGTAGTGGTAGTGATTGTAGAGTTGGTGATGATGGTGAAGTTTGTGACGATGGAATTAATGTTGATGGTGCAGATGTTGAAATTAGTGATTCTGGTGGAATTGTTAATAACTGTAATGTTGATGATTTGGTAGTGGTGGGAATGGTGGTGATGGTAAGATAGGTGATATCAGTGGTCCTGATGGTAAAATTGGTGACTGGTATGGTTGTTGGTGCAAGTGGTTTTGTAAATGGTTGAGTGGTTTTGTAAATGGTCACGTGATGGTGGTGATGTGGTTGAAGTTGGAATGTTCGAGGATCTAATGACTGTTACTGATGGTGGAGTATGTAATGGTGGTTGTTTCTATGATGACCTTGATGTTAATGTCGACCATAATAATACCATAACAGTAAATGTGATTATGATGATTGGGATGTACATGGTAATGCATTAGAATGCATGTAGTCGACAGTATAGCTGAACATGATTGTGGAGATGATGATTATGACGGTGATTTGTGTAGAACGAGATGCTGGAGGAAGGACAGGAGTATGCTGTGATGTTGTACACCTGGAGAAGTTGTTCACGCGCAATTCCCCAGGTTCGTGGTGCACACAGGAAGACACAGAAACACAGGTACATGGGGACAAAGGTGCATTGATGCAGATCTCAAATCAGCCTTACAATTATTTTAGTAAGTGCCTATTATAGCCAGCGTAGCATATTAGGGAGTGGATGGAACCATCACCTTGTCTGGGCATATGTTTCTCTTCAGTGTTGATGTTAACCACACTACAGCCGATACTAATTGTACACTGAGTCTACCTAGGGAAGGCCCAGGCTGGGCTCAAATACCACTTGCCACTGTTATCTTGAATTAATGTCTGGACTAAAATTATAGTTGCTGGGATTTTGGCACGGTACATGAAATGCTGCAATACCAATACACACATGGGGATACAAGGATACAGTGAGACTTGGAAACATAGGGACATACTCTTGGCAATACAGGAAGACATGGTGGCATTGGGACATGTTTTGAAATACGTGGATATATGCACAGGGACAGGCACTGCCTGCCCTTTGAGATGTAGATGCTCTACTGTTGCTGTTAATAATGTTTCTACAATAATTTTGATGATGCTGCTACTGTTGGTGTGGACGTCGTTTCTGATGACACTGCAGCTGTTATTGTATGGCTGTTTTATTTTGTGACGATTCATTCACATTAAATCATGACGCTGAATAAACAATAAGGCATATTGTTATTTAATAATAAACATTCGTAGGCAATTATTATCGCAGTATTTTGCATGTACGAGGTCGTAGAACTGCAACACGCATATGTCAATGTGTAAACTGTGGCGGCAGGTGAAGTGTAACGAGCAACCAAACCGCGTAGAGATCTACGAGAAGACGGTGGAAGTGCTGGAGCCAGAGGTCACCAAGCTCATGCGCTTCATGTATTTCCAGGTACGGTGTGAGCTACCCAAAAGGCTTTAGCCGAAACCCGAACCTTAAAGCTCTGAACCACAAGATAGTACTGTATTGGGTGTGGTCGTGCTGTGTTGTGTATGTTGGTGCTGTGTTGTGTATGGTGGTCCGTACGTATGTACATATGTGCGGTGTCTGGTGTGTCGTCTATTGCGGGTAATATTTACTACGTTCAGGGTGTGTGGTGAAGTCGATGGTTGTCATGTCCTGTGTAATGTATTTTGGAGTGTGCATTAGCATGCGTGATATGTATAAGGTGATTTTATGTATAATGTAGTTGTATGGTGTTATACGAGGTTTGTGGAGTGTACAGCGTGTTTTGTGTTGTATGTTGCCTTGTATGGTGTACAGTGTTTGTGACGTGGTGTGGGGTATACGGTTTTCTATAATGAGGTTATTTACATCATAATGTGTGTGATGTTTGCTCGTGTGTGCAGGGTGGTGTGTGTTATAATCACGTAGTGTTATAATGGTGTGCTGTGTGTGATGCGATAATGACAAAGCTTGTGGTGGTGTCACATAGTGTTGGTTATAATGCTGTAGTGTGTGTGATGTCATAACGGTCTGGTGTGTGCGGTCGCAGCGCAAGGCCATTGAACGGTTCTGTGGCGAGGTGAAGCGTCTGTGCCACGCTGAGCGCAGGAAGGACTTCGTGTCGGAGGCATACCTCCTCACGCTGGGAAAATTCATCAACATGTTCGCCGTACTTGACGAACTCAAGAACATGAAATGCAGCGTGAAGAACGACTACAGTGCTTACAAGAGGTGTGCCAGTCAAGAGCATATCACACCTGCACTATGACGGGAGGGTTGTGAGGTAGTGAGAGGTGATGTGTCGGGTGATGGTAAGGCATGTAATGATTCGCCCCCCCAACAACGGGGTGGCAACCAAAGGAGGAAACATGCCCGAGATGACGTCCACCACATAGATGGAGTGATAAACTCAGCTCGTGTGCAGAAGCTAAATGGATTGTTGCATTGCAAGACCATAAAATGTGGCAGTGGCTTGGGGAGGCCTTCATCCAACAATGGATAGATAATGGCTGATAATGATGATGAGTGGATTCTCGGATTATATGAACTAATTACAGTGCATACAGCTTATAAAAAAAAATTATGCTGACATGCAAGATGTATGTATCTTAGAAATTGTAACTTGTATTAATCGAATCAATGCTTTTTCATGCCTAGTGATGGTTAATGAAGTTGGGTGCCAACTTGTTTTGTTAAGTGGTAAATTGTGGTAATTTATGACATGACAAGCAGTGGAGATTACAGATAAATGCTACAGAGGTGTGGAGTGAAGGTGTCTGGTGTGATGTAGTGGGAACGGAGGTGGTGTTGGTGAGCTGTGAAGAGGTGATGTCTTGAGGTGAGTGCTGGTTAGGTGTGGGGTATTGTCTGGTGATCGTACTGTGCGAAAGAAGTTCAACATACATCATGATGTCATGATGACTGTGGTGTTCATGACAGTGATGTGATGATGCTGATTTATGTGTTCAGGGCTGCCCAGTTTTTGAGGAAGATGTCTGATCCACAATCCATCCAGGAGTCTCAGAACCTGTCCATGTTCCTGGCCAATCACAACCGCATCACCCAGGTAACTACTACCACATAACCACAACCATTACCTCATAATTGCTATCACAATCCCCAGTTAAACTCAACCAAATAACCCTTACCACAACATTTAGATAACCAAAACCACATAACCACTACCACATAACCCCAACATCAAAACCACTTTCACAATACCCTGAAAATCACAACCACATTTACAACTGCATCAGAGATTACCACAATAAAATCGATACAACCACATAACCACAACTGCAGCACCCAGGTAACCACAACTAGATCAACTTGGTATCCACAACTGTTCATGTGCATGTGTAGTGACATAGATCGGAGACAGTAATACTTGGAGGCACTTCTTTTTTTAACAAGCACCATCAGGATATATACACACCCTACGTGGGTGCACGCTATTATAATTAAGACCGTATATTGTCGGCGGTACTACTTAGTTAGAACAGTTGGTAGGCTGTCTGACTAACAGCACGCCAGGATGGTGAAGACGGAGACGACGATGAGGAGATGGTGACGTTGACGAGATGGTGACGACAATTATCTTGAACAGCCACGACGGGGATTCCACTTCTAGCAAAAGACCCGAGCTCCCGCTCATGGCCCCCTCTTATGCTCCCAGCGTGCCCTTGCTCCGCCCTGGCCACGCCCCCCTTCTGGAACCTACGAGCTGGTTCCCGGGACTTCCCGATGGGCCCCTTCTATGACCTTTCCCCTAGATGTCCCCCTCTCGTATATACTGCGGCCTGCTGAAGCGAGTACTGCCATACACCGCAGTTACCCTTTTCCGCCAGCAGCCAGCGCTATACCTCTACACATGTATGCATCCCCTCTCACGTGGTGGTGTATGTGTTGCGTGCATGTGTGTGGGGAGCAGGAGTAAAGAAGTTAGCACGCTGCAATAGGAACCCGGCGAGATGTGTTCGATTTCCACTCGTAGCCAACATCTTAAGAATATCTGAACCGGTCCTGGGCCTCCCCTAGGTCGAATTAGCCTTATATGAGTAGCTGGTGCATAGTGTAAAGGCCGGGCGTGGTGCTGGTCAACCACCCGGCCTTAATTAGGTGCTCTCTAACAGCGTTTGCCCCAACAGTTTGTTAAAGTTTGTATGGGGATCTTTTTATTTGTGCATGTGTGCAGTCCTTACAGCAGCAGTTGGAGGTGATCCCTGGGTACGAGGAGCTGCTGGCCGACATTGTGAACTTGTGCATGGATTACTACGAGGGGCGCATGTACCTCACGCCCGGCGAGAAGCACACCCTGCTCAAGGTGTGTGGGGGTGTGCGCGCATATGTGTGGACGTGGCTACAAATGGAGAGCAGTGGTTTGGTGGTTAGCGCACTGCGCTACAAACATGGTGACCTGAGTGGCAAGTAATATATGAACCTTATGGCGGTACCCCGGGGTACTATGGTACTTTGGTACCCCGGGGAACCGCATAATGTCATTTTTAGTCTGATGATGGTCGGCGATGCGGCAGTTGACTCATCTCGACGAGCTGTACACGATGCACTATGGTGCATACGAGCGTTCAGGGTTTCAGCGCAATCGTCCTCGCTGCGTTTCGACATCGCGGAGTAGCACGAATTTCGGATTGATTGGTACCCCAGTCGCGGAGTTATGTACACCCCTGGAAAAAATAGTGTCCCAGAAATAAAATATTTAATTGCCTCGGCCATTTTGTGTTATTTGGTACCCCGGGGTACCGCCATAAGGATCATACGAAATAGTTTTGGGCCTCCCCTAAGTCGACCCATATCGGCACTGGGGAGACAATGGCGGCCTGGCTTGGTCCTGGCCACACCACCCCTTTTTTATTTTATGTCTAAATTACATGAAGCTTTCAGTAGAGATGAATGCCATCTCATTGCTCATTTGATCAGTAACACACATTGATATGCAAGTAGTGGAGTGTTTCTGTTGGAGTCTTGGATGAGTCTGATAATGTATGTCTGAGTATAATAATTGTAAAAAAAAAATGTAAAACACAGACGTGTGTGTGTACATTCCTATGAACCCGTATGCATGTGTGTCCAGGTGATGGGGTTTGGGCTGTTCCTGATGGACGGCTCCGTCAGCAACATCTACCGTCTCGACGCCAAGAAGAGAATCAACCTCGGACGCATAGACCGCTACTTCCGGGTACAGCACACACATACATACAGTATGTACACGCAGACATGAAAATGCGAACACAAAACACCCATATACAGTCAGACATAAAAGTACTGCTAGAGAGCACTTATTAAAGCTTACACGGAGCACAAGGAGGTTGTGTGGCCAGCACCACACCTGATTGCCTTTGGCTGACAGTGCTGAGATTTACACACCATGCCAGGTACTCATGTATGCCCTGACTTGACTCAGGGGGGGCCCAGAATCAGCTCAGATGTTCATGACTGATGTCGGCCATGGCCATGTATTTAACTCTGAGTGCTGGGTTCGTAATGCAGTACGCTTGCATTATTATATCTCTGTGCTGCCTGTTTCGTTTTTTCTGAGCTTCTCTGTGTCCCCTTGTGTTACCTTGTCACATGTTAATGTGTCCTTGTGTCCTCGTGTCTGTGAGCAGCAGCTGCAGGTGGTGCCGTTGTTTGGAGACATGCAGATAGAGCTGGCGCGGTACATAGAGACCAGTGCCCATTACGAGGACAACCGCTCCAAGTGAGCCTTGCCACCACAACATAGCACCGAACCACATCACACCACCCTTTTATCAGTCCTGTGGTGGATTGGGTCCACCCCACGCCGTGTGACCGTTATATGACCAAACTAAATCACTCTGGATAGTGCGAGTTGGTGAAGGCAGGAACCCAAGACAAAAATACACGATAACAATGTATCTTGCTGTACTGCCCTCTGTTGATCACAACGTAGCCCTGCATCAGCAACAATCCGTTCTATGCACGGTGGTCATCCATCCTAGCACTTTTCAGCCTTGGCCCTGTTTGGATTCCAAAATCTGATGAGGTTGGATGTATTTCGGTTGATTTGGTCATGAGCCACACCACCATACCATTGTGGAAATAAACCATACCAATGCATTAGACATCTCACAAGCACACTGCACAACTGCAGTAATAAAGAACACCACCACATTCTTGTTGTTGTGTATGTGCACACGTGTACATATTTGTGCATATTCATGGACATATGTGTGTGTGTCTGCAGGTGGACGTGTACTTGCAGCACGCTCAGCCCCCAGTACATCTGTGAGCAGATGGTGCAGATCCGTGATGACCACATCCGTTTCACCTCTGAGCTGAGCCGACACAGCAACAGCGAGGCAATCCCGCCAAGCTACGCCTAAACAACAATAATAGCCATACTAACCACAACAACCACTTCCACAACACTTGCCACAGCAAATATAACCACAATTTCCACAACGTCTACATACACCAATACAAATGCAACCACAGCATCCACCACATTCTTGTCACATCAATAACCGACGACCACACCCATTTCTGTTTTTCACAAGTGTTCATCGAGTAATGAGTTTTTCCTGTGTTTGAGTGTTGCTGCGTCTCAGCATCCCCGTGTCTCAGTGTTCACTTGTCTGAATGTCCTTTGTGTCTCAGTATCTCCTTGTTTGAGCATCATTGCATCCCAGTGTCCTCTTATCTCATCCCATTTTTCCCATTTCTCCTTGTCTCAGTCCGTATCTCAATGTCTCCATCTCACTATGCCTGCTTGTTAGTGTCCTTATGTCTCTTTGTCCCCACTGTCATGTCTCCAGGTGGTGACCGGCTCAGGCCAGGATGGACACAAGTCAGATGAGCAGCACAAGGAGCTGTGTGATCTGGCGCTGCGTGGACTGCAGCTGCTGTCTCGCTGGAGCGCACATGTCATGGAGGTGGTAAGTGACATCACTTCCTGTACAAGCGGCATCACATCCTGAGTGAGCAACACAAGCAACATTTATCGATAATTGCCTACATGTGTTCATCCCAGTAAGTACTTTGTGTGCTCTTGTGCATCCCATTGGGTCATCGTGTGCCTCTGTACTTATTTGCATTCACTGATATATTTCCTTGTATCTTCATGTGTTGCCTTACATAGTGTCCTGGTGTGTCTACTCTGGTCCCTGCATTCCTGTGCAACCCTGTGTGTCACCCCACCTCACCACACGTCCTCTTGCTGCACTGAACGTCCCGTGACCCTCTGTCCATTCCCACTTGTCCCATTGCTTCGCTGTATATTCGCGTACATGCCAAAATGTCCCCACTCTTAATTTTGCGTTCTCTTCTTTCCCACATTCCATTGCATCCCATGTGTTCCGTGTCTCGCTACGCTTCATATTTTATCTTTGTGTATCCCTGTTTGTCCCCCTTGCTCGCCTACCGTACGTGCCTCAGTACTCATGGAAGCTCGTGCACCCTACGGACAAATTCTCTAACAAGGACTGCCCAGACAATGCAGAGGAATATGAGCGTGCGACACGCTACAACTACTCCAGCGAGGAGAAGTGTGCACTGGTTGAGGTATGTGAGGGTGGGAAAGTGTGAAATTCGTGTAGGCGTGCGTGGTGATGAATGTGTGTGTTATGACCACGATCTTTGAAGAAAACTGGAGTACCGATATATAATTTGCACAGACACGGCCCAATCCTATGGGCATTTAGCAGCCCTGCAGGTTTGGATTGATCTCCCTCTTCAAAACACTGAGCTACAGGTGCATACGTCTACTCGTGGCAAATGATACAGAAGATGATAGTGAACTGTTCCTCGAAGCATTTCCCTAAGCCTCTCGCCCCACACCAGATAACCCTTATATTCTGTAAAGAGTGGTTATTAGCACATTTAATTTGTAGATATTTTCATATATGTGTTCGCATGCACACTAGTACAAGGTAATTTATCCAAGTCAAACTTGAGGAGGCCCAGGACAGGATCATTTACTGCTTGCCACTGATGTGTGCCTTGTAGTCAGGTATTGAACTAGGGTCCTCTTATTGCATAGCATAGTCTGCTGTATTACTGATAGAGACACACAAATACACTATATGTACACGTACCCATCCATATACACACATGCACAGGATGCTGTCCACTGTACTGCCATATACACACACAAATGAATAAATGCTCTTATGCACACGGATTGATTCGCAAATCGATGATGGTGGCGTGCAGGTGATTGCAATGATCAAAGGGCTGCAGGTGCTCATGGGGCGCATGGAGAGTGTTTTCAACCAGGCGATCCGGCACACCGTGTACGCCGCGCTGCAGGACTTTGCACAGATCACGCTCCGAGAACCGCTCCGCCAAGCGGTCAAGCGCAAGAAGAACCTCATCATCAGGTACGGGAGAATGGTTGTGCGTTTGGTGGGTGGGCGTGTATGTGTGAGAGAGTGTGCGTGGTGTGCGTATATGGGTGGAGTGGTTGCATAGTGGGATAGCACCCTGCGCTATGAATCCGGCGTCCTGAGTTTTGATTCCTGGCCACAGCTAACATCACTGGTGAATGATATCAGAGCTGGTCCTGGGCCTCTCTTAGGATGTCTCAGCCTTAAATAATTACCTGGTCCTTTCTTTAAACATCAACATTGGAGAAAAAAAGGCGGCCAGGCGTGTTGCTGGCTACAACACCCCCTTGTGCATCATGCCTGCCTCTATATGGGTCCTCGCCAACAACACTAGTTCCTGTAGTCTCAAAGCTTGTGTAGATACCCCTTGGTTTATGTGTTGTGCATTGTACCTTGCACACGGATTTATTAATCCAGTGCGAAATAAAGGCCTCCCCAGGCTGTGTCAGTCATAGGCGTTGTTTGATCATGCTGGTCAATGCAGGTTGGGGAAGGGAGGAGCCCCAGGACCAGTTTTAATATTGCTCGCTACTAATGCCCTGATCTGGAATGAATCTGATGTTGCCAAAGTCATAGCACGAAGCATTAACCACTGCACCACTGCTTGCCACCCCAAATGATTGCAAATTCCTGTGGGTTGGCGTGCGGTTGTTGTCTGTGGGGTGGCACGTGGTTGCAGCATCTTGCAGGCGATCCGCAAGACGTGCGGGGACTGGGAGGGCGGCGCAGAGCCAGCCTCTGACCCCTGCCTGCGTGGGGAGAAGGACCCCAAGGGTGGCTTCGAGCTGCACGTGCCCAGGCGCACAGTGGGGCCGTCTAGCACACAGGTGCTTGCTACAGCGTGTAACACCACGACAAAATGTCACACCACACACTGTGGAGTAAGGGAGCAAGACAGAATGTACATAGATGTTCACGCCACACCACTGCACATCAAACACCGCACACTTTTTACATGGTGCACATTATGCTGGGGTATCTGACAAGATGTGTGATGAGGTTATGGGTCGATGTGTGCCGCGGCAGCTGTACATGGTTCGCACCATGCTAGAGTCTCTGATCGCTGACAAAAGCGGCTCGCGCAAGACTCTGCGCTCATGCCTTGAGGGCCCAACCATCACCGCCATCGAGGAGATCCACCGCTCGTCCTTCTTCTACACCCACCTCCTTAACTTCAGCGGTAATTCCTCCTATTCTGGCATCTCCTCCACCTTATCGTTCTTCCACCCATGGTTGCCGCCGTGAGGTGCGCTTGTTCCGTCAGTAATGCGAGGTGTGTGTGTCGTGCCGCGGGTGTGTGGGATTGCAGAGGCCCTGCAGGCATGCTGCGACCTCTCACAGCTGTGGTTTCGGGAGTTCTTCCTGGAGCTGACAATGGGGCGACGGATTCAGTTCCCTATCGAGATGTCCATGCCCTGGATCCTCACAGACCATATCTTGGAGACGAAGGAGCCCAGCATGATGGAGTGGGTCCCACGTCCTTCCTTTAGCACTCACAAATACCAAAGGCCATGATACACTAGAGCAGTCAATTGTCACATAACCATAAACCATCTCCACATGACCACCTCAGTTGCTGAATAATAACTCAACATATTCACATCTTTAATGCACCATCCCTATATTCGAATTCTTTTATTACAAATTGAAAAGCTACATATTTCAATTCAAAATGATAAAATTGTCAACCTCATGGGACTTTAGTGTAATGCACAATCTCCAACTGTATGTCAGTCAAAGTCTTTGCTATATCTCTTTTGTTGGACCATTGTGCAAAACATGAGTACATTATATGTAGTTTATTATAAGGCAGTCTAAATGACGTGTAGTATTTATGTTAAAGCATGATTAACTTGAGTTTATTTACCAATTGAAACCGAACTGAGTCTCAAGAATCATCTTCAGCGAGTCCTAAACTAAATGATTCATCATTTACCAGGTAAGACTCACTGAGCGATACAGCTCTTTTTTACAAGTGAGCTGGCCACAAATGATAGCCCAATGAAGTGGCTTTTCGTGTGGAAATTTACTGCAGCCAAATACTCCTACTTTGGCTGATAGGCTGTCTTCTTTCTGTGTGTTTTTCTCCACATGCAGGTATGTGTTGTACCCACTGGACCTGTACAATGACAGTGCTCACTACGCCCTCACCAAGTTCAAGAAACAGTTCCTGTATGATGAGATCGAGGCTGAGGTGACTCATGCATGCTCACCAGCTCACCAGTCTAAACATTAAAAGACTCACCAGTCTCCCACTCACCAACGTAATGGTCTCACACCAAATCACCGGTTTCAATCTACAGATTACAAGTCCCACATTCACCAACTCGCCAACTCAATATTCTTACACGAGACACACACGGACCGTGTCACTTTGTGCTGCTATATGTGGTTGTGTCATTACATGTGTGTATGTATGTGCTTTCTCTGGTGCTCGTAGGTGAACCTCTGCTTTGACCAGTTTGTTTACAAGCTTTCGGACCAAATCTTTGCTTACTACAAGGCGCTGGCTGGAAGGTATCCTTTACACTCCTTACATTGGATTGTGGTATGAGTGTGGCTTATTTACATATGAACACAGGTCTGTGATGCCACATAGCAGATGCAATTTGTGGGTGTGTGCATATGTATGTGGGGGACGCTATAATTTCCAAACTGCCATGCGATTCTGAAAAGCAGCCCAATACCTCGTCATGGATAACTATGACAAGTGGTTATTTGTCACTAGGTCAGTTCAGCCTTAAATGAGTACTTGGTGCAATTTTTAAACATCACCACTGGGGAGACAAGACAGGCAGGCTTAGTAATGACCACACCACTCCCTCCTGTGTCTCGCTAAAAGCAAATGCTCCGATAGACTCTTTGTAGTTCAAAGGGAAATATTTGTTTTTGTGTGTGTGTATTCATGCGTGGCGAGCTGCAGTGGTTAATTTGCTACCCAACAAACCCAACAACGTGAGTTGGATTCCCAACCATGGATAATATTAGTGGCAAGCGATATCTGAAGTGGATGTCCCCTTTGTTGACTCAGACTTAAATGAGTACCTGGTGCAGTGTGTTAACATCATTGGGGGGAACAAGTGTGGCCGGGTGTGGGGCTGGCCATGTCAACTCCTGTGTGCCATTCCGGCCTTCATAGGTGCTCACTAACAGCACTTGACCCAACGTATGTAGGCTACATAGGGGATCTGTATTTGTCTGTATGTGCACGCCCCACTTTGCCAGTGTGCTGCTGGACAAGCGTTTCCGAACAGAGTGCAAGAACCATGGCGTGGTTATCCCCTACCCACCTTCAAACCGCTACGAAACACTGCTCAAGCAGCGCCACGTGCAGGTGTGTTCCTCCGCATCACAAGGTGTGATGCTCTGCATGTGGCCTCAAGTATTCACCCACATACCCTTGTGTGTTCTTCCACATGTGTCCTTAACCATTATGTATGCTCTACAATGCACAATTGTTTCTCTCTAGCTCCTCGGCCGCTCGATTGACCTGAATCGCCTGGTAACGCAGCGTGTGACGGCCGCCATGTACAAGTCCCTGGAGCTTGCCATCTCCCGCTTCGACAGCGAGAACCTTACCTCCATCGTGGTAGAGTACCGCACCCGCCACACCGGCTACATCGCACAGACTGCCCACACTGACTGCACCCGATTGCACTGACTGCATGCCCATACTGACCGCACTGACTGCTGTCGCCACACTGAATATATCGGTGTTAATATCTGCACCAGCCACTATATCCGCAGCGATATCAACAATGAAAGTTTCTGCAATGACATCACAAAACTAGTTCAGTACTAATCCTTATAAAAAAAAGATCAATACATATTTTTATAATTAATCAGGAGGAATTTTAAAATGCTGGCCAGGTGGCTTCCAGATCAGAACGCTGAGCTAGCGCTGTTGTATGGCATGGGTTCAAATCAAAGGCAGCTGCTGCATGTGATTAAACCTTACCCTCAAAGGTAGTGAGTTAATTTCCTGAACCCCAGTCATCACTGAGTACACACAAAACCCATAATGTTAAATTTGTCTATGTTTAAAAAAAAAGATCATACTTAGTAGGTGGAGATCATGAAGTGGGGCATTGCATGTGATGAAATTAGAGGAGGAGGTAAAAATTAAGTAGTAGTGATTACTGATTCCATGTAATTGGAGGTATTGCCGTGAATAGGACAGCTAGTCAGCTGAACATATAATGTTGAAATTCTTCTTTTTGCACCGCACGTAGCCAACCCTGCTAAGTAAGCGAGAGAGCAAGTGAGCGAGCAGCTGGGTGAACGAGCAAGTGAGAAGAGCGGTTGGGCGAGTGAGTGATCTATTGTTCAACCGTGTGTACCCGTGCAGGAGCTGGAGGCCCTGGTGGAGGTGAACCGCCTAACTCACAAGTTCCTCAGCAAGAGACTCACCTTGGACAACTTTGACGCAATGTTCCGTGAGGCGAACCACAACGTGTCGGCGCCGTACGGGCGTATCACTCTGCACGTCTTCTGGGAGCTCAACTATGACTTTCTGCCCAACTACTGCTACAACGGCTCCACTGGGAGGTGAGGCTGCGGTAAAGGTGGTAGAGGAAGAAAGAGGATCAGTAGGGTTTGTTTTGGAGGCTGGGTTGGGGGTGTGGCAGAGAGGAGGTGACAGTGTTTGGGTTGAGAGTGTGGGAGAGAAAGTGGCTGCTGCAGTGTTTGGTCTGGAGGGAGGCTATGTCGAACTATTCTGTAACCCAGATGTTCTCAACCAATGGTCGGTAGACTCCTAGTTACGCATCAGTAACAGCACACACACAAGACTGTTAATTAGAGGAAGGCTTTGGCAGTCAGTTGTGAATCTCTTAAGGCAAACTTCACAGGTTGAGAGCCCGTGTGCTGATCAACAACACCAGTGGACACCTTATCCGACAGCCCTAAGTGGCACAACATGACTGAAAGTATGCAAACCATTAACACGAGTGCACACCCATTCCGCCCCAGGTTTGTACGCACGCCGTACCCCTTCACGCAGGACCTGCAGAGAGACAAACCTCCCAACGTGCAACCACACTACCTCTTCGGCTCCAAGGTAAGTGCATGACCTGGCTGATGGTGGATGTGGTGGACAGGTTGGTGAGGGAGTGTGACACTTGTTTTTAGGGGTTTGTGGATGTGTATGATAGAGTTTAGAGGTATTTGTAAGGGTTTAGAGGGAAGTGGGGGGGACAGATGTACACGTGGGAGAGTGTAAGTTTATCTGTTGGAGGGGTACAGAGGCATCACATGGTGTGCATGGTATCATGTGTGAGAGAGGCTTGCGGTCGGCTGCAAGTGTGTGATAAAATGGGTGTATGTGGTTGTTTGTGATATTGTGTGGTAGTGTTTAGGAGGTTGTGGGTATGCGTGTGGAAAACTGGTAAAATGGGCAAGTGTATGGGAAGGTGGTCATGCGCTTACAAGATTGCTGAGACATGCGCATGTGTTAAAGTGTGAGTCTTGGAGATCATGGAAAAATGTGAATGTAAGAATGTGGTTGCATGTATAAGATTATATGAGTGTTTATGTGTGAAGGTATCAGTTCTCACCAGCACACATTGTTTTGTCACCTCTTGCCTCTCTGTGGCCATGTCTGCATGTGTCTGTGTGTCTCCTCGTGGGTGTTCCCTTGTCTCCTTTCATGTCCCTCTGTATGCCTGCCTCTTCCCCTCTGTGTCTTTGGTGTGTGCGCAGCCCCTCAACATCGCATACACGCACGTGTTCGCCACGTACCGCAACTTTGTGGGAGCGCCGCACCTGCGTACCATGTGCCGCCTCCTTGGCTACCAGGGCATCGCCGTGGTGATGGAGGAGCTGCTCAAGATCATCAAGAGCCTGGTGGGTGCTGAGGGTGTTGCTCCACTCACCTCCCTCCCCTCTGGTTTCCTTGGTTTTGTGGAATATTTACCTCTGGCTCAGGGCTATAATTGAAAGGTGAACAGTGGCCTTATATGTGCAGGAGCCACTTTAAACAAAAACAGTAACCATGCTTAAAACTTAGGCTTTCGCGACCAATATAATCCATAATAGAGTTTTTTTTGGGTTAGATCGTGTAAATATATAAATGTGTCGTTAAAACCCGCCACCACCCGGCACAGCCAACTAGTAAGGGTTGTCACGTAAGCAGAACATGCCAATTCGTCACTAGTACGGCACACCGGTGTGTTGGAGAGGCAAGCCACAACATTTACAATCTTAGTACGACGCTTCGTTAGTAATTACAACTGGCTTCATCAGGCTGTAGTGGTGATACGCGCTGGCAGTAGGGATCGTGTGGCAGCGCGTGGTGATTGGCTGTGTGTTAGTGACGCGCGCTGACAGGGAGTGATTGTGTGGCAGCGCGGGGTGATTGGTTGTGTGGTGGTAACACGCGCTGGGAAAACGGATCGTATGGCAGCGCGTCGTGATTGGTCGACTAGGGTGGGTGCTCACATCGCGGTCCGCATAGGCTCCGTCTCCTCGGAAGCGGAGGGCTATATAAGTCGGTGCGCGCGGGCGCTCGGGGAGTTGGTGACCAGTGAAGACAGAAGACGGAGGAGGAAGAGGTAGGGCCCTGAGACCCCTAGTCCCGCTGTCCTTGTAAGGGCCGGGACCCTGTGTGGCTCAGAGGCGGGACCTTGGGACCCGGGGCCGGACGTCCGTGTGAGGGCCGGGCCACGGGACCCAGTGGTCGTGACCCATACCCAAGCTGGGGTGGGTCTGTAGGTTCCCCTGGAAGCTACGGGGCTGGAGAGCCCGTGTGTGTGTAGCCGGGTGGAACGTGTAGCGTGAGCTGTAGTGTCCACATGTGTTATTGTGGCTAAGGAAGAGCTGTAGTTGTCCACACGTGTTATTGTGGCTAAGGAAGAGCTGTAGTTGTCCACACGTGTCATTGTGGCTAAGGAAGAGCTGTAGTTGTCCACACGTGTCATTGTGCCCAAGGAAAGAGTTAATAAAGTGTGCTACCCGTCAAGTGGTCTCCCGCCGTAATTTACAATACTACAAGGCGACAGTCAGATTTGTGGAGAGGTCTAACTGTTTCGTTCCTTATATAGAGGCGTAGATATGGTGACCACGCTTCTGTGCTCTTGCGCCATGTGGGGGGGGGGGATTTCTGAGGCAACTTACATTATGCATTATGCGAGTATTCATGCTGTTGAGTTGCAATGTGTCTCATCCCCATGTCTTTGCTCGAACCCCAGTTGCAGGGAACAATCCTGCAGTACGTGAAGACCCTGATGGAGGTGATGCCGACGATCTGTCGCCTGCCGCGACACGAATACGGCTCTCCTGGTAAGTATGCATACACGCACACATACACATGCAAGTCGCATGTGCGCACATATACCCCGCACACCCTGCACCTGACGCGCAAAATATACTGTGCACGCGTGCTAGACGCATACATATTTTGAGCAGCACACAGGCCTCACATAGACACTTATACAACTCCATATATGCACAACATGGCTGTGGTTGACTACATTTCACGTGGTAATAAAAAGTTGATTTGATTAGCAGTAGCTACTGTAGCGGTTGTGGTTGTTGCTGTCATGTGCAGGCATCTTGGAGTTCTTCCATCACCAGCTGAAGGACATCGTGGAGTACGCAGAGCTCAAGACTGACGTCTTCCAGAGCCTCAGGGAGGTCGGCAACGCTGTCGTCTTCTGCCTACTTACCGAGCAGAGCCTGGTACGTGTCGCTGGATTACAAGTCACCAGGTCACACATTGTGGCATTAGGATAAAGTGTCACAGGGGGAAGAGATGGTAGGGTCATGTATGTAAGCATACGATGCCTTTGTCTCCTGTTCACTATTGTCCCCTGCTTGTTTTTATCCCTTGTTTGTCTCTGTGTCGTGGTGTCCCTCTGCATGCTGTTTACTCTCATGTTCGCATGTCTTGTGTCACTGTGGCTTGTGATTTGCATTCTTCCTCTTTATGACCCCGTGTTTCTGTCTCCATATACGTGTCTCTGTGTTCCGAACATTCCACTTAATCTCTTTTCACTCTGTTGCCCATGTAACAAATTTACTTGCTTACTCATGTCCTTGTGTCCCCATATTCCCTCATCAATGTTTTTTCTATGTCCCGCTGTTGCGATCACCCCATGTCCTCACGTTGCCCCCATGTCTCAGTCCCAGGAGGAGGTGTGCGATCTACTCCACGCCGCGCCCTTTCAGAATATCCTTCCTCGAGTCTACGTCAAGGGTGCGTGGAGGCACACACTCTCGCGTCCACCCACACGCGTGTATATGCATGGGCATGCACAGATACGCACACAGATATACATGCAAAATGACAAAGATCCTCAGTATAGCCTTGCTGTTAGCAAGCATTTAATTAAGACCGGCATCGTGCATAATGGGGGTGGTGTGGTCAGGGCCATGTCTGATTTAGTTTAGTTTAAATAGACTGCCTTTATCTCCCACCTTCAGAAATAAACACAATGCAGCAGGCAGCCATTTTAGGCAGAGTCGAATGAGGTGAGGCCCATGATCAGTTAAAACATCACTCCCACTGATGTTAGCTGTGGGTAGATATAAAACGTTTCCAGGTTCATATCGCAGTGCACTAATCATGACGCCACTCTTATACGTACACATACAAAAATCAAGAAAATGCTAATTACATGCTTGTACACACACGATTTTTTCACGATTTTTAGCAGTGCTCATCCTTTATTCGATGCTAGCTTTGACTTCCTCTTAGCTGACTCATCTCAAAATAAGAAGGGCTTGATATATTGGCAGCGGGTCATTTGGGAGACAAAGGTGGCCAGACATGCATGGTGATGATTCCATCACCAACACTTTTGTGCTATACCAGCCTTAATATGTGCTCGCTACCAGCATTTGCACCTACTGGCTATGTGACTAAAGAGGGGATTATTGTCTTTTCTACTTGTGTTTTTATTATTGCGTGTGTTACTGGTTGCAGAGGGGGAACGTTTGGAAACTAAGATGCGTCGTTTGGAGCAGAAATACTCATCCCTGCACCTGGTGCCGCTCATAGAACGGCTGGGAACTGCACAGGTACAACAATGACGCACCACACCACATCGTGCTTGACCATACTTTACCATAAAACATGTTACAACATCATAGGCTATACAGCACACCATACTACACACACCTTTATGCTTTCACACACCACAAACCTTTCTTACCTTACGACACATCACACCATCTCACGTTTTCCGCACGCCACAACGCCACACACCATACATTGCCATACATTACCACATATTCTGCCACTTACCACCACTTACCACACCTGTGTTCTTAAAATCCCATAACTCATTCAGCATACATTGAGTCTCTCCTGGTTAAATAAAGGACAAGTGTTATAATGTCTCGTTCTATCAACACTAAACATTGAATCTCAGTGGGCCCTCACCTATTCAAATAAATGACTCATTTTGAATTCTGTCTTCCTCAGCAAATCGCCATCGCCCGAGAGGGAGACCTGCTCACCAAGGAGCGCCTCTGCTGTGGCCTATCCATGTTCGAGGTGCATTTTTCCATCGATATATTGTTTTTAAAATCTGTATTGCTCAAATCTTATGCCAAATATGCTATCGGTGTCATGTAATGAGGCATTGTATCAATTTGGGTTGCTCAAAAAATATTTCTACCCTTTGTACCAGAGAATGTCACGCAGAAATATCAAATAGCTACCTCTGAGATGCCTTCAAGTAACCTGGTCCACCCACTCTGCCATATGAGAGTAATATTTGTTTCATGATGGTCACACTGATATTTTATAGTTCTGAGAATTGGAATTGAAATCAATAAATGAACCTTATGGCGGTACCCCGGGGTACCATAGTACCCCGGCTCTCGCATAATGTCCGTGATGCAGTAATTTTTAGTCTGTTGATGGTCGGCGATGCGGCAATCGACTCATCTCGACGAGCTGTACACGATGCACTATGGTGCATACGAGCGTTCAGGGTCTCAGCGCAATCGTCCTCGCTGCGTTTCGACATCGCGGAGTAGCACTGATTTCGGATTGACTGGTACCCCAGTCGCGGAGTTATGTACACCCCTGGAAAAAATAGTGTCCCAGAAATAAAATATTTAATTGCCTCGGCCATTTTGTATTATTTGGTACCCCGGGGTACCGCCATAAAGATCAAATGTTGTGCAGCCACTGAGCCCATCAACTCACGAAACTTGAGAACACAGTTTAATCACAGGTGGCTGCTTGAATTTGACCCAAGGATCTCAGCAGTGCCAACTCAGTTCCCTGAACTCTGAGCCACACAGTTGCCTCGCGTTCGATTAATTAAGTTGAGATTAACCGCCAGTTAATGGCGGCTGAGGCACTGAGTGCCACGGAGTCAGCAAATGTGAATGGATTGGGGATTCATTGAAAACTTGCCGATTAAAGCATCAATGTCTGTAATTAGAGTATCTATTTAACTGTGACTTGCTTAGATACATTTTTACAGTTTCCAGCAGCCCATGGGGGTGTATTTAATCACTAGGTATATAAAGATAACTAAATTCCTTAATTAAAATATATATTTGTATTTGTTCATGTCACCTGCATCGAATCGTGTGCATGACATTTTGTAATTGTGTATTTTGTAGGGAATCGGATAAGTTAAACCTGCAGCCACTAGAGGTGCTATACAACTTCCTTGAATCACATAATGATGTGTTTGACCTTACCTGTTGAAGTCTTATGCTCATTAACAAAGTTTCAAACTCTTGCCATGCAACCCAAAAATGTATCTGCGAAGATAAGAATTTTTGCCTTTTTGTCGGCCTCTTCCCTTCGTCGTTGTCGCTACCGACGGGTCATGGTTAATCAGGGAGTGTCGCGTTCGATGCTGTGCGTGTAGGTGATCCTGCAGCGAGCGGGCACGTGCCTGGACGACCCCGTGTGGCGAGGACCACCGCCGGCCAACGGCGTGATGCACGTGGACGAGTGCGTGCAGTTCCACCGCCTGTGGAGCGCCATGCAGTTTGTCTACTGCATCCCCGTGGGCACGCACGAATTCACTGCAGAGTACGCACGCGCACGCATACGCTCGTGGAGTACGCGCACGCATAGAACTGATAAGCTTGCGATGATTAATCGGTGAAAAATCTAATCTTTTGCCCACCGTACATGCGGAATATTAAATAGTTTCGGTGTGCTATATGGCTTGCGAAATTTCAATTACATTTATTTAATTTATTGCTTGTCTCTGGTACGGAAATGTGGGATGCAATTTTACATGAACGACATGATATAAACATTATTATTAATTGTGTGCGTAAGAACCATTTTTTTTATGGTAATTTGTTATATTTGATTGGTTTAATTGACCCTTTTAGCCACTAGGAGTGCTATATTTAAAATAATCAATTTGTGGCTAAAAAATTTTGATTGTTGAGTCTAATCGCGACCCCGAGTTGAGGGGATGAATTTTTCTATGCCCAGTGCATGCATTGATGGATACCCTCACATACACAGAGGTACATGTATGCACATACGCATGGGTGCACATATACATTGGAGGGTACATGCACACAGGAACTATTAGAGGGAGGATGTACACATACAGTTGTTTGGTTATGGTGGTTGTTCAGTGTAGGCAGTGCTCAAGAGACGGGCTGCACTGGGTGGGCTGTGCGGTGATGACACTGCAGACGTGTTAATGGCTTTGATTATGATCGAAGTTATTATGGATATGGTTCTTGTTGTTGATGTTTTTGCGGGTGTAGGCAGTGCTTTGGAGACGGGCTGAACTGGGCGGGTTGTGCGGTGATGACGCTGCTCGGGCAGCAGAGGAGGTTTGACCTCCTCGACTTCTGCTACCACCTGCTCAAGGTGCAGAGGCAGGACGGCAAGGACGACGTGATCAAGAACGTGGTACGCCAGCCACAACCACACCACAACGGCAACCGCGATTCAAACAAACATCAGCCACAGCAAATACTACTTCGTTACACAACCAAAATTGCACTGCAAACGCAACCACACCACCACCAGGCCGCTCTGGCAGCCAAAGTAAATAACGCACCCAAGAAGAGGTTCACAGTTGAGAGATGAAGCAATGAGTTCAGCTTGAGTGCATGTGCTGGATGCATTGTTATGTCACAGGACTGTGAGAGATGGCAACGACTTGGGGAAAGCCTTAATCCAGCAGAAGATTAATCATGGCTGACAATGTTAAAAGGTCATCTGTCGATCAATAACTGCACGTGAGCCACATTGTTTTATCATTGCGCTGTAACTGTACGGTGTTTCCCTCTCGCTCTCCCACTGTGCCCACGCTCCAGCCATTGAAAAAGATGGTGGAGCGGATCCGGCGATACCAGATCCTAAACAACAGCATCTTCGCCGTTCTCAACAAGTATCTACGCGGCTCCGAGTGGGACCCGGCCCACACGGCGCCACCGCCACACGGGCACAGTGACGGGCTTCCCGCCGAACACGTGCGCTGCTTCCAGCCACCTATCCACCAGTCGCTCGCCAGCACCATCTAACACCTCATGAGCAACTCACGCGCACCTCGTTAACAGTGCTGGTCACCCATCCGTCGTCAGTCGTCTGCCAGTGCTATCTTGAACCTTGCGAGAACCTCACTAGCATCTCATACTCCACTTAAAACTCACTGATGCCTCACTAGAACCACACGAACACCACCAATCAACTTCAAGACCAATTAACCTCACCGGCACCCAATGCCTCATTAATACCTCACAAACAAGCACCAGTAACTTATTCATGACTTGCTCGCCAACACAATTTAGAACCATACACCTCACGAACACCTCACCATTACATCACAAATGCCTAACCATCAACTCGCCAACAATTCCTCATTACTATAGAAACAGTATGTCACCAACACTTCCATGTGTCCAATCCCCAGCCTCTTCCGAACACTTCCTTTACACCGCCTCACCACCCCTTCCCACTTCACCATTCTCTCAACACCCTCTCAACACCTCCGCAATGCTCACTCAACACCTATTCTCTCCCTCACGCCACTTAAGATCTCTCCGTGTTTATTCACACGTCAGTGTGGGATTAGTCGGAGAGTGCGTACGCACACTTTGCACGAGAGTGCCGCGTGGGCCCATCTGCTCCCATGAGCATTTCATGTTCCCTATCGTGGCCACATCCACTCGTACTTTGAGGAGCAGAGCACGACTGCATTTGCTTCTGGAAAAGCGCTTCCCTTCTGCGTAGCAATGTTTCAAAAACAGTCATGCAAATATGAATCTGCTCTCTGGCCTCAATTGAAGCCTGGATTAGAAACACCTAGATCTTAAAAGAAACCTCTCTCGCTAATTTGAAGCGTGAATTGCAATTTGCGAGCTGACAAATTGCAGTGTGCTGCAGAGAAACCTACTTCCGGTTGCATGTGTATCTTAATGCTCTGAGGGCTGCAGGTACAGCTAAATAGGGGTGCCAAATGTCCTGGCAATGGTACTGTCGTTATTTTTAAATCTGTGCGTGTATGTTGTGTTGTTTTTTTGTGTGCCGTGTAGTCCTGTTCCCTCTAACCCTTCCCTTTACCTTCACCACTGCTGCACAAACTTTCTCGCTGATTTATAATTATGAGTGTCATTTCATCTATTTATATATATTTTTTGCTGGCCTCACCATTCCACATTTAACGATTTATCAATTCAAATCGAATGATTGTGCTCACAATGCATGCATTACAGCATCGCGACTAGCAGTCACATTTAGATGCTACATAAATCTATAATGTATTGTTTCAATCCGTGATTGTAAGATTAAATAATTTGTATTCCATGCAAATAATATCCATTTATATTCAAATGTTACCTTTTGTCTAATGGAACCAATGAGTCAGAACAAACAAAAACCGTACTTATGAGACACAATACAAACTAGATAATATCACAAACAAGATTAATCGACTCTTGTATCAAACCATGGAACTGAATTGTTAAAATGAATCACGTTGTGGTGGGGTTGAATCGTTACATGCTTACTATACTGTGTCCTGCGTTGCATTTTGATGAGCTGCAGTCTGCAATGGCTGTAGAGTTTTGCGATGTACCATTAACACCTGGAGGCAACGGGAAATGTTGCCCCGGGACTTGCAGTCACGATCTGACGTAAAGTCAAGCGTGTGTCGCGACGAGCTAAGGTTAGTCACACTTTTACAAGCCGTAGCCAGGAGAATACAGGTACAGCCAAACTGCACATTTTTTTAAATGTATCCATATATACAGGTATGTCCATTTGCACACTGATGAGGTTTCTCTACATTGAAACTTATATCGACATGGCCATGAGGTAATTTAATAGGTGTACCCATAACTATGGGTACAATGAGCAGGCTACCTGACCCAGAGAGGCTCATAAGAGTCATGTCAGAGAGCTGGGTCAGCACTAGGCCTCGGCAAGGTACGGTCATTTACCCTTTTTACCGGGTAAAGAGTAAAGGTGTCGACATGCCAAGGGGTAAGGTAAAGGGTAGGCTCGTTTTTACCTTTTACCTTACCTTGCCGAGGCCTAATCAGCACTGTGGAGATCCCCAGTTTGAGCTCGAGGGCCGTGTATCTTCCAGTGGTCACGTGACGACAATGAGCCAGCAGTGTTGTGATTCCTGCATTCAAATTCCGGCTCCAGATACCCACGTTTAACAAGGTCCTTGTGTGTAATGAGTTGATGGTCTCAGCCTGCCTGGTCATCACTGACCGTACAAAAACCTCCATCGGAATGGGATTTCATATAATTCGGAAATTTTCTTTCCCAGGTTAAGTAAAACATATGTTGGATGATTGACGCATGGTGAACCACGCTCCTTGAGTTTTGACAAACAATTATTGTAACGCCGTGACAGACCATATTGCCGAGACCTACCCGAGCACTCTTAACGTGGCAGCACTAACAAATGGCGATTTCAATTGAATTTTGTCTTTTACCCAGATAAACCTCAGTAAGTCTCAAATCAAGTACTACTTTGGGATGTTTAGACTGTTCCTTTTGAGTAATAGTTTTTTTTTACATGTGGGAGAAACACTGGAATGGCCAGATAACATAGGTCAAAAATTTGTATGTTTGATGATAGTTGTGTTACTGATGACGGTGATAATAATAGTGTGAGTGATGAACATTGTGACAGTGATGATCGGTCTTGATAATGTTGATGGTTGATTGTTCATGATGATAGTGATGATTGTAATGGTGAGAGTAAGGGTAATAATGACGGTGGTGTTCATGATATCAATGGTGATGAGTATATTTATGATATTTGTATTATGGTGATGACAAACATGCCCATGGATGATAGAGTTGTTGTTATCAGTGGTGATAATGATAATGGTGGTGATACTAATAGTAATGAGAATTATGATTGTGACGATAATGCTGGTGATGTCGATGTTATTTTGTATATCAGCTACTTAATGTGATCATTTACATTCTCCAATGGCTCAGTGTGAGTGTGGTTGATAAAGGTATACGATCTTAGTGTTATCCATCACCTCCATCGTCATCATCATAGTCCTCAGTTGCGGTACTTATTGATGTTTATTAATTTAATTCGTTGATTTCTTTGGATTTTTGGTGCTTTTTGTGTTTTTTAAGTGCAGTATTTTTTATTATTAATATTTTAAGAGCTGGCTAGAAAGCTGTAAAAGGAAGTGGTGAATGTGTTCCATCACCTTGGATTTAGACCACATTTACTAATTAAATGTCATGGAGATGCATGTTCATCACAGCCTGTGTGTGCAGTGGTGGTAGGAGCAAGTGAGAGAGACATCGGTGCTCTCCGGAGTAAACATTTAAACCCATGGTTTGTATGAGGGAAATGCATTTTAAACAGGATATGGAATTGCCTGATATTAACACTGAACCTGCACGATGTCTGTTCAAACTTAAAACTCAATCTTTCATGATATTAACTGCAATATTTGTTAGCTGTGGATAACAATAGCTGGGTATGAGTGGCTGGGTTTAGGTGAGTGCCAGATAAATAATAATGTTTTCTTTTTGGCCCAGGAAATCTTCATTGTGTCAGTATTCTTCAGGAGGTTTGTGAACAATTGTTCAAATCTGTTCACAAGTATTTGGCTTCACGTGGAAGGATATCGCAGTGCCCAGAGAAATCCAACACGAGGTGGTAACCCTAAAGGCCCCGGCACAGATACATTCAAGAATCCATTGCTGTCTGCCATCTCCTGACCACTAAGTACAAGCACACAATATGTGTACTAACCAGGATGAAATTATGTTTAGCTTTGATGATGGGTATGGTGATTTGTTTATAGGAAATATGCGTGGATAGCTGTGGGTAGTAGCGTGTAAGTGATAAGGTGTAAGTGGTAGGATTCCAGTGTCAAGTTATAGCTGAGCAGGTGGGTGTGGGTGCCTGAGTATAGATGAGTAACTGGGTGTGCGCGATGAATTGTGGATGACTAGATTTGAACCAGATCTCGGGGCACATTGAAGGACAGAAAATGACAATATACTGATGTGCGTAGAAGCATATAACGCAATGAAACAATTTCACCCGCAATAAGGAAGTCTAGTGTGAAAACACCACTGTTAAAATGTCTTGAAGTTGGCAACGCTCGTGGGCTGCGTGACGGCGTACACTGGCAGTGCACGCCAGCCTAGGTGAAGCAGAGGCACAACTTGCAATGATAATTCGATCAGAGTTCTTGATAGCTTGCATTGACACAGCTATCGAGTGTGCAGGCATTGCAACTGCACCTTGGGCCCACGGGCTGGAAGAGTCCAGGTGCTGGGCTACGAAGGCGGGTGGATGGAAGTTGTGGTCGAGCACTGCGGTTTGGCTGGGGGGCTCTGGCAGTGCAGATTGCTGGGGCTCGTGAAGAGCGGGTATGTTGAGCTCTGCAGTGGGTTGGCTGTGATTTGGTGGGAGTGCATTTAAACTTGCAAGAAACCAAGATGCCCAGGCTACATCGTTGGAGACGCGCGTGTGCAGCAGGCCATCGGCACGCGGAGACGTGAGGTGAGAGGGGACGGTGATACACAACACGTTCTTTACACCAGGACCCCATGGGTGTCGGTGACTGACAGGTGTGGTTTCTGGATGCAGATGACTGATATTGTGGATGACTATACCTGGGTACACGCAGTGGTTTGCAAGACACTTGTTTCTGACACCCACATGTCCTGTCGACTTGAGTGTTTCACAAATTGTCTGCCCTTGTGCAACTACCTCCCCCATGTCCACACTCTGCATTTTCATGATTACCAATATTTGTTTCATAATATGCAAATTAGGCCACTACACACCTGATGGTGATCACAGAAAGCTGTACCGTGGAGGGCCGTGGGAGAAATTGCTGTCGATATAAAATATGACAAATATGGAGTCGCTTTATTGTTAATCCATGTCGTTTATTCCGACAGCATTCAACACGATGACAAATTGACAGAGGAGTTGATGGTAGCCCGTTCGGCACGTGCTTTTCATGCAGGAAAATGCACGGTCGTGCGCACGCGCACAAACGCACAGTCGCATCATGCAAGCATGGTTGCACAATATAGGGTGACCCGAAAGTTTACCGAGAGCACGGTTGGCTATATACGGTGCAAAATAAGTTCTCCGTACATAGGGACGCACTCTTGCCGGCAAATTTACTTTTGGGCCACCCTGTACCCAAAGACATTCGCACACGCGCTCGGTCGCACACAGTCTTGGCACACGCGCAATTGCGTGTGGATTTGCACACGTGGTCACACGCACAATCACGCTCGCGCGCGCACACAATTTCAATCAACTATGCCACACAGTCGCACGCACACAGCCTCGCACACTATGGCGTATTTTCAGTTGCAAACTTAACTTATATTTTTTTTGTCACGGATACGACTATTTAAGTAATACTTTTATGACTATTAATACCAACGCAATTTTCAAGAATAACAACAGTAGTAAATGTGATTGAGGGTGCAGTGGAGGTGGGAGATGCAACTGAGGTTATTGTGGTGTTGTGATTCAGCTTGAGATTTTGTCACTTGGACTGAGATGGTCGTGCATATTAAGATTGGGAGTTTATACGAAGTAGTTCACAATGAGATGTATTTTTTCGAGATTTCAGTTCAGATTGTTAGTGTAGTAGACATTGATGTAGCCAGGAGTGATGCAGACAATATCCAGGCTATACAAATTCCAGCTTCCTGACAGCCAACGGTCCGCCGCACCGAACTGGGAACTGGGGTGTCGTCCCAACGCCATAGATGGTCCCCCCCGCCCCAAAATCAACCTTAGGTCTTTCACCCCTAACCTAAGTGTCCCACACCTAATCCAGGTCTCCAACACCTAACCCATGCCCCCATGCCACACACCCAGGTCTCGCACATCTAATGCACTCCCTAGCAGTGGGTGTGGAAGGTCTGCCACACCTAACCCCAGGCGTTATACACCTATCTGTATATCCCAACCCCAATCAAGGTCTCCCACACCTAACTAAAGTCGTCACACTCGGGTCCCCTGCTTCCTACAGATACGCACGTGTATGTGTGTGTGTGTATATATTTGAACAAGACTACATCTCTTTATTGACCTGGTCAAGACCTTTGATACCATCAACAGGCCAGGACCCTGGGCTGTTTTGTGTGCTTTTGGAGTTCCTGACTATCTGCTCACAATCATTAAGGGCCGTCAGGATGGTGGGCAGGCGTCACAGCCATTCCCTGTTCACCTTGGGGTGCGACAGGGATGTCCTCTGGCTCCCACATTTCACATCATCTTTGACCACGTAGTTCGAGAAACTTTCCATGACTACCGGAGGAATTCTGGTACAAATACAATGGGAGACTGATCGATGCCCAAGTGCGGTCGAGGGATTGCTCCCTATTAGTCATCTATGTTCTGTTTGCCGATGATCTGGTGATTGCTGCTCACTCAGACAAAGAGTTGGAGGTGCTGCTGCTAAGAGGTGGGGTCTTACCATCAGCCCCGCCAAAACTAAGCACCTGCCTGGGTATTTTGTGCCATCAAACATTCCACCACCCCTTCAACTCCCCATTGATGATGCAGCAGATTTTGATGGAGTGGAGAGTTTCCCATGCCTGGACAGTGTGTTTATGACCAGCTCGGGTTTGACAGCAGAGGTCTCACTCCGAATCCGTTGGGCGGCATCTTTTCATTAGCTGTGTAATGCTGTGTGGAAGCTACCTGGTCTTTTGCTTCACATTAAGCTTTGGGTCTTCTCGGCCAAAGTCATACCCTCCCTTCTCTATGCTTGTGACACGTAGACCCCTCTAATGAAACATCTGCGCAGGTTAGAAATATTCAGGCTGGCCTGCCTTCGATCCATCCTGGGTTTAACTAGACTGAATTGTGTGAGGAGCTCACAAGTTCTTGACAGATCTGGACACATTCCCATAAGTGAGCTCCTCCGGCAGGCAAGGGTGCGTTGGCTGGGTCATGTATCCCGCATGCCCAGCCACTGCATGCCCAAGCAGCTTCTGTTTGGCCGCATAGAGGGGGTTAAACGGGCACGACACGGGCTGGAGATGAGATGGACTGATGCGGGATGGGAGGATGTGGAGCTGAGTGGAATTGCCGATGACCGGTACCAGCGGTATAAAGATCGGCCTCTATTGAGGAGGCTCGTGAAGGACGCTACTGGGCAGTTGGAGGCGGCAATGGAGAACAGCGGAGCGACGCTCACAACAACGAGCAGAGCGCCAGGCGGCTAAAAAGCAAGTTGGCACAGTAGGGGGTACAGCTGGGTGCATCTACCGGTTATCTCAGTCATCCAACCCATGGCACCTGCTGGGTCTGTCCCGTGACCAATCAGCAGCGAGCCTTCGGCACTTCACGTGGCGGCCTCAAAGTGCACCTGGCCTGGCACAGGCGCCGTGGTGACGTCACCGTCACTTAATGGCGAGGAGTGGCAGTGGTGTTGTATGTGTCTGTGCAAGTGCGTGTGCATGTGGGGGAGCGGTAGTGTAGCGGTTAGCGCACTGCGCTGCAAACCTAGCGACCTGAGTTCAGTTCCCACTCACGGCCAACACCAGTGACAATAATCTGGGCCTCCTCTGGGTCGAGTCGGCCTCAAATAATATGCGATGTGTAAACATCGCCACTAGGGAAAAAACATCGCCACAGACAAAGGCGGCCGGGCGTGGTGCTGACCACCTACCCCCTTGTATGCCGTGCCGGCCTTCATCGATGCTCGCGAACAGCACTTGCCCCAACAGTCTGTTAAGGTTATACGGGGGATCTTAGTGTTAACGCGTGTCTGCATGTATGTCTATGAACGTGCATGTGTGGGGCATTCGGCCCGTCTGCATATTACACGTGTGTATCTATTGTATGTAAATCATGTAAATGTATAACTATAAAAAGTTATGAATACTATGATATAGTGCTCATACACAGATATAGGTGCAAGGGGGTATATTTGTATTCAAGTGTTACGTCTATTTTTTGCACGTGTATATACTCTATATTAACAGTCGACATGACTCTAACAGTCGACATGACTCTAAAATTTGCATTTTGTTCCCTGATCCACGCGTTGTTCTTTCTGTCAGTCCAATTCCAAGCATGCGCCACACTTTATTGTTTTATCAACAGTATGTTACATTTGGTCAACGCCTCCTCTGTTAGTGGGTACTACGCACTGAATTACGTATGTGTGTAAATATTTATCGATGTATACGTGTACATATATGAATGTTCATGGATTATGTACAAGTCTGAAAGTATTTTGGAAATATTCTGTAACGCGTGTGCATATACACGTATATATGTGGACGATGTGTGCGTTTGTCCTCGAGAGCATAGATAGCATCAGCCTCCCATGATCCTGCGTTACAGCATGTGTAATATCTGTACGAATGTGTAAAACGTATGTGTATACAAAAAAAGCGGAATGTGCCCTCATACATTAAACGCACACATTAAATGTTCCACCTGCCAGTCTGCAGTACGCAACGCCTGTGCAAATCTTCATCAGGGTTCCTCTGGTTCCAGGCTAGTACAATGACTGCCATGCTAAAGGCATCAATGGCCAATTGTAGTCATCTGTGGGTGGGTGGCCAGGGCCCATGACATCAGCTGCTTGGCCACACCATAATGTCAAAGCATACAGGATGTGTGTGTGTGATGTATGTCTATGATGCTAGGACAATTGGTCGATCAAATCGCCAACTTTTGTGTGAACATTCATTGTGGCTTTTGTGTGAACATTCATTGTGGCCGTTGGCATTTAGGCTTAGTATCTCATCAATTATGGAAAAGGAAAGATCTCACCAAGAAGATGCTTCTCCAACCGTAGTATTTTGATCCCGGTACATATTTTGACAGCCAAATCGTGAGATTGAAAAGTCCATGCGGGTGAACTGTTACTTTTTTGTGGTTGATTACTCTGGCCGAGCATGACGAGGAGGATGCTGAATTGTCATAAAACTCCGCCCAACACCTCCCGTCCATCGTCACACATGGGGGAACAAAGGTGAGACTTCCCCCACCCCCCCCCCCAACTATTTTTCGTGTCATCCGATTAGTCGTATAATCGAACCGATAATCGGTAAAGTAATCGGTTACTTAGATAATCGGACACTCCAGCTCTCGTATTGTGTGCCCTGTATAATATAGGTTGATCATAAAGTCCCGATGGCGTTTTGAAGTATTGTATCTTTACAACGAATAATGTTGCCCCGTGTGAAATATTACGTAGGTTGTGGTATAATAAACACGTTTTTTTAACACTCATTCGTTACCTCTACACTTTAACTTGGTGTACATATTGATCGCAATTTCGTAGTCACATTTAAGAAAATTCACCAAATGTTTCGCAATGTCAGAGGCCTAGCAGAGCGCTTAAGCATCACAAACACCGCCGGTCTCCTTAAACTTGGTCGCACTTTGCTCAAAGTCTTCTCGAACGATGCCTCACCTCCACAGACCCTGTGCTGCACTTGTGTGATCCCCCTGCCCTTCCCTTGTCCCTGCGTCCCTGTATTCTATTGTTGCCTTCTTACCTATCCCCAGACTCTCGCCCACACTGTCTTTTCGTGCTCGTCACTCACTGAGGTTGCAACTAAAACCACAGCGCACACGGAGCTTTCTGCCATACTCATCATTTCAGAATGCACCAAATTCAGTGCTGCCCACCCGAGCTAACAAAACTTTCCCAACAACAACAAAAACCCCAATAAATATTTGAATGTAATTGAACATTTGCATTGTTAAAACATAAATATAAGAGAATAGTTTCAGACGTGGCTTTAAAGTTTGTGTTCAAAAGTTGCTGCTAAGCTCAAACGGACAGAACATATGCATCTCAGATATTAACATTTCAGAAACAGAAGTGCATAAATGACGGCTGACGTTTGACATTAGATCACCCCCTGCTTTTTGACATTCACGGCAGAGGCAAGTGATGTCACTTTAACCAAGTGGCCAAAAACGGGGGAAATGGAGGGTGCCTTCTTTTTTGTCTTGTCACATGACAATTGCTACACCTGTGATCGGCCACTAAATATTTCAATCAGCTCAAGCCTCCCGTAAACCACATGACTTGTGTGTGGCAACCCCCACTGAATCCCTCCCCTCCACCGCCCCCTGTGAAAACAGACGCTACTCCGTGCAGCTCACTTCTGATTCGTCTTTTCTCTCCCTCTGTTCCTTCCCCTTTTCATTCCTGAAATCTTGACTCGGTCATGCCTTCTCCACTTCTGGCCCAGAGCTCCTTATTTCTTCCTGCTGCTCATCTCGAGCCGTGCCCATCTTTGTCCGTCTTGAGGACTTCCGTCCCAGCAGCTCTTCCCTTTCCCGTTCCTTTTTCTGATTCCAAACATTTTATCCTTGGCTCTACTCCCTTTCTCATGGTGTACCACGGGCACAGAGTTTAAATTACATTTAAATTGCAGTCAGTGCACTGTGCAGGAAACTAATAACTCCTAACGCAGACTGCAGAGGCTGTGTGTACTGCAGTCCGGCAGTTGAAACACATTGTGAGAAATATACAACCTCCAATTTGTCTCCTTTTGCTATTGTTTGCGCTTGGCAGCAGCTTTTTGATGTAAATATACGGGCATTAGTTTCCAAAATCTAGGTTGTTAAAACTAGGTAGGTCTTATAAAGTTATCCTGTACATACCATATGCATATACAAAGTTGGGGAACCTATGGCACCGCAGGCCACGCACGGGCCTCGACTCCATTTCATTTGGGCCATGGTCACATGAGGCCCACCACTTCGAAACGACGAGCAAACGATATTTATCAGTCAATGCAAGAATCTTAGCCAAACTAATGAGCCACTAGCGGGGAATGTTTTAGCCTTGGCAACACAGTGTTTATCATTTTAGCATGTTCAGTCACTTTAGCACGTTCAGACTCGGCGACACACGTATTATTTGTCTCATTGTTATTAGGGAAGGAGTGTGTTAACGAGCGGCCGCTAAACGGTATTGAAATGTCTATCTGGCCCTCAGCAGAAGGTTCCCAACCCTTGATGTATTATTAGGGGTGAGTTTTGGATTTAATTTATTCGTGTATCAGATTTTTTTTGTAATTTCGGGTTTAAATAACTAATTGTTTATGCACTGAAGATATTCTAAAATAATATTCAATATTTAAAATTAAATACAAATTTTCAACATAAAGTTCCATCAGAATGATAATTTGAGTTCAAACAATTGTATATGTTCATAAGTTAAGCAACATCACATATGATAAAAAATAAAGTCACGTGGGAAAAGGATGTCAGTGGCCTCACAGGAGGTAATGTCACTTCTTGTGCCGCCAAAAGTCATTTTTGTTATCAATCCAAATCCATTTTTTCCCTCGGATGACCCTAAACGTTGTATCTGTGACGTGTGTGGCAGCGTGCACTACGTCCCTCCGCCCCCTCGCCGCGGGGTTCCGTACGCCCCCTTTACCCTCCCTACCCGGGCTGCTTCTTGCGGTTGAGGTAGGTGGCCCAGTAGACGAGGTTAAAGATGGCGAAGAGGATGGGGAAGACGACGCGGGACAGCTTGTCGATGCGGCTCACGCTGTTGTAGGTGCGCAGGGGCCGCGGCGTCGAGCACGCCGGCATCATGGGGGGGTGGGCACCACCTTCGGCGGCCACGCACCCCCCGCCCAGGTGCAGGGGTACCGCACCGCCCACGCCTCGGAGCACGGCCTGGCCCTCGTGGGGGGGGCCGTAAACCCCTGACGAGAAGCCCCCCGTGACCCCCTGAACGGCATAGGGGAAGACGGGGAGGAGGGGGTTGAGCGAGCGGGCTTGTGGTGTACTACGACCGTGCGAGACATGTGGTTCGATGGCGTACGATGCGCCGTGGCGTGCGGCAAGACATGTCGTATGCTGTGGTATGATGTATAGTGGTGTGTGCCATACCTGCATAGCCGCCTTGCCCGTGAGTACGGCACCAAGGGCTGTGGTGTGCGGGTAGTGCGAGCCGCGGGACTGGTGACCCAGCGTAGTGGTGCGCGGGTAGAGGGGAGCTCCCCCCTCCAGGGCACGCATCATGGCGTGGTGACGCTTGCGTCCCATGGACAGCGGCAAGGGCCGCTCCTTCTTCTGCACGGTGAATGTCAAAGCCGGCGATCATGTTATGGTTGAAATAATAGTAAGTACATTGTAAATAATGTCCAAGGGACCAAAATCACCAGTGACCAATTCACGTGGAATGCGCCCGAGCTCGTGAGATCTCAGAAGCCAAGCAGGCCTTGAGCCTGGATAGCGCTTGGATGAGCAATCACCATGCATAATAGGTGTTGTCGGTTATGGGGTTACGTGGTGGGTGGCAGACTCAAATGCAGAAAAATCCATTCTTGTATTGTACATCTATTCTCCCCACCTTCAACTCGCACTAGTCAAATAACCCCTATGACCCGCACAGTGTGGCATAGGTCTTCATCCAGCAGTAGAGTGACAAAAGAGCTGTACATGTGTAGTGACTTGCAGTGTCACTACTGGCTACACACACACACGTGTGACGTCACTACGCGGGGGAGCGTCACTACCCCGCGGGTCTAAACACACACACATGGCGTCAACCCGTCTGGAGGTGGGAATGACGTCAGGGCCGGTTCAGGGATCTGGAGGCCGTGGGTGAGGCCACGGAGGTTGTGTAAGGCCATGGCACTCTGAGTGAACCTGGCTGGACACATGACCGGATTAAGGTGGGGGCCGGGGGCACCTTGGGGGGCCACGTGGACAGCCGAGCAGCTTCGAGAGGGTTCTGGAAGGGAGGCGTGACCGTGGTGGGGCCCGGACACGCCGAGGCCGATATAAGTGGCCTCCTCACGGGGCTCAAGGCTGCCGTGTCAAGAATGAAGATGCATTGTGAAGACGCCTCCTGAGAAGAGTCAAGCCTCCAGTCAGCGGAGCCGCCAGTAGCCCACCTGGCTGGGTCACGCTCGTGTATCCGAGAGTTCGTGGTAGAGAGTGACGTTGCATGTTAGTTAGAACAGGTTGGTGGTTACCACCCTATGTTAAGTGTAACGTGTTGGTGTTAATAAATAGTGTTGTCTCCCAAGAAGTTGTGTGCGCCTATCTGAGCCCATTACACACATAGAAATATATATGTTTGCCTAGAAGAGCTTCACTGAGACTCAACACTTTCTTTGGCTCCGGCATTGGGCATTTTGGGCAATATCATCCGTGAGTCTTTGGCATGCGGGAGGAAACCGGAGAACACTGATGTATTCAAGTATCCATTTATGCGTGCCATCTCCTAACCATCTCGTATCTCAATCCTCCCACACCTGGTATTTCTGGGTAGTCTCCTATGCCAGGGCTAGCCAGGCATATGTCTGCTTAGCGTTTGACTTCCGAAAAGATTGGGCACATTCGGGAAAATTTACTTGGGATCAGGTATGGCATTAGCAGATTAGGGGTGATTTAGGGGTTATGACCAAGCTGGGGTTGGGATTACTGTTGTGACTATGCAATACACTACGAACATGCTATGCAAGTTCCGTTACTGGGTGCCATGGTGGTGAGATTTTAACTACCTCGCCTGGTATACAGGAGGTCAAGGGTTCGATCCTGACCCTGACGCCTGTATTTTTGGAGTTTGCATGTTCTGTCCGTGATCACATGGATTTTTCTCCAGATCCTCCGTTTTTTCCCTCCACATTTCGAATAATAGTAATAATGCTAATTTGTAACGCGCACAGTTTTCACTTGTCCAAAGGCAGCGAACCTGGGGCGCAGAGCCCAGCTCAGAGATCCGCTCAGTAAAAGTCACAATAAAAAGATGTTTTGTGAGAAGGCGCTTAAAGGTAGGTAGGGGAATGGCGCTCCGGGTGGAGAGGCCGACAACAGAGAAACGACGCATGGCGATCGTGGTCCTGACTCTCGGTGTCGAGAATTACTCCTGGGTAGAGCTGCGGAGAATTCTGGTGGTGGTTTGGGAGCAGGGCGTCAGGAGGTCTGAGAGGTGTGGAGGGCAACCGGTACTGCAGGCAGTGTAACAGACGCTGGCAAATTTGAAGGTGATTCTGATGGGGATTGGGAGCCAGTGGAGGGCCCGGAGAGCGAAGTCGGAGGTCTGACGCGGTTGGTGGGAGGTGAGGACAGTGTGTGCGAGGTTGTTTTATAGTCGAATCAACATGCGTTTAGAGTAATTGGCTTCTAGAAATTTCCACGTGATAAGCCACTTCGTTGAGCTATCATTTGTGGCCAAGTTGCTTCTGAAAAAAGAGCTATTTGGGTAAAAGGCCTTACCTGGTCAAATTAAAATTGTTTAAATTTCGATTTAAAGCTTTCGTGACTGCAGGGATTCATCTTCTTGGTTCTTTCGGTAAAGTCACGTAGAATGGAAATAATAAAATAAGAAATACATTTTTTGTTTTTGTTTTTTTCCCATTCTACGTGACTTTACCGAAAGAATCAAGAAGATAAAATGGTATAGTTTTATTTTAGAACATGGCTAAAAGGTCACTGCATTGCTCCTAGGTTTTGCGGTTGAGCATTTCAGCGATAAACGCTTTCAAACTAAGATTAATAGCATTTATGCTGTTGTTCTTTCCGTCACATGTGTGTGTTATAGTGGTGTCACTTTGACTCTCTTAAAGGTGATGCAAAGTGAACCAACAACTTTAACACCAAGTTGTGTTGCTATTATGGACTTATGGGCTTATAGAAAACCAGCCAAATTGATCAAGGGAATGCCCAAGACTTGAAACACAAACCTTAGCAAATAGGACTATTTGCAGGCATGCGTTTGCACCGACAGAAACCCGTCATCGGTTTCCATACAAACGAATGTTTGTAAAGCGTTACTAAGTCCAAGTGTATGCGTGATTTCTTTTGACGACTTGTTGTCGTGGGTGCGCGTCACCTTAGCAGGCGGCGCGTGCTTTCCATCCCAGGCCCAGGCCCGCTTGGTGAAGTAGTTGACGGTGGCGAACTCGATGAGCGCTGAGAAGACGAAGGCGTAACACACGGCGATGAACCAATCCATGGCCGTGGCGTACGCCACCTTAGGCAGCGACGAGCGCGCGCTGATGCTCAGCGTCGTCATCGTCAGCACCGTCGTCACGCCTGGACACGGGGACACGCAGGAAGGACATGGGATGACACAGGGACATGGGCAGGGGGATACAGAGGCCCACAGAGATACATGGGAAGGACATGGTTAAGACACAGTGACACAAGGGCCAGGGGACACGGAGGCACACCGAGAGACGCGGGAAGGACATGGGAAGACATGGAGACACGGGATAGGGGGAGACGGAGGTACACAGAGAGACAAAGGAATGACATGGGAAGATGTGGAGACACAGGGGCAGGGAGACAAGGAGGCATACGGAGGATTGTGGGGACACAGGGAGGATATTGGGAGATGGGGAGATACAGGGGCATGGGGAGACACAGATATGGGGAAGATGGGGGAGACATGGGGCACGAAAGGAAAATCTAGATATGTGAATGGATGTAGGGGATGCAGTGATGCATGGGGAGTGGAGACACAGAGGCAAGATGAGGATACGGAGATAGAAACGTGGAGACAGAGGCACTGGAGGGACACAGGGATGTGATTGTTTACATGCGACCATGCATGTCTGTATCTCTGTTTGAGGAGCGTTAGGGCACTGGTTCATACAATTCGCTATGAACCTGACAACCTTGATTTGATTCCCGGCCAAAGCAAACATCAGAGGCAAGTGATATCTGAATTGGCACGGAGCATCCCCTAGGTCAACTCAGGCCTAAATGAGTACCTGGTGCGGTGTGTTAACATCAGCACTGGGAAGATGAAGGCGACCTTCATTAGGTGCTCACTAACAGCACTTTCCACACTTTCCTCAACAGCTGATGTAAGCTACATGGGGGATCTGTGTGTGTATGTGTGTGTTAAAGAATTCTCACCAAAGACCGTTCTGGCTGGGACGGATTCTCGGTTGAGCCAAAATGACACCTTCAGGCACAACACACACAAACAGATATAAATATACATTAAGTTACATGCATGTATGTGTAGTGACATCGGGGATGTCACTGTATGGTGCCGGCCCGAGAGGGCCATGGCGTGCGATGTTCCTACGTCGCGGACAGCACTGAGTGGGTTGCTATGTGAGGCCGGCTCTAGCACAGCACGGCGTGCGATGCACCGTCATCGCGTACACTCCGTGGGCGGGTGTAGTACCAGCCTGAGCATGGCTTGGTGAGCGCTGGGATAGCACAGGCACCACGCATAGCGTGCAGTGCGGGCTCCCACAAGGGGGAGCGGGAGAATGTCAGCCCAGGGACAGGGTTGCCCCGGGCCATGGCACTCTGGTTGACCCCGTAAACACGTGATCTGGAGTGTCCACAGAGAGGCCCCCAGGTTGGGGTGCTAGGGATCGAGAGGGAGCTAGAACGCTCGAAAAGGCGGGCGGGGCCAAGGGCGGAGCGCCCCGACCCAGGGGGATATAAGGTGGGTCCCTGGGAGAGACCGGGGTTCTTCGTTTTACAAGCTGGAAGCTCTACGTCTACAAGCTGGAAGCTCTACGAGGCATCAACACATGGTCGGGGACCCGAGTGAGGGTCTGACCCTTTGTAGCTGTAACTCCTACGTATAGAGTAGTCAGCTGGGTGGTCACCACCCTAGGCTGTATCTGGTGAAGGGGCAGTTACCCCTTTGTGTTAACGGGTTGATGTTACAATAAAAGTGTTGCCTCTAAAGAACAACGTCTGCGACTCAGTTTGACTCACTACATATGTATGCACAGACATATACACGCAGGCAAATATATACAGAGAGAAATATGAACACAAATACATGCATGCAGACACATGCACATGCAAACAGGTACACGTGCACACACATATACACAACTGAAGCCTCGTAATAACCCTACCCTGTTCAGGGCACAAACCACGTGCGTGGTCCTCCCCTAGGTGGACTCAGCCTCAAATGTATACCTGGCGCGGTGTGTAAACATCATATCGTATAATGGGATATCGTGTAATGCCTAAAGTAGTGTGCTGTGGAGCGAGGAGTGATGTGTGATGATGTCTGGAGCCTGGTGGACACCGCAATGTGTCTGGTGTCGTGGGCATTGTCTGGGTGATTGCAGATCTCAGGAAAGCCATGTTGCCAAAGGAAGCCTTCACGACAAACTGCGTTCGCTACCAACTCACAAATGATGCCGTTTGGAATGGTGAAAGCTCCAGCTGACTTTAGTCGAATGATGGTGATGATGCTCATCGGGGACATACCACATACCGCTGATTACAATAACATATAGTAAAAGTAATTAGAATGTTGTTTTTGATAGAGTGCCCTTCCCACCAGGACATCTCGGAGCGCATCCTCCCGCGTGTCCACACAGACACGTGGGAGAAACGTTTGACGGTACTTACTCAGGTTCTCTGACGACTCAGGCAATACAATTTAACAAGGCCGACAGAATACCAGATAGGTTTCACTAAGACTGAGTTTTTGGGTCACGTGCTAGGACAGGGGCAGATTTAGGTCACAACAAGATGTCTCAAACCCTACGTGCAAAAGAGCACTCACAACCAAGATAGAATTGAAGTACAGCCGTAAATTTATTTTGCATTTTATAGATAGAGAAAATACACTTAGATATTTCATGCCATTTTGGCCGAGGAAGCAAATTGTGTGTTTGAAGAGTTGAAAAGCAGAATGGTGCAGGAGCGTGTTTTTAAATGAGGGTTTCATCCTCGCGACTGATGCATCTGAAACGGTCTTATGCAAGAATATTATGGGGTAAAAACTTTCCCGTCACGTATGCAAATCCCGCAAACTACTTCCACGTGAGTGCCACTACCCGACCTTTGAGTGAGAGGGGTTAATGCTTTGTGTGAGCAGCTCGGCAATTTACTTTTGCTTTCATATGGCTGGGGGGGGGGGAAGGGTTCAGAAGGGGACCATCGTTCAACTCGTCTACCTTAATCAGTTTCAAATTGAGAATGACTGAATAACGCATCGGGGAATTTGCACTGTAGCAACATCGATTTTCCACTTGGGCCATCAAGGGCACAAAAGGCTTGGCACCGACTACTTTAGTCACTGTTAATAACCACGAAGCCACGCCAAAAGCTCGTTCCGTTATCACATTTCTAACCCCGGGTGTTTTTTTTGTCTGAACGTCAAATTGGCATTGACTTCGCTCGGCGGCAGGGACCCAACGTCGCGACGGTGAAAGTGAGGAGCGGTAAGAGGTGGACTGGGCCACGGAAAGTAAAATTGGCTGGGCGATTGCCACCCACCCGGTACATGTAGCATCCTCACTAACTCACTCGCGGAGGAAGGGAGCCGTGGGCGAGGCTGGCAATGTGAGGAATAGAAAAAAAATCGGCCGCAGATTGGGCCGCACCAAAGGGCGGGCATCATCGTTGGGAGTTAACGCCGTTCCATTTCGCCTGGATGATGGTGGCGGTATTCGTTGCGTTTTAAGGTCTCTCGAACGCACGTAATGGGTGGTGCCGCTGCAGAGAAGGCTATTGCCGTACACTGGAGAAAATAAGATAAATTGTTGGGTGATATAAAAGACGGCGGGTCGGAGCAGCAGGCGAGCGAGTGGGGCTCAGCGCCGCTCACTGGAGCCACTGCTCCACTCATTCCCCGCTCTGCCGGCTGCTGCTCCACGGGACGTGAGTTTTTTCTTTTCACTTTGAGCTACGCTGTGATAAATCCCCAACGGGTTGCACTGTTGGCCGTGATAACAAGGCCCTGTTGTTTTATTTTCTTCTAAATTTAGGTTGCGATATTCAGACTGCAACATCCGTGTTACCGGACTGCCTACACAAACTGTCGTTGCCGCCTTGTAGACCTGTTAAATGCATCTCTTGTAGATTGTGATATTTAAGAGCCTCATTTGGCTAAGTATTCAATAAATTGTTCATACAGAAGTAATGTGGATGAAAACAACATTGGATGAATACAATAAGATATTGAGGGGGGGGGGCTGCCAGACCCACAGAGTAGGTGGCCTGACATGGCTATTGTGGCATGCTTTTTGTGATGTGTACCATGGTATGTTTGGTGTTGCATGAGCTGTAGATGTGCGTCCCTTGGCGTGGCATGTACCATAATCTAGACGGTGGATACCGTGATGTCGCCAATATCAGGGCTACACCCAGTGCTTCATCTCAGCCAGGTCTGTTTGAATTGATGACCCACAATGTAATTCCTGTTATGGCTGTGGATACTAGTCGCGTGCCTGCTCAAATGTCCTAGCGACCCGGAAAAAATAACCGGTGAGAAATGAAGCCCTGGGCGAACCCATGGCGTGCTCGGTGCATTGGGTGAACCGTCGTGCCGCGGTGTGGACCGTACCTGCGACAGAATGACTGTCATGATGCAGGGCAGGTAGGTCTGGATCACAAAGTACCCAATCTTCCGCTGCAGGTGGAAGTCGATGACCATGACCGTGTACTCACCTGCGCACAGACACCGCACACACTCGGCGTCTAACGTTGCACCGTTTTATCAATGCAATATCGATTCCTAAGGCCCGCGGGTGCACGTATACGTGCATCGCGTGCATGAGGATCTTGTGTGGTTTTATTGGTTGTTACGTGTACAAATTATACGCTCGTGTTATGCTCAGGCTAACAGAGGAGATGCAATTTTATAAACGAAACAACAAATGAAGAGAGAATCTAAACGAGATGCTACAAATTATTGCACGCCCCCACACCCACCAGCGTCTCCATGTGTCTCCCCATGTCGCAGGAAGTCTTTGTGTGTGTGCCTGTGAATCACTGCGTATCTTCTTTTTCCCTTGTGTGTTGCCTCAAGTGTCATTTGTGCTCCATTGCACCAGTGTGTCCCCTCTGTTCCGTAATCATCGTTGTTATTTATACCGCACCTCCCATGCAGCGCATCCCCAAGGTTCCAGAACAAGAGAATAGCGCAGTCGGGAATTGATTGCAGACTAAATACAAGGTGCAAAAACAATGCAGTGTGGATAATGTACACAAACTGCTTGTCCCCCGGCCCAAGTACCCCGGTGTGATCCCTAGTACCCCTGTCTGCCTCGTCCCCCCCCCCCCCTTTGTTCCACCCCTCCCCCCTCCAGTGCCGTCTCCGTAATGCGGACCTGTGCTCGTCCTCTTGGTCTCGTTGCCGACCGTCTGCTTGTAGAGGTGGTACTGGTTGAGCCGGGAGCCATCGGACGCCACGTTCACCGAGTTGTTGCTGCCATTGGTCCACTCGTAGCGCACCTCCGAGATTGGGTACGCATCTACCGCACCGCACCACACCGCACCACACCACACCACACCGCACCACGCCATGAGAGTCCGCAATCGCACCAGTGCACCTTGACAGACTGCACGAGACCGCCACCTCGGCAGAACCACGTCAAGCCAGACCGCACCGCGATCAACCTCCCCCACACCTCGCCACACCGTGACAGACCACCCTGCTGCACCACGCCACACACCGTGACAAACTGCACCACAGCAGCGTTGGTATTCGCAGCCTCCGTTTAGCTACGATTGGATACGTACGGTGCGGAAGAAGTTTAACACACAGATATAAAAGTGGTGATCGTGCTTGGTGATAGTGTCACTGTAATAATTGTTGTGGTTGTGGAAGATGGTGGTGGTTATGGTAAGCGATGGGTTGTTGTGCATGTGATGGTTACAGTGATTAGGGTGTGGTGGTTATAATGGGCATGGTTATGTTTTTGATGGTAAGGGTTTTTTGATTGTGGTCATTGTGATGGTAAAGGTTATGTTTATTTTATTGTGGTTGTTGTTTTGGTGCATGCGGTTGTTGTGGCGGTTGTGGTTATTGTCGTGGGGATTGTGGTGGTTCTGGTTATTGTTGTGGTGGTTGTGGTTATCGTGTTTTTTTGTTGCAGTTGTGGTGCTTGTGGTTATTTTTGTAGTTGTAGTTGTTCTAGTAGTTCTGGTTGTGGTGTATGTAATTCTCTCGGTTGTGGTTGTCGTAGTTGCGGTGGTGGTTGTTGTTGTGGTGGTTGTGGTTGTTGTTGTAGCTCACAGCTCCCAAACTTGAGTGGGCACACGTGCATGTCCATCGGGAAGTCGGTGAGGGACATGGGACACTCAGCGTGAACGGTGAGCCTAAACATCACCACATGACCATCACAGCATCACCACAAGACCATCACAGCACCATTACACCACAATCACATCAACATCACCGCGCCATCCCCATCACGTAAATGTTGCACCACCATCGCATGACCGTCACTATCACTGGACGATTGGCGTCGCCATTACATCAACGGAACCATTGCAATCACAAGACCACTGAAGCACCAACCTTGCCACAGTAGGATTGCCATCACAGCACCAGTGCCTCAACAGTAACATGGCAAGATCATTGCAACATCGTAGCATCGTAATGGATGTGTGGACACGGTGGTGGCATTTGTGAGGTGGTTATGAGGGTGTGTGTGTGTTTGTCTTTTTAAATCCTTTATATTAAGTTCACTTGCGCGCTTGCTTGCTTGCTTGCGCGCTTACGACCGTGCAAATCTTTCGGTCGTTTTTTAACCCACTTCCCGTGATCCAATCGAGCTGACATTTTGCACACAGACTCGTTGTGCGTGACAATTTATTTTCGTGAAAACAATTTTCCATAACTTTACACTTTTTAGGAAAAAAAAAAATTATATTTAATTACCAATTGCTTAATGGTGGCAGGCAATCATCTGACCCATAGGTGGCAGCCATCTCAAGCCAGAGGACGAGAGGACTCCAACCGCCACACATAAAAAGGATTTATAGTGAAAAACTTAGTTTTTACGGGTTAATTTTTTATTTGTTACCTGTATGTGCGTGTGGAATGTGAATGGAATGCACGTGGTGCAAGTGTGTTTGGTATAAACGTGTGTATGTGTGATATACGAATGTGTATGTCGTGTGTGGTTCCATTTCTAGGCTCCCTGCTCCGTTTTTATTCTTGGCCATCGCTCTTCATCCCTTCCTGCCATTACGCATTCTGCCCAAGCCCCGCACTCTTCTTAATAGGTCGGATGATGTCATTCACCTGCATGCATTCTCTTTAATCCACAGTGTTTCCTCACTCCATCTCTCGGTGCGCTTCCGAGCGCACGTCTTTCTCCACACTTCTGTTTGCGCGCTTTTCACCTTATTTTCAACCGTTGTCGTTCATGACTGCGCTGTTTCTGAACCAATTTATCGCGGCGGGTAGTACACTCTGATTCGTGTGCACGTTCTACCCTCGGCGCAGACGACGATGTGCAACGAGCGTGCGGTGTGGGCGTGCGTCCGAGCACGAGGGAGAGCGCGCGCGCGTGCCTCATGGTGTAGAGCAGTGTGCCGTCTTCCATGATGCGGACCAGCTTATTGGGCGTCGTGATGTTGTGAGCCACCGACTTCTTGCCATTGTGGAAGAACGTGTCGGGCGTCCAGATGCGCGACGCCATCATGTTGTTCACGGGCAGCATTTTCATGGGGCCTGGGTGCATGTGCACAAAAGTACAATGGAATAAATTCCACATTCACCCCCCCCCCCCCGCCCTCTCCCATGGCATTGAACAGACTTTTGGGGCAAGTGCTGTTAGCGAGCACGTATAAATGTCGGCATGGCACGTGAGGGGGGTGGGTGGCCAGCACCACAACTTGGCTGCTTTCGCCTCCCCAGGGGCAATGATTGTGTATCGAACCAGGTAGTAATTTGAGGCTGGCCAGCACCACGTTCCCCACACATGTTCACACACACACATATACACACACCCATGTACATTCCCGCATGCCCATGCACACGCATGTAAGCACGCACACAACTGTGCGCCCGACGCCATGCGTGACCTCTCACCGGTGAACTTGAGGCGCTCATCTTTCCAGGTCTGTCTGAAGAATACGTCCACCGTATACTCCTGTGTGCACATGGGGATACGGTGAAAACACTGGGGCGTGGTGATACTGATGGTGGTGCTGGTGCTGGTGACAGTGATGATAGTGCTGACAGTGACGCTGGTGTTGATGGTAATAGTGATAATGGTAATGGTGGTGCCTGGCATTGATGGTGTTGATGGTGCTCACCATGTCCGTGTCGGACACCGGTCCGAAACTCGTTACGTAGACGTTCGTCTTTACCTCCGTGACCCCATCTGCCGGAACAGGGGAGACACTGGTCAGGGGTCACGGTGATCGTAGCTATTGTGGTTATGTTTATGAAATTGAAGGTCGTAATGGATATAGTTGTGGCCAGGATTGTTGATTGTGGTGTGGCTAGCATTGGTGGCTGTGGTTATTGGTGATTGGGGTTGTCGTGGTATTTGTCGCTATGGTTCATATTGGTGGTTGTAGTTGGGTGTGGTGGTTGTTGTTTTGGTTGTGCCATTGGTGGTTGTGGTTGGTGGTGGTTTTGTTTACCGCCGAGGCCGGGTCTCAGACGGTTGTCGTATCCTTTGAGGAGTCCATCGAGGATTTTTGTGAAAACTGTGATTTTGTCCTGGGCATCCCCTCCATCACTGACATCACCATCACCAATCATCACACAGAGTACATAACACCATCATCATCCAACATCACACCAATCATCATGCAGCAAACATCGCACACCCAACATCACACCGAACATCACTCAGCGAACATTACACACGGAACATCACTGACCATCACGCACGGAACATCACTCATAACCAAAGTGTACACCAGTGGCCTTGAACCAATGGGTCGTGCTCCCTCCCTGTGAAAACCTTGCATGGGGACACATTCTGTGACGTGGATAAATGCAAGCAAAATTTCAGTCGTGCGCAGGAGGAGACGTCAGCACCGTGTTGCTAGTGAAACAACACTCTAATACAGTGAAACAAGGGCCTTGCTAACAGCGGCGTGCCCAGCATGCGATCTCCCTGTGTATTGTGGACTTGGTAGAGAGTGGGAAGTTGGTGGGGAGTGAGGGAGGGAGAGGAGGGGGAGGGAAAGGGGGGCTGTCATCCTAAAGAGTTTTAGAATCAAAGTGTCGATCATCGACACCGTCAACTCACCTTGCGTGTGTCCGCAGCGCGAGTGCAAGGCACAGGAGGAAGGCCAGCAAAGTCATCCTAGGGGACAGCGTGAGACACGGAGAGGTGAGCACGCATGCACATCTCACGAGAAAAACACTCGTAGATTCTCATACACTCTCAAGAGATGAACAGATGTATTATTCTTTTTAATGGTGAAGCTATCGAGTGCACAAGTGGTGCAACTTCACCGGGATCCACAATGCAGTGGGGCTCAGCCGCTCCCAGGTTGACCCAGCCTGCGATGTGTGCGTGGGTGCATGGTGGACTGCGTGGATATGTACGTGTCTGTGCAGGCGTGAGATTTACCAAGCGACAAAAAACCACGAAAATGTAAAAGTGCACCGAGTGTACGAGGAAATTGACCTGATTTTAAATTAGGACAAACGTACTCGTGCAACAGCGTAATGCAAAGATCGTGACCCCGGTAAACGTGGATCGTTGGGCCATTGTTAGGGCGAACGGTTCCCAACCACGTGCCGACGTTGGCCCGATGTTCCACGTTTACGGGTTTAGTTCACAATACAATTCGTTAACAGCTGTCGTGTCGCTGCGCCACGCTATCATTGCTATCGAGTTTTGTGACCGGACCACCTGTAATGTGCCCGGTCTCGTTACATATCGGAAGCCAAGCAGGGTTTTTGGCCTGGATGGAGCTCAGATGGATCACGTGGGGTGAACTCGTGTCCACTGCGAGCGCTCGCCGAGGGCACGGGGGTTGATTGGGATTTACTCATTCGTGCCCAGAAATACAGCAGCTGGATTCACAACAGACATCGACTTGCACAGCTGCTACTCAATTCACATTCATGTGAAGAATCAAATGGAGAATGCAACGGTAGGTTGAATGGAACAGTGATGATAAGATGCTCGATAAATTTAGCATCAGAGTGAGGAACCAGAGAGAAGAATATATCTTGATTATTACAGACATTACAAACAATCCCCGGAATGGCAGGGATATCCTTGTCCTCGGAAAAATCAAGACAAGTAGTGGACACAGGCTAATATGCAATAGCAGTTACACTTGGAAATTCCAAAAAACTAGGACATAATTCATGAGAGGCAACAGCAAGACAGTGAACGTACAAGAATAGCTCAGGAGGGAGGAGGATTTAGACTGATTTTATATTCCAGTCCCCAGAGAAGCAAAATTATTAAGTGGATGTCACCACTGTAAATAATTAAGTAAGCCGTATTGTAATGTATAGCGCACTGAAAGTGGCGAGCATAGTAAAACCCCAGGGAACAAGTGGCAAATCACCGATCGACAAACCATCGTCATGGCCCCACGTGTGATAGAGAAGGGCCATTGGCCGAAACGTCACCTATCGTGTACTTATCCTTTTCAAGGCCACAGCGTTATTGACAAGGAACGTGTTTGAGTGTTTTGTTGTTGTAGTTATCTGCGTGGCAGCATCAGATGATGAGATGAAGAAAAGGAGTGACGCAGATGATTAGAATCCCAAGCAAGATACTCGACTACATATAACTCTGTATAACCCACGTGGAAAAGGATGAGAAGGGAAACAGATAATACAGCAGTAACAGTGACTGAAGATGTCAAACAATAAACGGTGGGAGCATGGGAGCAGCAAATATGAGATTGATAACTGGTAAGTCACATGTGGTAGTCGCGTTAAGATGACAGGATTGGAACTGTAACATGTGATAGAATCAGTTAACGCTTGGAAGGATTTAATCCAGATCACTTTTAAGAACAATCATCTACTCCAGTAGCGAAACCACTTTCACACGGGGAGAATTTTCCAGATTAAATCACCACTGCCCTTTGCAGTTTGGGAAAAAAGAAAAAGGTTCCAGATATGATGGCATTAGCTGTGAATGTAATCAAAGAAGTAGGGCCTGCTGTTGGAACAACAAGAAACATCCTATTTACTCATTGTCTCAAAGGGAAAGGAAATACCTCAATTGTGGAATGATGCATCGATACTCATTTTGTTTTCAATAAAAAGGAAGGCAGCACTTGATTTGAAGAAAAAACGACCCATTCGCTCTCCCGTGCTCACAATGTTCATGAAGATCATAGAGAACCGAATAAGGGACATTTCAGAGGCTAAACAGCTACATAAGCCTAGCTGTGTTTATAAAATGGTTATCTACCATTGATCGCATACATACATACATGCATCAGTCAAATCCTATAAAAAGACAAATGAATCTGAAACACCATGATCTGGCATATAATGAAGGAATTTAATCCAGTCATCCAGGTTCTAACAAACCGTGGCTTTAATGCAAACATATATAAAAGCCATTTAGAAAGATGGACGAATTATAATTGGGTTAAAATGAAGAAAGCAGCAAAATATATCAATCGATATAAGAGTAATCGAACTATGCAAAAAATGAACGTAACACACTAATTTCAGAAAATATAAAGACAGCTTCAAGGTTGGGCGTACGATAAACACGATACAAGCAAAACACAAGTCACAGACAACAAGTTTTCTGAACATAAGAAGATAACTGTAGGAGAAACGGACGTGGGAAAACATCAGAATGTATTCACTGACGAGAGCGACGAATGAAGGGAGAATGGGGTCCAAAATGAGGAATGAGGTGCGAACAAGCGCAGAATGGAGTTCTGTTGGAGAACACAATGCGAGAATTAAAAGTTAATTCACAGTGTGCTATGGGCCAGACAGATGAAGACCTTTACAAGCGAAATGGAACGAAAGCCGAAAAGTGTGCAAAGAAGAGAGAGGCATGTTGCGAATTATATCGAGAGAAAGAAGAACACGTGGAACAGACAATAAAGCGAAAATAAGAGACACTTTCGTGAATGTTAAGAAGGGTATTTCAACTTGGGAGGGCACTTCACGACAAGGGATGATGATAAGCTTTGATCGAGACTGGTGACAGAATGACACCCAAAGGAGGGAAATCACACATGGGATGATGACCTCTGCAGAGATGATTACATCGCTCCAGAAGTGAGATTAATTAGAGCATCGCAAGACCACGGGGGATGATGTCAGGAAGGCCTCCATCCAGCAGTGGATAGCCAATGCCTGATGAGGATTAACAAACAGATGTAGCTAACCGTTCAACACTCAAGAAGTAACATTTGCAGAGATAACCACTCAAACATTCCGAGAGATAACTCAAAACACAGTCACTCAGAGGTAACCACTCAGACCGGGAGGATCGCTATGTCCTTTATAGAGAAAACCACAGACAATAACTTGTATGAATAATGTAAAAAAAACCTGTATCCAATTTTTTTTGTTATAAAGGCTGGCATCAGAAACTCTGAGACGATTGGTATTTTCACCGTTGATGTGTATGCCTTTGTTTCTCCAGTCCACGTTTTTTTTGTAAAGTTATGCAAATGTCACCGTTGGATAATTTTAGCGATAGTGTTTCTCCATGGCGGACTCCTCTTCTCCTACGAGCTTTGATGCTCGATGCAGTCTCAATGCCTCTGTTACATCAGTGTGAATGTGTATGTTAAAAATCACAACCAGAATAAACACGTTTATCTTGGTGCCTGGGTTTAGATGACTAATGATGCCAATGCCTTTTCATAGTCTATAAAGACCAAAGCGGTATGATTTTTGGTTTTCAACTCCTCTTTTCCAAAGTCTAAACTAAACAATTTTTTTATTTTAACAGGTAAATACCACTGAACTATATCGCTCTTTTTTCAAAAGTGATTTGTCCACAAATGATAACCCAATGAAGTGGCTTATCGTGTGGAAATTTGTAGCAGCCAAATACTCTAAACGCATGTTTCTAAATGTGGAGGGAAAAACCGGAGGACCCGAAGACAAAGCAACGTGACTACGGAGAGAACATGCGAACTACAAATATACAGCAGCAGGCGTCAGGGTTGAGGATCGAACCCACGACCTCCTGTGTACCAAGCGATGTAGTTAGCATCTCACCACCGTGGTATATATGAAAGTCGATGATTGAAACCCCTGTTCCTAACCCTGAACAAGCCTATACACATCGAGATTCACTGGGATAGACGCTCATAGATGTTCTCATACATTAATATCCATAGAGATACTCATTTAGGGTCACAGAGATGAGCACTAAAAGCACCCAGAGATAAACATACATTAACTGCTCATCGAGATAAACAGAGCTGATTATTATTCATGGAAACGTCTGATATTGCTCTGGAAAGCCAATAGACTCATAAACAATAATACTCATTTATATAGTGGAGACACAAAACAGTCCTGCTCATGTTTGATATAACCTGCATTGCTTTATTTCAGCCGCAACAATCTGGACAGCTGTTCTGGGAATTGATCTTTGCACGCGATATCCAGCTCTCCTTATTTATTCATAAACTTGTGCATGTGATTACAGGGATGTATGGTACAATCATATCTGACCTGAACGCTCTCCTAGAGTGGTGGTTGGTGCCTTACGACGATAATCCCGACTCCAAGTCGGCCTTGCATAGTTTCGGAAAGTAACGCGTCGGCAATGAACCCGTGGCTTCAACGTTTCGATAGATTGGGACATACGCACTGAGATGAATGTGGGCTGAGAGGCATGGAAGAGGAGGAGGAGGGTGGGAGATGCGTTGAGAGATTGGAGTTCGATTTATCAGGAGAGACAATGGATGCGTGAAGTCGGAGATTTACAGAGATGTAATAATAGAAGGCTGATATGATGCCCTGACAGTAAGCATCTATTTGGAGATGCACCAGGAGAGGCATGCTTATTATTTTAATTATGGTAATGATAACGATTGATGATAACAAAAGTGTTGATAATCATGGAAGTGTGTACAGATGATTAGCGGGTGTTGTGTATTATAATTTATGATGACTGTGATCATGATATTGCTCATGCTGATGGTCGTGGTCATTACCAGCAGCAGCGATAACGCCGTGATAATCTTATGGATAGTGGAAATGATTACGATGACGGATAGTTAAGATTAGAAAGATGATGAAGATAACGATCATGGTAATTCAATACGAGAGACGATGATGCTAGCAATGCGACCGATGATGCTACTGCTGATGTTGCTGCTGCTCATGATGATGTGAAGACTTGCGCAGATGATTTGTGTGCTTGCAAATTCCCTGCGCAGAATCCCCCGCATATATTCCCGTACACTGCACGCTGTGCAGTCCGAGGGTCAACCATCGCCAACCAACCATCATCACCACCAACAACATAAATCATTACCAACACCGTCGTCATCATCATCATCAGCTCCAGCAGCAACATCACCACCCCAGCCACCACGGCCAGGACCACCATCATTACAATATCACTACTGTACGTCACCATCTTCACCGTTATTGTCGTCAACGTGCACCATCACATCGACACCACCACCATCATCATCATTAACATCGTCGACAATATCGCCATCACCATCATCAACACTCTCTCACCTGACCTGGCGATGGCCGCCTCGGAATAAAATATCGCGTGGGAGGATTCTCTGCTCGCCACCCTCTCTCCCTCTTCTCTGGATCCCTCTCCCCTTCCTCCCCTCGATGCCTCTCGTTCCGTGCCTCTCCTCCCCTCTCCCTCCCTCCCTCCCCTCTCCTCTCCCCTCCCGCTCCTCTTTTTTTTCGCCTCCCCACTCCTCTCCCTGACTCGCTTCTCCCTCCCTCTGCTGCTTTCACTCCCTGTCTGTCTCTCTGCCTGCCTCTCCCCCGACCTCTCCCCTGCCTCTCCCCTCCTGTCCTCTCTCCATGCCTCTGTCCTTCTCTCTTCCCCTCACTCTTGTCTCCTTTATATCTCCTCCCATCTCTGCCTCATCTCTCTCCCTCTCGTCCCTCTGTTCTCCACTGTGGCTGCCACACTCCACGTCTCCCGCTTGTCCCACTTTCCCGAACTGCGCGTCGCTGTGTCTCACTCTCTCTGCGTTCCATAATATCTCATTGTCCTTCCTTCCTTCCCTCTCTCTTTTTTTTATGGTGGTACATTTTTAAAATAAATATACCAACTCATACAAGTATAGAACAACAAAGCACGGTAGAAAAACCCTCCTTTCTAGATTTGACGTTTTCGTGACTGCAAGGATCCATACTTTTGTGATTTTTTCCGGTAAAGTCACGTAGGTATAAAATAAAATGAAAACAACTCAATTAAATCACGACGCCTCTCTCTCTCCACGTATCTAGAGCTGTATCATTGAGTCTCTCTGCCACTCACCTGTCTCTTCCCGTCTCCTCGCCTCGGTGTCTCCTTGCCCGTCTCCCTTATTTCTATCTCCCTGGTGCCCACTTCCTCGAATTGAATGCCAGCTCGCTCCTCTCACTGTGCCTCTAATTGGCACGGGTGAGTAATTGGTGGCTGTGCTTGTCTCTCTCCCCGCTCTCTGTCTCTCAGCGCACGTGCGCATTGTCGAGTGGAAGATCCTTGACTATTCATTTGTCGAGAGTGCACGCGCGCGTGCGGTTGGGGGGGAGCGGTGGCGCAGTGGTTAGTCAGCAGCGCACTGCACGGCGAACCCAGCGACCCGAGATCGATTCCCGTCCTCGCGGCCCAAATCAGTGAAGAATATCTGGAAAAAGTCCTTGGGTCCTCCGTTATGTCGGCTCGGCCTCAAATGAGTATCCATTGCGGCAAACAAAATGCGGCGTGGTTCTTGCCCACACCAACACCTCGCTGTGCTGTTGCTGGCCGACAATAATTCATCGCTCACAGCATTTGTCCAACATGATGTGTTGTAGGTCATACGGGGGATCTTTGTTTGTGTGCGCGCGTTTGTGCTCACTGGATGTGCGTGAATGTGTCTATGCGTCCGTCTGTGTGTACTGTATGTCTCTTCTCTTTATTTTGTGCGTGCCTGTGTATTTAGCATGTGTTCGTGTGCATTGCATGTATGCGTTTCTCTGCATGCGTGTGCGTATTTGTGTGCGTGTGTGTGTGTGGGGGGGGAGCGATAGTGTAGTGGGCAATGCGATGCGCTACAAAACCAGCGACTCCAATTCAAATTCCCGCTCATGACCAAACCAGTGCTGGGCCTCCCCTCGATTTACTCGGCCTTAAATGAGTACCTGGTGCGGTGTGTAAAAATAAATCCCGGTGGGAGACAAAGGCGGCCAGGGGTGGTTTTAGTCGCCCACCCCGTCGTGCACCGCGCCTCCCAGAACATCACTTGCCCCAACGGTCTGTTGAGGGCTATACGGGGGATCTTTGTCTTTGTGTGTGCCAGTCAATTCAGTCAGTCAACCCACGCATCGCACACGGGTTTGTCCCGTGGCCTCCTGTCGGCGAACATTCCGACACTTCACGTGGCCTCAAAGTACACCTAGCCTGGCACAGGCGCCGTGGTGACGTCACAGGCGCCGTGGTGACGTCACAGGCGGTTGTTGTGTGCGCCTTCATTCGTTGTGCGAACTCGCCGTGTAACCAAGGTTTCATTTCTCACACTCGATATTTTATTCAGGAACGCTGCTCGGTCGGCTTGCAGTCGGGCTAATTGGCGTAAGGCACTCCTACCGCCGAGTACAAAGGATGCATCTCCATATTCCTACGTATAATTTCACCCTATATTCACATGGTCATATGGGAGAGGGGGGGGTTACGTAAAAAAGACAAATTAATTGGAGATGGATGTGGATAATTAAAAAATATATATATTTCCGAAACCCATTCACCCAGCCTCGTGACTTATCACGACTTGGAGTGGCGACATCCATTCAGTCAATAATCGGCTCTTGGTTCTGTCTCGTCTTTGCCGCGTTCCTTTTCGGCAATGTATATGCAAATGTAACATTTGCACGAGCATGTCATATATTAGTACGCATTAATCTGAAAACATCTATTCACTGACGCGCACACTTCATTGCACGTGTCCTGAAGTGTGAGAATATGTTTAAATCCGCGATTGTATGCGAGTGCTGCTGCTGCTGCTGTTGTTGATGTCTCTGTGCGTGCGATCGCATCTCATGTGCCACGTGGGCGTTGTTGAGAGCACTCGATCGCAACTAGGAGAGACAAAGGCGACCGGGCGTAGTGCTGGCCACTCCACACCCTCGAGTCTTCATAGCTGCTCGATTGCAGCACTTTCCCCAACAGTCTGTTCAGGCTACGGAAGGGGCGGCGGAGATTGGAGATGGGATCTTTGTTGTGCAGATGTGCAGCTCTATTGGTGTGTACCGTAAGCGAATGTGGGTTCGTGCAGAGACCATTTGGGTCATGTGTCGGGGTACGGGCGAGACATCTACTGTCGAGATCACGAAGCGCTGTTGGGAATAGCCTTTGTTGCTGTAAGAACGTCCCAAAGTACAGCGTGTACTTGATTATGCGCGCGCGTGTGAGTTTGTGAGATGTCGTGCGTGTGTATGTGTTGACAAGTGGATTCGTGGAGGGACGCTGCCTCGATCAATCGGTTAATTCCGGTTAAAGTTCCGCGGGTGATGGCAAATAAATAAATAAATCCCCGACTAAGAGTTCATTCGTATTCTTGGTTCTTTCGGTAAAGTCACGTAGACAGAAAACTAAAATCTAAATTAAAAGCAAAAAACCCACGACGTTTCGTTCGCGACACAAGCGCTCTTCTACAGGTGGAGAAGACGGAAAAAACAAGAATATTCATTCCTGCAGTCACGAAAGTCTGAATGTAAGAGTTCATTCGTTAAGTAAAAAAAAACCCCTGCTACCTATAGATGGCGCTAGTTATGATATGAATGTGTTACGACGTTTTATTAATTATTTACCTTGGGTTTTTTTTTTACACGTTTGATCTTCGGCAATGTATTTCAATGAACCTATTTTAGTCAATCCTCCAATTACCGAGAACAAATGAAAGACGCGACTCGCCACGCTGTCGATCATTTGGCACGTTTTGAATACGCATCGTTTATTGTCGGTAGTCAAACGACTGTCACACGATGACATCGTTTCGAGCCGCGTGAGATGTTTCGCTGCACGTGCACTCTGCCCTACCAGGACGGAGTAATCGATGGGCCACCGCTCCACCAGAATTGAACATTCAGGAAACGTGACGAAAGGTGCGCAGTTTTACGCCGCCGATTCCACAGGCACACGCAGTGGGAAAGTCGACAGCTTGTATCGATGCAGGGTATTTGTAACGCTTGAACGGGTTTGAGAATTGAGCGTGTTGAATACCTCTTGATTTGATGATTTCATGTGTTGCCCATTTACTATTATAATGAGCCAAGAATGTGTGTGTCCTGCGCGTGGCGTCACTCCACGTCGGCCAGCCCCCCTAATTAATAATCATGAACAGGTGACGTCCTCCGCATGGATCCCCCCCCCTCATTAATAATCATGAGCAGGTGACGTCACTCCACATGTAGCACCCTCCCCCCTCATTAATAATCGAGCAGGTGACGTCACTCCACATCGGCCAGCCCCCCTCATTAATAATCATTATAAGGTGACGTCCTCCAAATGGACACCCCCCCCCCAATTCATAATAATTAGCGGGTGACGTCACTCCACATGGGGGGGGGGCGAGGCGCCTCCTCCCCCCTCCTCGGCGTCAACTCACAACCCTCACTACAACGGCAGAACCCTGACGTCACGCGGTCTCCGTAACGCTGTTGAGACATCAAAGTAAAAAGGGACGTCATGATGAACAAGGGATTATCACCTTTACATTAAATAGGTCTGTGTCACCGCGCCCTTACAAATTGCACACGAATTGATGCAATGAACATCAAGTCGCGGTCTGCTTTTCGCTTGCAAGTTTCAGATTAAAAGTGCTTGGTAAAAAATATATATTTAAAGCTTTCGTGACTGCAGGGATTCATATTCTTGGTTCTTTCGGTAAAGTCACGTAGAAGGGAAATAATAAAATAATAAAAATAATAAATACTTTTTAAAAATAAAAAATACTTTTTATTGTTTAATTATTTCTCTTCTACGTGACTTTACCGAAAGAACCAAGAATAAGTGATTGGTGGCTTTGCCCAACCGCTCCCATAGACACTCGCAGACGCGCCAACATTCTAGCAGTCGCCTGCCAATCTGCTCGCTGGGCAACGACGAAGGGCTCCCTGTACCCACGCAGTTGTCTGTGTGATGAGTGAAGATGCGTCGCCACGTTGGTCAGTTCGGTTCAGATCTCACTTGGCACCGATAGTCGCGTCCGGGAGTCGAACTTAGCCGGGTTCATAGAGAGCAGCGCACTGCTCCCTCCACGTGTTTACTCAGCCGTCAACCCATGCGGGTTACCACGTGTTCTTGTGCAGGGAAATTGCGGTTTTCAGGTCCATACGGCGTACAAGCCTTTTCAATACGGGGGGAAAAAAATGTCGTGTCCATTTGTTTGAGTTTCTCCCTTGTGATGGGACTTTTTAGGATGAACGTTGAGATGTATAAGGGCCACGGGGTGACCAATAAGGTCTTAATTGGGCTGTAATACGGCAGGTGGCACTGATAAGGGGTTGACAGGTAAGATCTCATAAATTGGCTGAAAACATCCCAAAATAAAAACAATGACAGGTAAGATCTCCTAAATTGGCTGAAAACATCCCAAAATAAAAACAATGTGGCAACAACAACCCGTCCTAAAAAAAACCAAGTCCTTACCACTCAGCGTGGCCTCCCAGGTTAAATAACTACGTCCTGAAGATTGCCAAATTGTGACTCCACGAAGCCAAAGAAACGGAGCCAAAAGCAAAAACATCGACCGCGCCCCGCGTGAGCCGTCACCGCCAAGAATCGATTCACTCGTGTGAATCGGAATCGAATTGGTATTTGCCACTTAATCGACTCCTTACTCATCGGCGGATTCGATCGTCGTCCGATTGTTCGAATCGATCCGCCGTCGTGAGACCCGACGGCGTTGCACGTTTGCCTCTCGATAAGAGGACCGTTGCTAACGAAGAAAGTACGAATGGCCCGCTGTCATATATTTTGTTCCTTTTTAAGGCCACGGTGTTTATTGACGCGTGCTGTTGATGTTTGTTGTTATTTGCGCTTGTACACCAACGCAGTAGCAGCATCACACACAAAGCAAATGTATTATTATTGGTTTAGAAAGCAAATACGCAGATAGACTATATCATTTTATTTGTATGTGTGGAGACAGAATAGAGGGTTGCTTATATTTTATTGTATGTATAGTTTCCCACAGGAATACGCAATGAGTTTCTGTCCTGACTGCATTTTTTGCTTTAACAGGGCCCCATAGTTTAGATGGAGTTATCTTGCCAATAACGCCTGGTGACAGAAGCATTGGTTCAATAAAGCTCAACTCTGCTGAAGAATCCCAGAAAGTCGAAAGCCAGTACCGTACAGAGTTTGTTTCAACAAATGCTGCCGGATAATATTGGCCTGGAAAGACAAGTGGCCCAGTAAACAAAGTGCAAACGTCTTGCTCGCTGGCCATCTGACCTAGCCATGATGTTTCTAGTCCAAGCCCGCTTAATTTTCTCAAAAGTCATGTCTCCACATGCGTAAGTTCTCTGATCCATTTGTTCATTTTCTGTATTTTAGTTTGAATCTAAGTGTACATTTCTCCATGCTTTATGTATTCAGTTTTATGTTTCCATATTTTCAATCCATGCGTCATAGCTGCAAATGTGCACTTATTGAAACGTTTATTTTCTGTTGACACATCCATAATTAACCGTATCAAAGGTAAGACACACAGACTCGAAGGTTGAACCCAGGATCTCAACAGTGCTGACTCAGTGTCTTCGATTAGGACACATACGCAGGGTAAAGGCATCGTAGTGACTTAAAAAAGTGGGCTAGGGCAGGGTGTGTCACTTGATGGGATTTTCCGGTGGTCGAGAATAACAACGGAATAGCATTGCAAGACCATGACAGATGGCGACGGCATGGGAACCCCATAGTCTAACAGTGAATAGATCAAGGCAGATAATGACTAACCGGGTAGTCTCAAATGTAAAATCCTGCCATGTGACCACGGCTGTGGTGTTAATCCGTGTGATCACGCAGACTGTGATGTTATCTGGCTTTATGAGCCACCCACTGCCGTCAGCTCTAATCCCGGATAATATTTTAAATAAGGAAGTAATTTCCAAAAGAGACCACAAATGAAACTGCATTTGGAAAATTACGCAATGTATACATTTTTTCCCCTGAGTTCACCCCGTGTTCCAGTTTTCCAAGGTCAACGGTCAAGCAATTGGACACGTGGGTCAGACACCTTACATTGGAACCTGGTGAGAGTTCATACAATTTCTCATAATCAGCCATGGTCTATCCACTGCTGGGTGAAGGTCGCCACAAGCCATTGCCATTCCTCATGGACCTGCGTTGCAACAGTCGATCGAGACGCCCTTTCTGGGGGTGCAAGACACGCCAGATTTTTTTTGACGGTAAATCATCGCAACACAAATCAAGCACGGGCACGTAATTACAACTACTTTGTTTCATTAAACCTACGTGTTTATTAACATACTTTTTTTGCGATTGAGAACCAAGGGTGCAAGGCTGCAGTAAACGTTAAGAACCACTGATCGAGATCCTGCACAACAGCTGATTTCGCTGCACATTTATCAGCCCCTCCGTTCCTCTTTTTAAGCTCGCCTATTCGCTGTTGCCAATTCTCTTCCCTCGCCTCGCCATTCACTCCTTTTCGTCTTTCTCCTACCCTTTCGTGATGCCGAAGCACCCTCTTTCGCGGTCACTCATTCCTCAATCCTTGCAATCCCCTGCCATCTAAATAATTATATTCTCTCACCGTTCTTTTAAGCACATTGAGTGAAGATAAGTGAAGATGCTCTATAAATATAAAATTTGATTATATTCCATTGCTCCATCTCTGTGTTGGACGTACTTTTGGGATGTGTTCCCTATTTTGGCTGTCACGGCGTCATGAGTCTTGACCACTTTACATCATACCATATGGTGACGTGTCCTGCCCCAGTCCACATGTTTTTCTTAACTCAAAATGATGTTAACTTTTATGTCTTCTTTGATGCATATGTTCCTCTTTCTGTAATCTTTCTCTATACACTTTTCATATCTTTGTTCCATATTAATTGAAGGGGTATATCGTTATGTACCATGTCACGGCAGGTTAATTATACTCATTGATCATTTGTTTTACCTGTGGTATTTACAAAGTTAAAACGTGTGTCCTTACTCACACAAGCATTGGGATGACGCTTGTTTCAAATGGCAACCCAGAGCCAGCAGTGGATAATCCATATTCCTGCAAATAAAATGCCTTTTTTTCTCCCAACAAAGCCTCACTGTATCTCAGCGCTATTTTCAGGAGAGTCCTGCACAGCCCCCGAGCGTATTGGGGGGCTGACCCCCACCTTCCTTTCTAAAGGCTCAGCCCCCCTACCCCCAGCTAGAAATGTTATCGTTGAGTCATAAACATGACCACAAGTGACGGGCGTCGCAGCCTTTCCTCATATACACCGGGTATGAGCGCCAGAACAGAATGCACGAGGGACAAAAACATCATACAGTATATGGGTTACTCGTTCGGTTAAGCGTTTAACAGTCATTCCAGGTTTGTTCAATATGAGCTGTGTTTTGCCCCAGAGCCAAATAAAAAGTGCCCAGGGACACGGGCGTGCATTGGCACTTCAATCCGTGCTTATGGAATCTCATTTTTTATTTTCAATCATTGGTATCAGTGTTTTACCCCCCCCCCCCCAAATACTGCAGGTTTAAATTATGTATTTACATTTTATGACAGTTCTGAGGTCTTGTCTGGTGGATGTTGTGTTTAATTAGGCTCTACATGCCCCCCTCCCCCTTTGTATGTCCCCCTTGAAACAAGGTCAAGCTCTAATGTTTGTCCTGCATTGGGATTGTTTGGCCAATTCACCGAATGCCATTAATGAGTATTTGGGAGTTGACATGTGTGCCCTACGTTAATCACCCCTGAAACACCTGTCAAGCTTCATCCCACACGAGGAATCACGCATTTGCAATCATGAAAGTAGAGCAGATGTTTTGTAGATACAAAAAATAATACTGCAATTTGTAATGCGCACAACAAGTCACAGACATCAATGACCATGGCTCAGAGGCGTGGAGCCAAGCTCGCTGTCCCTCGAAAGCCAAGCGAAAGAAGTTGGGACCTGCAAGAAATAGGTGGGGGCCTTTTTAAGCGTACGGCGTCTTAAAGGTCGGCATAGATTGAATGCTGCGAATGTGCAGCGGGATGATGGCGTGCCAGATGGTGGGGGCAGCCATTGTAGGTTGAATCCTTCTAAATGTTTATGGTCCTATTTGTCTGCATTTAAAAGAGTAATTCGAACCGTACCGATTTTTTTTGTGCAGTCCACTGCTGGATGAAAAAGCCTCCCCGCATGGCACGTTGGTCGCGCGGCTTCGTTTGACCGCACGAGGAGACCCTTGGAAGTTGTCCGACGTTTCTGATACGAGGCCCTGCCCTTTCCAGAGAGCTCCTAGGTCACTGGCACCCAGCCCACACGGCCACACACATCGCTCATTAGTTCACTAGTCACCGCTCATCAATGGTCATGTGCACTGCGTAATGTACGTGTGTCTGTCTGGTGAGTGCCATGAGGCGAGTGTTTGGTGAGTGGTGGGTGTCTGGTGAGTGTGTCAGGAGAGTGGTGAGTGGTACTGGCTGGTGAGAGTACTGTGGCGAGGGTCAGGTGAATGTTGTTTAGGGGGGGGGCATCATAAGAGTGATTAACCACTAAGGAGAGTGAACTTAGGTGGAGCTCTAGAGACATTTGTTGGCGTGTGTCGGTGGTATTATAAGCCGAGTAATGAAAGGTGAATGTTCAGTGAGGTGTGTGTGGTGGGTTATCAGGTGAGTAATGTCCGGTGATTGATAAGAATTGGTGGTATTATCAGGTGATTGATGTGTTGGTGGTGAGTACTCTTATTATCCGGTGAGTAACGAGTAGTGCTGATGTGTGATGAATAATCCCAGTTTAGTATTATCATCCAGCGTGGTATGATCCTGCTACCAATGTCATCGGACGAGCGATGTTTGGGTTTACGTTCATGGGTGAGATTGCCCAAGCCCCAAGCTGGGCTCTGGTTACCCACTGTGAATGATTAAACCACGGGGTCGTGTAAATGGAACCGCTGCCCCGCAAAGCGTTCACACCGAGGCAATTTGTTCAACAGCGCAGCCTCACAAAGGAGCCTCATTGATGCCACATCCATTATGAACGGGCTACCAGGGTCGCGGAATCGGAATCTACGAAGTGTCGCGACTCTCATCGAATCGATTACTTAATTCCGAGTTTAGCGAAGGAATCGACGCGTCGATTAAAGGGGTTTAGGTTTTAAGGAATCGATTCGTGGGTGTACGCGGATACGTGGAGGTTGTTGTTTGTCTTGTGCAGTCGTTTTGGTTTCGTGAAGTTGTCTTGCTGCCTGCTGCTGCTGTTGTTGTTGTTGCTGCTGTTGTTGTTGTTGCTACACACGGAGAGAAGAGCGTGGTCATCTTTCCTACCTCCACGAGGCTTATTCTCCGACCTCCCGCCCCGGGCGAACGAGTCTCGAGGGATCGTGTGGACGTCGATCGAGGTGAGCTCCGTGGTTGTCGACCACGCCGCGTTGTTGGACATCCCGAGTCTTTTATGTTTGTTGTGTTATTGATTTACCCCGCCGGTCCTGCGGCGTTTCGTGACATACACGGTGTTAGAATCCCCGAAACGGCGAGCGGCAAACATCGCCGCTTCTGAGTTGCAGGAGGTAATGAGTTCGTTAATTTTGTGTTTACAATTGAGCAAGATTCGTGTTTTTATTGCGAGAGGTTTCGTGGGGCGTGGGGGGGACGACGACGACGAGACGATGATGGAGTGGATCGCAAAGTGGAGCAAGTGCGAGGGAAGGAGCAGAGAGAGGGAGACATTGGAGGAGTTCCGTGGCCTGCGGTGTGTGGGATTGAGTGGGTGACGGAGGAGGGCTTCTCCACGCGTATCTGATGATGCTGGTGGTGTTGTTGTTGTTACAGGCGAAGCGTCACGGTACTCGACTTGTGAATGTTGTCGTGGGTTTACTCTGCCAACACACACTCGGTGTGCTGTACTAGCGATACGAATTGGTGCGTTTTACTTTAGGTGACGGCTTTTACATATTTGCCGTGTCGGGTGGTGGCGGGTTTAACGACACATTTATATTTACGCTCTCTAACACAAACACCTCTGGATAATATTGGTCGCGAAGTTGGTGACTAGGTGAGTGTGCGGGCGAGCGAGTGGATGAGTGGAGGGTGTTGTGGCCTCTGTTGGTTAAGCACAGTATGGATGAGATGAGCCAGTCTGGAGGACCCGAGTCCTCAACGTGGTTCAGGGAAATCGACGAGTAAAGTTCACGTGGAATATGAACCAACCATGGTGGTAGTAGCAGCTGTAGAAGAGTGGCAGGGAGGCGAGTGACCGCCGGGTGAGTGATTTGAACGGTGGATCACGAAACAACCCGCCTGTTTAAATTGGACATTAAGTCCAGCAGTGAGGCACAGCTGAAATTTGTGGTTTGTACGGCAGGAATTGTGTTCGTATAGCAAGCAGGAGTACACAATTGTTCAGATTTGAAGACGAAACGCTTTGGCACAGGGAGGGAAACACAATTTTCTTAGAGATTCCTGACTTAGTCAGATTAGTAACACACACAGCCCATTCCATGGCAGGTCGGATGAGATTTGCTGTGCCAAGCAGATTCATGGTTTTGGAATATCATCGTGAAATGTGATGTACTGCACCGATATGTGTATGTACGGGCCCTTTTGATATCCCACTGCCCCGGATGAGGGGGCCTCCACCTCGCTGTGAATTTAATTCAGGTCGTGGCAGGCTTCATGACCATACTTCACCATGCTGGTCTCGTCAGTAGCGTGATAGTTGAAGGCTCTGGAGTGTAGAAGTACGGTACAATAACGTCGTTTGGCCCACTGCCCACCACGTGGCAGCCTGATAATCAACCTGTTGGGCATGGTGGTCCGCCCATTCCCAGTGTGGAGGAAGCCTTCATCCAGCAGTGGACACGGCATGGCTGATGATTAAGAAGCAGTTGCGTGTGTGTGTGTACACACGTGTGTTCGCGTTTTCCTTCGCGCGTGTGTATCAACAGAACAAAGTCTATAAAGCACTGTGTATACAGAGTGGTGGTTAAAGTTGGCTGTGTATGATGGTGGTGACAGTTCGGGGAACAGGTGGGGAGAGGTGGATGGGGTTAGGCTTTGGTAACGTCGTATCTGGGAGCAAGTAGCAGTAAGCAGTTTGCTAGGATGAGCTAGCATGGTGCTTGGAAACCAAAATACTGTAACAACAAGAGACACGATTTAGCATGGGATCTTTTTGGCAGTATCAAAGTATGAAAAATAAGTATAGGTTTTTAGTTTTTACCCTTTTTGGCAATACTGTACAATTGGTGTTTTTGTGGTCCGCCCAAACAGTTTTTCTATTGTGAGAAAGGGTAAAACATTCCTATTTTTTCACAAGAGATATATTTTTCGAATTTGGTACATAGAAAGGGGAAAAAAATCCACTCGATGTTTCAAGAGGCGGAATTCAAGCGCATAACCTCATTAAGCGGTCCTTAAAGCTAGGGAAGAAGAGAGAGAGATTGATCTTAAGGGATGAACGGAAGCAGGTTGGTGAAGATGTATATGAATATACATACATAAACAGTGTGGTGTACTGACAGTATACGCTGCAGTACATATCAATGTACCACTATATAAACCAATATATTACTGTATATGTACTGTGGTCGATACTGTAAGTACACTTTATATGCACGTCTGCACTGTTTTTGTGTGTATACAATTGACATGCCGTGCGTTTAAGTGGGTTTCTGTAGCGTAAGATATTCGTACACACATTGTACATTGCGTGTACACGTGTGCATGTACTTTATACACAAAACCATTACTCCAGCACGATGTGTACTTTGGAGTGAAACCCGTGTAAATTTAGGCAAAAAGCACATACTGTGTTTGCTATACACATTAAACTATACAACCATGCATACGAAGCACACGTGTAAATGCACATCCTATGTTTGTGTGCGTTTGTTTTTGTATGTATTTATGCGTGTACATTAGTGAACATGTTTCGTTTTCCTTAAAGGGATTGCGTACTGATTGTGCCCACTACCGGGTGGGTGCAATCTCGCTCCTTTGTGTTCCGGGAGGATGGGTTATGCAACACCATCGTGTCCACCGTGCCTCTTGGGCAGGGGTGGGGAACGTCCGGCCCGCGGGCCGTATGAGGCCCGCGATATCATTTGGTGTGGCCCTGCCAAGGCAACCGCAGGTGGGACTCGAAATTCAATCAATCTAGGAGCAAACCTGGAAAAGCAGTTGTGAGTAGCAGCAACATCATCAATACCAGCTAACATCACACACCTCACCCAAAGAGAAGCAGTTCCAGCCATCACATTAGGGGTGAGTTAATGAAATGTTTGAGCAAATATAACATACTCGGGCATTTCTTCAGGACCTACTTACTACACCTCTGCTTTATTGACCTGGTCATTGCCTATACAAGGCCGTACTCAATCGAGTAGGATTTTAACTTGTATTTTTGTGTTTTCAGGGTCATTGACTCTCCCTTCATGATCGTTGAGGACATTGTTGATGTGGGTGGGCCCAGGTTAAAATTGTGTGGCTAGGAGTCAGAGTCATTCACGGTGTACTTAGGGGGTGTGAGAGGAGTTATTCTCTTGGCACCTGCACTGTTGCATACTGTATACAATACATAGTTCGATAAATCTTCTCTGACTGTACAAGTGGAATTTCCATCGGGTGCAGATATAATGGGAGGCGACTAAGAGATGGTTCCCTATTGGTCAAGAGTGAGATGACCGAGCCAACGTACACTGCAGGGAATGTATTATCGAGCATTCATTTATGTTTGTGCAATATTTTCGATTTATCATATGACACGGTTGTTTTTGCTGTGGTTTCTATATCCTTCATTGCTATACAGTATTTTATATGTTTTACTTGTATCATTTTGGTGGTCCAGATCACTCTTGCAAATGAGAGTATTGTATCCTGATCTCTTGAGTTCTCACCTGATTAAACAAAATACACTTGAAACTTGACTTGATCATATTGCTGAAACTGGAGCTTGCCACAAAGAGGTGGAGCCTCGACATCAGCCCCACCAATAAAAAAACACACGCTTGGTTATTGTGTCCGTATGCAGAGCATCCGCTAATTCCGCACAACTTTCATTGGTCTATTGGTCTGGATACAGCAGAAACAACCACAACTCAAATGGGCAAGCTGAGCCATATTTAGTATTCGTAAAGTTCAATACAATAGCTCAACACTAATTGGGCGATTAATAAGGAGTATTTAGGAGTCTCAGGACTTAAACAAAATATATCGATATTCAAGCCGCCAAAGTAAGGAATAATATTTTGAGATGTCAAAGAGTAATGGGAGAAACGTCCCAAGCTGGATTGTGCGCTGCCTTGTTTAATGGGCTCAGTGACACATAGGTTAGGCACATGGTTTCACGTCACAGATGCGCACAACTCCCCATGGACCCTGGGGCAGGTTTACCCACAAAAGGTGTAGCACATTTCAATAATGGCAACAACAATGTGGTCCATTCACAGGCAAGCGTCACCAAGTCTCGCGGGTAGCACTCCAAATAAGCTGCTTTTTGCACATTTTACAAAGTTATAAACGTTTGAATTGCATTTGACGTTTATACGTCTTCTTATGGTATTATTCCCTTAATGGTGGGGGTCTGCCTTCCTGGTCCTCTTCTCCAATTATTTCTGTCCTGGCCATCCCCACATCCATTCACGTGTCCTACATATCTTAGTTCACCACATACAACCACCAATGCATAGGCCTACCTCTTGCGCTCCTCCGCCTTAAGTGCTTCAATTTTCATCACCTTCTGCCATGGGTTTCCTCTTCTTACAACACATCCTGGCCGTCTGAGTCGACTTGCATTCAGCTCGTCTAAGATGTGTAACTGCTCTGGCCTTTTTTCTCGTCTGTTCTAGTGTGACGACATTTGATTATGACATTTAAATTAAATATGTGTAATACACATTGCAATGTTGCTGCACGGCTTGAGTTTGCATCACAGAGAAGAAAAAAACCATGATGCATGTGCGGTGAAGGAGTATTCATGTAATCCTCCGGGCCAAGTCCGTGGGCAATTAGGTAACGTTTACCCAGTAACGTTTTTGCATGTGCTGAGAATCGTTGGACCCATGTTTCCGCTAAACTACAGTTTGTAGTTTAAATTTGTTTTGGAAATAAATAATGTGCGTTTTTTAAAGAATACCATTTTTTACGATTCGAATTTGAAAACTTTATGGAGTTTGCAGTACCAGGTTTTTGTCCAGCACTTAAACATAATTTAGCAGTTAAAATGTGAGGCTCTACTTAATGCATAACCAATAAATTACTCATGACTTCAAGCCGATGTTGCCGAGTACTCCCTTCGGGTGGCCCTGATTAAATATAAAAGGCAGATAATGAAAAAAACATGTAAATTATGCTTTCAAACTTACATATTCAGAATCAGAATCTTTATTTAGACTGGAGGAATCCGATGAGCTATGAAGCTCTTTTTCACAGATATCCAGTATGGTGGGTTCAGCAAGTTACATATTGTTGATCGATGTAGGATAGCAGTGGAGGCATGGAATATTATTGTTAATCTTATTGCTCTTCTTGCCGACTTGCTTTTGGTCACATGGGTGAGGAGCATCCAATAGTCAAACCGCAATGAATGTTAAACTATGAGCACGGATAATCCGCCCGTGGAAAATCTGTAGATTTACACCTGCCATGCCAAAGTTGGAGGGCAACTTCCTCAAATGCGCTCTCTTGTAAGAGTAATGCATTGCGATATTTTGCATTTTTTTTCTTGTGGGAGGAAACAGAACTGCCTGTAGAAAATCCATTTAACTCGTATGTGCATTTGATTTGTGTTTCTTCCTTTGTGCGTGTGTATTTGTGTATGTACAGTCGATCGATTATAATTATCTGGCGGCTTCGAGGGGAAGGGAATGCCGGATTTTCAAAAATGCCGGATAATCGCATCATGATTTAAAATAGCTTATTTTTGAACATTCTCGCATCACCTTGTTTTTAGGTGTTGTGTAGATGTTTTTTTGTGTTTTGCATTTGTTAGCGATATGAAATTGGCATAAACTTACAAATAGAAAAAAAAATCCCAATGTATTTACTGTTCCGTACTTACCACTCTAATCTCTAAGACTCTGTATGGGGTGATGGACATAGTACTACTACGTTCTTGTTTCAACGACTTGTGTTTGACAATCGCCGGACTGATGCGAATGCCGAATTATATAACCCACTTTTCGCCGGATCGCACTGTATATTTAGTTTTTATTACTGTACTATTATTCATGCAAAATGTATACACGTTGCAGTATTTTCATTGTTTAAATTATTGTATGTATTGTATAATGTAATGTATATAATATTTGATACTCAAATCAAGCATCGCTACTTTTTTTATCATGCACATGGTGCCAATCACCAGACTGGTCCAGCCTTTGGAGCAGTTTTGCCTGATCGGCCCGAGACCGCAGGAAAATGTTGAAAGGCGGATAAACGCGCGCTGGATAATCGATGATCAACATTATTTGATTATTCGATGTGTGTTTGTTGGTGTGTATCAATGCTTGTTTGTGTGTATGTGATGCAAATGAGTTTATGTATTTTGTGTGTGTTTGCAGGGGACATGAGCTACCCAGGTTACCCAGGCGGTGAGTACTGATCCTCCTATAATAATTAATAGGGCTTCACGATGAAGGTTGTTCGGTCCACAGAGCTGCCCAGTAAATGAGCTCTGTGCCACGGAATGGAGTCATCGCCATCATGCAACCACTGACACATATGGTGGTGTTGTAATAAGGGTTGTTACTTTGTACAGTACATCCTTAATATTTGCGAGGGATACGTTCCTGGAGAACAGTGCAAATATGAATACTTAAAACTTGAGGAAAATAGGGGTAATGGGGCAAAAACATAGATTACGATTAAACATAAACATTTTCACCATATTTATTGTACAGTATTGTGTTATTTAACTTGCCTTTAATAATGATGAAAGTAAATATTTTAAGGTACGAAATGAATACATAAATAAATATTATACAGTAATTCCAACAAATGGCAAAGGAAAGCATTCGCGTGTAAGCGGTGCGGCAGACTAAGGCAGACTGAGTAGAGCATCGCACTTCCGTGCTCTCACGATGTACGCTTCTGCTCCCATGCCTCGCGGATTCTTGTTGGGTAGCGGCGTGCTACGACCGTGAATATCTAAAATACAACCCAGCTCTCACGATGTACGCTGCTGCTCCCATGCCTCGCGGATTCTTGTTGGGTAGTGGCGTGCTACGACCGTGAATATCTAAAATACAACCCAGCAAAAATCCAATGCCACTCGAATAAATGTCGCGAATACGCAAAACCAAGATTATAAAAAAAATACCCGCAAATATTAAGGATTTACTGTCGACATTCTAACAAGATGTTACAATATACATTTTACCATATTATTATAGGGATACCAGTTTCCCATAAGTTTGTAATGATATTTCACATCTTTTATTTTTTTGTATGCTTTGCTGTCCTTGCAGTACGAATAAAGATTACTTTAAAGTTTCTCAAACGCAATTCACACATTAGCCCTCTACATGTCTTCTAATCATCGCAACTTGACAATATATTATTATTTTAATGCATATGCTGCCAGTTACACCATAAATAATACAATCATCTTAAATAGTTTAGTTTTGATGCAAGAACACAAGCATGGTTAATGGGTAATTATCGCTATTTGGTTAGGGTAATCTCACAGCAGAGCACTCAAAATATGATTTGTTTTACAAAGTCTAATGTAGCACAGTTGTAGGTATTATACGGATGGGGAAAACTCCCAAGTGGGAGGTCAGTGGGTCAAACAGCTTCCAAGTTATGGGTCATCGAAGATTGACCTTTTTCAGGTGCCCGACGATTCGTTTGGAATGCTCTTCCTTCCGATATTAGGAAGCCACTGGAGCTATGCACTTTTAAATCTAGACAGAAAACGCATTTCCTTCAAACTTCCTTTAGTGTTTAGTTTGATGTCCTTCTCCACACTTACGATTAGCACGGTCGGCTACATAAGTGCAAAAGAAGTTCAACATACATACATTACAAGTCTGATTCATGAAGTGACGAGATAAAATGAAAACATTAGAAATGTCTGTTTCAGCCCTTCCCAATCAATTAAAGAAATGCAAGATATTGTCTTTAAAAGTTAATGGTTTTGTGACCATGACTGATAAAAATAACCAGCTTGGATTTTTTTTTTTAACTACTGTGTGGGCATAGATTCCCTAGTGCCTCGGCAACATGGCTATACAAAAAAATCAGCTGGACACTTAATGTACTCCAGAGTTGAGCCATAATGTACATAAAAATAGTTTAAACAACCAATTATTAATAAATATGAATATTCAATGAATGGCTGCTCGGGACAAATATTTTCTGTAGATTGTAGGGAGCGTCGCTCGGTGCGCGTTAGCTTGAGAATCAGAACAGAGTTCTGACCTTTGTTTATTTAGATGGTTGGAAAAGGTTGACATACATTTTCATTGGTGTCTTCGTATTCTATGCAGCTCCAAATATAATGGAGCTATGACTCGTAACATTGACCTCGGGCATCTGAAAAAGGTCACACCTTCAATAACCCATGATTTGGTAGCTGTGTGACCAACTGACCTCCAATATGGAATTTTATGACGCCTCTACGGTACTTACAATTGTGCCAAATTTCACAGACATTGGAGGTGGTCAGATGTCGAGCCCGAGTGATTTACTTAACCTTGTTGTGTCATCGTGGAGTGGTGTGAGTTTTATTTGGTTATGTGCTTGTTACATAGAGTGAAGTGTGTTTCATTTTATGTGTTATGTGTAGTGATTTGCATTATGCACGTGTTGTTTGTATGTCGCGTGTGCTTGCTACATGTTGGCGTGTTTCATATGTTGCGTGGTGTGGTCCGAGTGAGCAGGGTGGGGAGCCCCTTCCCAGCCTCCCATGGGATTCCCAGATATGGGGAATTTTAACATCCCAGCTGGGTTCAATCCGGCAATCACCAACATGGTACCAAGCAGTGGCCACACCACTCCATGCTGTACTACAACACACCACCTTACCACACAATCACACACCACACTGTGGCTCACCACCTCATACCAAATCACCCCAATGCCGCACCATAGCATACCAAGCATATGCCATACCATACCACTCATAACCATGGCACAATGCTACATCGGACAACACACTGCCACATCGCACACCACCCCATGACACACCACACAATACCACCCCATTCTGCACCACGCCTATTCTGTAACCATACCACGTGACTCTACATCACTTCCACATCACCCTATATCATGCTACGCAACACCACATGCAAAAGCATGGGGTGGTGTCACTTGGAATGGTCTGAGAAACATGCTGTGCCTTGGTGTGGTGTGGAATTGTATGATCTGTGATGTGGGATAATGTGATTCATGGTGTGGCTTATTGTGGTATGACAATGGATAACAGTACTCTCTGGTATGGCATGGTATGCTGCAATGTGGTGTGCTCTACACAGAGCAGACCAAGGCAGCAGGCTGTTCGCCACTAGAACTCTCGATTGTAATCGTTTAATGATTATTATGACTTCTGGCTTCCAAGTGTTTTTATCCTCCATCACTCGTAACACCACAAAAACCACCACGAGTAATACAACTTAACGATAATTATCACCACCACTAGGATCACCGTCATCATTAAAATATATATCACTCTCGCTTCCATGACTACTACCGCCTTCATCGCCACCACCACCATCATCACTGCTACCCCCGCCACTACCACCACTACCACTAAAATCACCACTACCATCGTCATCACTGTCATCATAACCATGACCACCGCAAATAATACAACTATCATGACTACCGCTGTTGCTCTTCTCTCCAGGCCGGGAACCTGGCCCAGAGTGGAATGTTTGGCCCGAATCCTGCAATGTACCCTCCTGGTGGTCCTGCCGGGATGGGCTACGGGGCCCCTCCCGGACAACTCCCGTACGGCGCTCCACCAGCTCAGCCGTACGGCGCTCCACCTGCTCAGCCGTACGGTGCTCAGCCCTACGGTGCTCCACCAACTCAGCCCTATGGGGCTCCACCGGCCCAACAGCCATATGGGGCTCCACCTGCCCAGCCATATGGAGCTCCACCCGCTCAACAGCCATACGGCGCTCCACCAGCCCAACAACCCTATGGGGCTCCACCAGGCCAGCAGCCGTACGGAGCTCCTCCAGCCCAACAACCCTATGGGGCTCCACCAGGCCAGCAGCCTTACGGAGCTCCACCAGCCCAACAACCATACGGAGCTCCACCAGTCCAACAACCATACGGATCTTCTGCAGGTGGGTGTGTTGGCAGGAGGGGCTGTTACCGCTCTAAATAGTAATGGCGACGGGTTTGATAGTGGTATGATGGTAGTCTGATGGTTTAAGGGGTGATTTTCGTTGTGGCTTAACGTATGTATGTTGAACTTTTTTTTCACCGCAAGTAGCCAACTATGCTAATCGGAGGTGCGGTAATTTAAAAGTAGTTTGGCGGTAGTTTAATTGTAGATGGTGAGACCAAAGCATCTTCAATGTATCCATTCGTTTTCTGCACCAATCTTGCAGACTAGATCTTCATTTTTGTATATGCAGTGGCTGTGATTTTAAGTTTTGTAATGTCTGTTTTTGTACCTTTCTGTTTCTTGATTTTTCTGCAGGTCTGTCTTTCTCTCTGTGGGCATACATGTATAATAATAAACAGCTCTTTGCTAATCCACAGCCGGATGAAGGCCTTCCCATGCTGTTTCGGTCGTGGGGGTTATTTGACCATATTTCACAATGTTGGTCAGTACGAGCTTGTGAACGGGGCGCATCAAGAACCAATTGCGTTATCACTCCCCATGAACGTTAGGCCATGACTGGGAATTGAACTCGGGCCGCTGGGTTCAGTGCCACCCCACCAGCATCTCATCATCATCACCAGCCATGATCCATTTCACTGCTTGATAAAGTCCTCCCCATGCCATCGCCATCTCTCGCTGTTTTGCGAAACAATGATCCATCTCGCTTCTCAACCCAAGCTAATGTAATCACTCCACCTCGGAGGTGGACCTTCTCTTGTTTTCTCCTTTGCCTGCTCGCACTCACTAGTCTCGACCACTGCTGTTAATTCCTTCCAGCAACGTGTCCTGTCCAAGCCAGCCTATTTTTCTTAAGTCAAGCATCTACCCATACACGAATGGATGGCTTTTGACATGTACTTTTATTGAAGCCACAGTGTGGTCCCTGTAAGATTATAAAGCACAAACATTGGTTGAGCAGTATTTGGAAATTAGAAGATAAAGCCTATCGGGCTAGAAAGTGTATGTCACTTACCTATCTGTGCTACAAAATGTAGAGGCATCCGACATGTCTGCAAACACATCAGAGTGACGATTTCAAGTTATATTTGGCATGGCGTTAAGCCCCGTGGCAATGAGTGGCAAGAATGACTCATTGTTAGATCCACACACCCTTACCATCCCCACATGCCACTTTTTCCATCCTCACTCATTACACAGGTGCATGCGTATGTCCAGCACTCCAAATAGGGTTTCATAGTTGAGTAATTCACATTTGCATATAATTATAATTAGCATGAGTTATGCGAATTGTAAAGAATTCTCAAGCCCATGCTTTGATGTGAATGCCTACATATTGCTCTTTAAACTAAGCATAATCCTTATTTGTTCTCTGATCCATGCATTGCTGTTTCTGTCTCTGTAATTCCAAGCATCTACCTCTTCCTGTGCTACTTTGTCAGCTTGTGTCCGATTTTCTTTGTCATGAATCCAATTGCGCATTCAAAACTATCTGTGATGGTTTAATAGTCTTATCTTAACGTACAAAGAAATAAGAAGTGTACATATGCATGTAATGATGGAGATGAGGTGAATAAAATAGATGAGAGGAAGTAATGTGCAAATCTGTGATGCGTGAATTAGGTAAAAGCAAAATTTATGAAAGCAAATGATGGTGAATGGAGAATGAGTGGTGGCCATGTAATGAGATTATAAAGAGGGAGCAGGAGCGTGGTAGTGGTTACGAGGGGGCGATGGGGTGAGCTTGGGAGAAAGGTGAGTTTTGAGGGAGGAGCGGAAACTACTGAGCTAAGATGACGCAAAGCAGATACGTTACCGATGCCTGTGTGATGACGCAAAGGTTGGCCCTCTCCTCTGAATCCTTTTTGTGGTTCGCTCCGGTGCTGGCTAGTCATGCAGGGTAAAACCGGGAAAATTCAACTGAGACTCCCGCTGGCTGGTACCAACGATCACCCGTGGCAAAGTTGACTACTTTCACGCCGTTCCGTCTTGAGGTGGCTGGGTGACCCAGAGGTCGGAATGCAGAGCCAGCAAGATTATTTTAGACCTGTGGTTAAACTGGGTTTTCAAGTGTAGCAAGTTTCTGGTTTCAGCCCGATCACCAACGACGATACAATCAAATCATTGTGTTAAATGTGATTTTATGCATAATGTAGCTTATTTCCAGCTCTGAGAATTAAAAGTATCGGTTTGACTGTCATATGACTATTACTGACAGTGGGCAGAGCAGACGAGCAAGTGTGACTCACTATGGTGTGGCCCAGAGGTCACCTGACGACATCTCAGATATAGCTCTGTGCTATATGAGAATAAAAAATTAACTCTTTGTTTCATACCTTTGTACCGCTAACACAAACGGAGGTGGGGGGGGGAGAAATTGCTCCGTATTGATGACGCATGTGATCATGTCGCTCGCTTAACGGAGTGACCGCAGTTGACATTTGCGTCATCTCGAGTGAGTGTAGGTACACACTGGCACCACAGTGTGTACGTGCACATCTGTATGCGCCCATGTGCCTGTGCGGTGAGAACTTGCCCCAACAGTCTAAAGGCTATATGGTCACATCTGTCTTTTGTGTTGCGTGTGTCAGTCTCTGTGCCGTGCATGTTATATGCTTATGTTTATTGTGCTTGGGGAGCAAGCTTGCAGTGGCTAATGGTTAACTCCAGTGACAAGTGATATCTGGACCGATTTTGGGCCACTCCTAGGAGTATACTTGCCCTTTAAAAAGTCCCTGTTGCAGTGTGTAAACATCAGCACTGGGGAGTCAAATGTGGAAGGGAGTGGTGTTAGCCACACCAATTCCTTACATGCCACACTGTCCTAAATATGTGCTCATTTATAGCACTTGCACCTTCTGTCTCTCAGGCCAAACATGGGATATTTGTGTGCATGTCTACTTGTACATGGTTTTGATAAAGATGTGTATTTGTGTGTGTGTGCAGGAAGCCAGGGCGCCCAGCCAGCACCTACTCCGTCCACCATTACCGCAGCCCCTGTGGTGAGGCCTATGTGGAACAACCGTCACACCACCCAGGCTGCTGGCAACGAGAACATTGGGATTTCAATTTTTAATCACAGTTTTCTAAGCACAGCCCCGAACACAAAGTGGCCAATAACAGAGGGGGCATTGGTAATACAGCAGATATTGTGCACAACCACAAGCCCCAGGGTCAGCCAGAACAGCCAGAGCAGCACCAATGAGTGACAAGACATCTTGAGCGACACTTCACCCCCAATATGGATTGCAATGCACTTAGACCTTGCTTAACGCTGAAGATGAATTCAAGGGGAACCACTAAACTAATCGGCGCTAGAAGGGGTCATTACACCATTGTGTATATGGGGATGCGTTCCCGACAGCGTTATTTCTTACGTATGAGAAATACATGAGGGGACTTCATTGGGGTTATCGTTAAGAGCTAATAATGCAGATGGTGAACATTTTACGAATAACATTTTTTGTATTATATCAGTGAGTATTATGTACTGTACTCATGACTCACATCCACCTGATGGTCACGTGTCCTGACGAGCCTTATCACTTGCATTTAACATCCAAATTTATGGCCTTTTTTCATACATTATGGGTCTAAAATGCTTATAAAAAACACACAAGGCAGAGAGAGACTAAGGTGGAGTGTTTTTTTTAACTGGCCAGCGCTGCTTGGCTCACAGCGTACGGCGATTTCATTGGCTGAGAAAATGTAAACAAAGATGGCGGCGGGTGCGTTTTCTTGGCGCTGCGTCTTCTCAGTCATAAACGCTTTTTGGATTTTCTTAATTTTTTTTCACTCAAAAAATGTATCCTGGACAAAGAGCGCTATAAGGAATCAGCATTCTTTGGGGTAGCTCGAAGCTTGGTCTGCCTGTACAAAGCTTTCGGGTTGTTTACCTACATTAATTTCCAGCACCAAAGTGTCCATCGGTGAGCATTTTTCCAGTGTTTGCTGATGCATTGCAGCTTTATACATTACAAAGTGGAATTCTGTCTTGTCTAAATGCAAATGCATCTCAAGGAATGGTGGGCATATTTAACAGGTCATTAAGTAAAGTTGAGCCTGAAATTGAACAGGGGAAAGGAATCCACGAGTCTCTGCAAGTCTGTGGGTTTTTATGTATGTCTGAGGGTCTCTGTTAGTCGGTGGGTCTGTTGTGGCTATAGAACACAATACTACATTGATTTAAGTGTCTAAATGCAACCACATTTCACAACATTGTAAAGAAACGTGTTCTTCTCGAGAGTAAAATCGTAGAGTAAAAGGCAGAGTAGGAAGCGAAAGGCTTGAGAAGCCAGCTTAATGGAAGGTGACTCTTATGTGGATTAAACTCAGGATTTCACTGGGGTCAGCTCATTGCTTTGACTGCGCATTAGTCTGACAAGCCACCTGGTCACCTCCAGGAATATGTAAATAGACCTTTATGGCATTCCTAATAGCCACAATAGTGATTAGATTTCCAATGAAGGGATCGTACAAAAATGCTTCTTATTTTATGTTTTTCATCTATTACATTACCCATTCTTACTCTTTGCATCTCAGTATTTTAACTGCTCCTAGTGGTTTTAAAGGAAGCATAATTTAATATCCTGCCACTGGTTGTAGATTGACATTGAGAGCTGTTTTGTGATTTGCACACAATTGTATTAAAGTTGATAATTTCACATATTTTAACAAGACTATAGGGCGGAGCAGTGGCACAGTGGTTAGCACACTGCACTATTAACACAGCCACTTGAGTTACATTCCTGGCCACAACTAACATCAGTGGCAACATCAGTGGAATGTGGAATTCTCGCCACTCGCTCAAGGCCACAAATAGAAATGACCACTACCCAATGCTCACTAGAGCAGTAAGACAGACTCATTTTGACAAATTCACATTTCTCAAACAGGTGAAATACTGAAATACATCTTTTTGCCTTTCATTTTGCAGAAGAAAGGACGGGGCACGGTTAAGGAACAGTCGGGGTTCAATGGTCTAAAGGACGCGGAGACGCTAAGAAAAGCAATGAAGGGATTTGGTGAGTTGGTGTGTGTGTATAGGAGATGCTTGTGTGGATGTGTGTATAGGGGAGCGGTGGCGCAGCGGTTAGCGTTCTGCGCTACGAACCCGGCGAACCGAGTTCAATTGCCGCTCATGGCCTGAACCGGTCCAGGGCCTCCCCTAGGTGGGCTCAGCCTCAAATGAGTACCTGGTGCGATGTGTAAACATCACCACTAAGGAGACAAAGGTGGTTGGGCGTGGTGCTGGGCACCCACCCCCTCGTGTACCGTACCGGCCTTCATAGGTGCTCGCTAACAGCACTTTCCCCAACAGTCTATTAAGGCTAAATGGGGATCTTTGTCTGAAAGACATGTGCGTACGAGATGATTGAGTATATGGTAGTGGTGAGGGATTTGTGTGCGTGTGTGTATAAGTCTGTGTCTTTGTTTGTTTGTGGGTGTTTAACAGCCATTCGTGTATGAGATGAGTACGTGTGTGCGTGTATGGGAGAAGTATACGAGAGCTGTGTAAATGTACACGTGTGTATGCCCGAGTTCATATTCCAACATCAGTGGTAAATGTCTGATCTGATCCTAGGCCTACCCAAGGTCGACTCAGCCTTAGTGGAGTACCTGGTGTGGTGTGTAAACATACCCCCTCGACTTCCGCGCTGGCCTTCATTAGCGCGAATAACACTTTCCCCAACAGCTTCTGAAAGGCTGCATGGGGATCTTTGTATTTTAGTGGGGGAAGTGATAATAGTGGCTCACCCACTGTACTTCAATCCTGATAATCTGGGTTCAATTCTCAGCCATGGACATCAGTGGCGAGTGATATCCGAGCCTGGATCGGTTCACCCTAACATTAATATCTGGTGCATTGTGTAACCATCAGCACGAGGGAGATAAATTCAGCTAGACATGGTGCAGTCTATGCCACCCCCGCATGTGTTATGCCAGCCTTAATAAGCACTCACAGCACTTGCCCCAACTGTTTTCACCTTGTCTAAACAATGGTGAGTGCAAGTGATGGATCTGCCAGTTAGACTGGTCTATTAACAGATAACACCAGGATCTATCCCGTGACCTCCTGCCAGTGAGCCTTCGGCACTTGTTCCAGGCTAGTGACAAAGGATTCCTCCAGTATAAATAATCATTCTGATTATTTTCCTAGCTTGGCGCAAGTGCCAATATTTGATCATGTGCATTCAATTAGATTTGAATTTATTAATCAGTGCATCGTTATATCCTTACCGGCCACACCACTCCATGTGCTGTGCTGGTTATAATCGGCTCTTTCTAAAATTAGTATCCCCGAGAGTGTAAGATTAAATGGGGGACGTTTGTGTACACAATAGTATATACTATAATAATAGTATATACTACTATAATAGTATATACTATAATAGTATATACAATAATAGTATATACAATAATGGGGAGCGGTAGTGTAGCGGTTAGCGCGCCGCGATATGAACCTGGCGACCTGAGTTCGATTCCCGCTCACGGTCAACATGAGTGACGATTATCTGAACCGGTCCTGGGCCTCCCCTCGGTCGACTCAGCCTCAAATTAGTACCTGGTGTGGTGCATAAAAACATCGCCACTAAGGAGACAAAGGCGGCCAGGCGTAGTGCTGGCCACCTACCCCCTCATGTGCCGTTCTGGCCTTGATAGGTGCTCGCTAACAGCACTTGCCCCAACAGTCTGTTAAGGCTATACGGGGGATCTTTGTCTTTATATACAATTTTACGCACGTTTTTCTGCAAGTGTAAATGAGCATGTGTGTGCGCACGTATGAATGTTTATGTTGTGAATGTGCGTGGCTGTATGCGTGCGTGCTCAGGCACGGATGAGAAAGCCATCATTGACGTTCTCACAGCGCGCAGCAACAAACAGCGGCAGGAGATCGCACTCTCGTTCAAGACGGCTTATGGCAAGGTACAACTTTCTCGCCTTCTCCCCACCATACCCTCCCAATTCTCTCCTTTCCCCCATTTCTCACTACCTACTTCTCCCCTTCAAATCACATCCCATGTTCTCATCTTCATCTCTCTATTGACTAATATACACCCCGTGCCTGGACTTGATCCCAGAACTTTAACAGAGCTGGCTCTGTGGCTCTGATAGAGCCATTATGAAATTCGCCAAAAAAATGGAAAAATACGTAGACCGCTGGCTCAGTGGCTTAGACACCACCATTATGAATGTAGTTGGAGGCATGAGTGAGTTAAGGTGCATGGTGAGTTAAGGTCCCTGGTGCATGAAGGTAACTGGTAAGTGAAGGCTGCTGGAGAGTTGAAGGTTCCTGCTTTGCCTACAGGACCTGGTGAAGGAGCTCAAGTCGGAGCTGTCGGGCAACTTCGAGTCGGTGGTGGTGGCACTCTTGGAGACGCCCACGCAGTACGACGTGAGCCAGATTCAGGCGGCCATCAAGGTGACAGCACGGCGGCATGTGGGGGTGGAAGGGGGGAGAAAGAAGGGGTTGGGAGGGATTGAGAGGATCGGGAGAGGGGGTGTGATGGAGGAAGAGAAGGTGGAGGGATTAAGTGGATGGGGAGCCCTTCTGGGGACCCTATTTTTACTGAGGGCCAAATATAGGATTTCCCAATTCCTTTAACCAAACAAGACAAAGATCGCCGATGCAGGCTTAACAGACTGTTGGGGCAAGTGCTGTTTGCAAGCACCTATAAAAGCCAGCACGGCACACGACAGGGTAGGTGGCCAGCACCACGCCAGCCCGCCTCTGTCTCCCTAGAGGCTGATTACACACCACACCAGATACTCATTTGAGGCGGAGTCGACCTAGGGGAGACCCAGGACCGATGTTAAGTATGAGCGGAAATCAAACCCGGGTTACAGGGTTTGTAACGCAGTGCACTAACCACTACAATACCTTTAACCGGCTACATTAGCACACACACAACCTAAGTAACTTCTGTCACTGATAAGAGACCCTTGCAGTGACAGGGCCTCTTACAGTGACAGAAGTGGCCGAGCATGCTACAATTTTAAGTGTTGATACCAGGTCAAAATGATCACCCTAATATACCCAATTATTACGACTAAGATGCTTGTAGTAACAGTGAATATTGTGTACGAACCGTTTCAAAGTGGTGGCCATAGGCTGCATGAAGTGAAGTCACAGGCCGTAGTAGTAGGAACCGCACCCTTGTTATAGAGGGGGTGCAGGGAGAGAGAGAGAAGCGAGATGGATGAATGGAGAGAAGGCAAAGGAGATTTGTGTGGTATGAGAATAGGTTTTCCCCTTTTTTCTGGCAAAAAAACACTTTTTTAAAAACACGCTTTTATGAAATGTACTAGTAATGGCAGAACTCCACGACTCTAGGAAGTGGACCCGAAGCTTGCCATAACGTAAGGGACCGTGGCCAATTACAGCCAACGTCAGGTGACCGTGGACAATTGGACCCAAGCCGAAACATAACATATAAAAAAGAACGTTTAAATTTTTTTTTTAATGATAGAATATAGTATTGTCATCAGTATGACATGTATACCAAGTTTTCAGTCGATACCACGTTGGGAAGTGGGTTAAAATGGACTTACAAGATTTGAGGATACAACAACGACAACAACAACAACAGACAGAGTGAGTTAAAAGAAAGCGTGTAAAATGGGGGAAAACCTATTCTTATATTTTGGTACTGGCAAAGGAGGTCCCATAATTTGTGTGGTATGTATGGTTTTTGTTATTTTTCTTCATTATAGCACAGGGAAGTTTGGTTAAACACCCCTATAGGGATGCTTTCATCCGGCAGAGTGACAAAAGGCTTAAACTTATTCTAATTATATGTGAAGTGGGTGTGGTGTATGTGTATAATGGTGTATGCTAAAGGTATCGGGTGTGTTATGTATATTGAACTTTTTCGCACTGTACATAGCCAACCGTGCTAATCGGGGGTGCGGGGAAAAGGCAAATAAACACAAAAAGCAGTTGTAAAGAAATGGGTATACGTGTGTGATGTGCTTGCAGGGTGCCGGCACAGATGAGGAGTGTTTGATTGAGATTCTGGCATCAAGATCCAACAAGGAGATACATGAAATCAACAAACACTACAAGTCAGGTACCACACACATACCCGTACCACACACACATACCTCACTGATTACACCACACACCACTTAACACAATATAACACACCACATCTAAATACACCACAAAGGAAATAACACAAGCATATAAAGCACATCACACACACACACACCACTCACAAAACATACGCTACATGGTGCACATGATTCTTAAGGAGTGGTGAATAGTGAACTAACGAGCAATGCCTATGACCGTGTGCACTGGGCGGTAGTGACTAAACGGACGCTGGAGCAGGACATCATGTCAGACACGTCCGCCAACTTCAAGCGTCTCCTGGTGGCGCTGTGTCAGGTGAGATGCACGTGCACACTTTCCACACGTACTTTACTACACAAAGATCCCCCGTGTAGCCTGTAACAGACTGTAGGGGCAAGTGCTATTAGCGAGCACCTGTGAAGGCCAGCACGGCACACGAGAGGGGGTGGGTGGCCAGCACCATGCCCGGCCGCCTTCGTCACTCTAGTTACGATTTTTACACAACGCACCAGGTCCTCATTTGAGGCTGAGTTGACCTAGGGGAGGCCCAGGCCGGTTCAGATAATCGTCACTGGTGGTGGCCATGAGCAGGAATCAAATACGGGTCGCCGGGTTCATAGCGCAGTGTGTTAACCACTACACTACCACTCCCCCACACTCTATACATACACACACGTGCCAGTATATACACGCTTTTAAATATTCGTAGGTGCTGCTTGGAAATGTGCAGACGTACACACCAGCAAATGTGTGTACACCTGAACGCACAAACGCACGTAAACATACAAAAACTCTACATCATTAGATCTCCTTTGCCAGTACCAAAATATAATAGGGTTTTTCCCCTTTTTTCTGGCAACAAAACTGAAACCTTTTGACGAGGAATTATGTCTGCATTAACCACAATACTTGTGGTCAAAATGCAAACAAAAAACACACTCTGATAATATGTGCATTGTCCTTGAAACTGATTGGTCCACACCAGAGAACTCATCTGGGGAAAAACCCTATTCTTATATTTTGGTACTGGCAAAGGAGGTCTAATGATGTAGATGATTACCCCGAGCCCTCATTACTTTGATATTGCATTGTCTTTGAGCTGTACGCCTTTTGGTGTCATCTGGTCTAGCACCAATTGAGACCAGGCTCAAAAGAAAGCCATCTCTGGTGTGGACCAATCAGTTTCAAGGACAATGCATATATTATCAGAGTGTTTTTTGTTTGCATTTTGACCACAAGTATTGTGGTGAATGCACACATGATTCCTTGTCAAAAGGTTTCAGTTTTGTTGCCGGAAAAAAGGGGAAAAACCCTATTCATACAAAAACTAAGACAGTGTTTTGGGAAAATGCTGTTCGGGAGACCCTATTAAGGCAGACATGGCGCAAGACCTGCTGGTATGGCCAGCACCATGCCTGGTTATCTTTGTGTCCCTAGGGCTAACATTTTAACATAGTACCAACTAACTTGTTTGAGGCTGAGTTTACCCAGGGAAGGCCCAGGATAGATCAAGAAATCACTTCCCTCTGATGTTAGCTATAGCTGGGAATCAAACGCATGGTTTATAGCACAATGTTGGCCCCCTTTGTATCAAATCAGGTTTGCCTGTCATGTTTAATGATGGTGTCCCTGTGTCCCCACCTCTCTGTATCCCTGTGCGTCCGTTTGTCAGGGAGGCAGAGATGAGAGCACCACGGTGGACATGGCTCGCGTGCAGAAGGATGCACAGGTGCGTATCTACGCAAACTTCGAGCCTCAAAACCTCGAGCTCAGGAAGAAGGCCAGGGTTTGGGACCAGTATCTTGAGATTCTGCTCCAGGGGATTGGATGTCAGGGTTGGTCGTGACTCAACTCCATATTTCACGAGCAGTGTCTTGAGACTTGGCTCAAAGAGACCAGGTTTCAGGATAAGTGTATTGATGTTCTCTTATGAAAGCGTCAGTGTCTGCACTTGATAACTCGTGTTAAAACCTCACAGGACCTCCTGGCCGCAGGGGAGAATCGCATAGGGACAGACGAATCACGGTTCAACAGCATCCTGTGTGGACGCAGCCAGGCTCACCTTCTCAGGGGTAACCTCACCTCTCTCACCTCACCCTCCTGACCGCTCACCACATTGCTGCCCCAGAACACGCACCGTGAACACTGACCTCTTAACGTTAAACCTAACCCCCTGAACCTCAACCCTGAGCATTAAAACCTTCCTCCTAATCCCTACATTTGTGACCCTTCACTGCTAACTCTTCAGCTTTTATTTCAAGGTAGCCACTGCTGGAGGAAGGGTCTGCAAATTATATTTATCCATTACTGCAAGAATATTAGCTGTGCTAATCAGACACTAGAAGGGACTTTGGGACCTGGCAACACCTTGTTTCTAAGTTGAGCACAGTCACTTCCATCACTGCAACGGCCCCCTTTGTATTATTGACATGAGCGGTGTTCCCTTTGTTAGTATTTAATGTGTAGTTGCCTGCCAAAGCTCTTTGAAAGGCCTACAGATATGTATATGTGATTGTCCACCATTGCCGACCAGCTTCATAGCTGATGAGGTTCTTCCAGCTAAAATAAAATATGTACAGGTAGTCCCCGAGTTACGACGGGGTCGTCGTAACGCATCTCCATCGTAAGTAGAGGACTACCTGTACACTGATTTGGCGCTCAGGTTTCCCCACCCCCTGCTATAAACCCAAGTATTTAACAAAACGACGTAAACCAATGATGGATTTCACACGTGGTACTGTGAATATGGTGTGAGGAAAAGAGACCCCTTGTGGAATGCTTTTCCATGTTTGATGTACGAGGATGGAGTAGTGGTGCAGCGGTTAGTGCACTTTGATACAAACCCGGCCTACCTGGGTCCGATTCCCAGCCACGGCTAAAATAGTGAGTGATATCTGATCTGGAGCCTGTCGTCAATTGACTTTGCTTCAAATGGGCACCTGATGCGGTGTAAAAACATCCGTAATGGAAAAGCAAAGTCAATGTTGGCGACACTACCGACACATGTGCTGTGCCGGCCTATGAGCTCACTGACAGTACTTGCCCCAACAGTCGGTGAAAGACATGGGGGATTCCTGTCTCTGATATATGTAATGAGGGCATCGATGTTGCCTGCAGTTGAGTCTTAAAATGTTGTACAGGGTGTGGTAAAAGTTGGGAACCATAGCGATTTCAAGACTGCACTGTTTATATTGTTTATTTAATACGAGTAGAGTGTGCTAAGATGCATGTGGATATGTTGAGGAATGTTCACGCACCCGATAAGAAACAGATTGGGACATATGTCCATGTAAATAGTGCACAGGATCATCCAGTGTAGGGATGCGTGGCTCCCAACTGTCGTCACACCCCGTGACAGCTCCGTTCTTCTGCCCTTTGTACTTGGCTTCTCTGTCTCTGCAGTGTTTGAGGAGTATGGCAGAATCAGCAAACACGACATCGAGAAGAGCATTAAGAGGGAGATGTCTGGCAGTGTGGAAGATGGAATGGTGGCCGTGGGTAAGATGGGCTCACCACAACACAGAATGGCACACTACCATATACATTCATACAATTAACAGTATTACTCACTTAAATACATTCACACTTCTATATACTCACCTACACCATCATGTACATGCATACACTACCATATACTCATTTAACTTGGAATGGTTTTCAAAGGTTATTTGTCAAAGCCGAAATTCATGACAGGAAATTAATTTAAAATACAGGTATCTTTACGAAAGCGGTATTCTTAAAAAAAACGCATAAAACTATTTCGTAAAATAGAAATGGCTTTCCCCATTAATTTGATTCTAAAAATAAGGGATGTTTCAGACCAGTCATTTCAACACCTAACTTAAAAATATACACTAATATCACAATACAAAAATAATAATAATAATAAAGAACAAATATAAAAATGATTGAAGAATTATTCATTAAAAACAAGATTAACCTTTTCGGGGAAAATCGCCAAAAGATCTGCATATTGTAATTACCGGAGAGGTGATGTGAAGGTGTTCCTGTTGCACTGGAGGGATACCGTGACACACAGCCTCCGGTGTGTGCCGTGTGACCTTTCAATTATGCGGAAATACGATTTTGTTCATCTTAAAGTGTCCATAATGTCAATTACGTGAACCGAATCTTCATTAATGAAGGAATACCTGTAATGTTGATATATGTTTGTCCATTTGTCGGTTTCTTCATTCATGTGGTTGTTTGTGCATGGATTTCTTTTTGCATGATTGCTGTACTTGTTTTATGCCAATGCTTGTCGTTCTGGTGACCCAGTTCACTCTTGAAAATGAGAGACTGATGATCTTTTAAGTTCTTACCTGGTTCGACAAAACACGTGAAATGCTAACATTCATTAACATATACTCATATTGCCAAAAACTACTATGAACACACCAATGCATACAGGTATCCTCGGATTTACGAATGTTCGAAATTTCGCGTTTATGCAATTGACAATTTATGGACACTTAGATTCACAAAGTCGAATTTCCGCATTTACGAAATTTCACGGAAGGCTTCCTCATTAATCCACGACTGTGTCACGGTATCCCTGCAGTGCAACAGGAACGCCTCCACCATCTTTACAGTCATTCCAACATGCATATCTTTGGGCGAGTTCCCTGAAAATGTAAAAAAAAAATGTTTTTAATGAATCATTATTCAATCGCTTTAATATTTGCTCTTTATTATTTTTGGATTGTAAAAAGTGATCCAGGTGAATAGTTTCAGGTTAGGAGTAGTTGGAATGACTCCAGAACACATCGCTAATTTTTAGTATTACATTAATGGCAAAAGCCATTCCGTTTAATGAAATTTCGTTTGAGTATCTTTTTTTTAATCGAGGGTAACCTATATTGTGAGAGCTAATCAAAACAACCATGGCCACACACAAAGAGTGGTACTTCAAGGGTGAGTCTTTAGTACATTTTATTAGGGGAAGGGGGGGTTACCAAAGTTCATAGCAATAGATTGAATCTGTCAGGTTAATAACATTGTTTATCCCATCAGTTGAACTATACACGTGCAGATTTTTGTTCACATTGACCCCACCTCGTGCGACCTGACAATTTGACTGTTGTATTCATTTATCCTGCTGGTGAACAAAGGCGGTAGGGTGAGTTAAGTAATTATTTTATATTGTTTCAACTATCTAGAGATGGAATTTAACCATTGACCTTAGAAATGGAAATCCAGTATGCTAACCATAACACTGCTGCAGCTCCCTTCATTTCTCCCCATAAATGCAAATAAAACAAGTTTAACAACCATCCTGGATCCCAGTATTTTCCAGAATCACTGTCATTAATATACCAATACCCCCCTTTCTGCTCCCCCCCCCCCTGTTCCTTCCCCCTAGTAAAATGCTTACGGAACACCCAAGGGTTTTTCGCGGAGAGACTCTACAAGTCCATGAAGGTACAGCCACTATATTGGACGTGCATTTCACACACTTCAAAGAGGTGCCATTGTAGTTGTGTATTTGTAATTGAGGTTGTGCGGGTGTCATTGTCTTAACTGTACAGTTCGGTTGTGTTTGTGATTGTACAGTTGGGTTGTGTTTGTGACTGTACAGTGGTGGTTGTGATTGTGGTTCTCTGATCGTCCTCAGGGCTTAGGCACCAAGGACAGCACGCTCATACGCATCATGGTGTCACGCTGTGAGGTCGACCTCTTTGACATCCGCCGCGAGTTCAAGCAGCTCTATGGAAAGTCGCTGTACTCCTTCATCGCCGTGAGTGCCACCTGTGGTCATTGACATCAGAGGTCACAGTTCACTTTAGTTCAGAAGTAACAACATCCACTGCTGGGGGTCATAAGTCAGCAAGTGTTCGCCAAGATAAGTTAGCACTTGTGGGTTCACAGTTGGAGATTCGAGGCCACTCCCAAGGTTCATGGGTAATCAAGGTTAAAGGTCCCCAGAGGTCAAGGTTCAATCGGATGCAAGCGTGATCTTTGGAGTCTATTTGCTGGGGTCATGTTTTATCATTCCTGGGTTTACAGTTTGTGGAAATCAGAGACTATCAAGCTGTGTAAGAGTTGTTTCCCTTTTGCCTCTGTCTCCAGGGGGACACGTCCGGAGACTACAAGAAGATCCTGCTCAGCCTATGCGGCGGAGAAGATTAGATGTTCAACCTCTCCTTTCCCCACATTTCCAACCCAATCTATCTCCCAATACATCTTATGACAATCCAGCTTCCATCTCCCTGCATGTCTATCCAAACATCTCTCTCTCTATCTGCCAACGTGTCCCTCCCTATCCCAACCCAGTCTGTTTTCTCAAAGCTTCTGAAACCGTCTCATCTCCAAATACTCCAGCTACCAACCTTCATCTTCCAACCCACTTCTTTCCACCTCTCCATACCTCTCACTTCTCCTTTTCACCTCTCACTCCGCGCTTTCCCTCGCACTTCATCATCCCATGATAGTGCACACTTGTGCCAGGGTGTGCTTTGCACACAAGAGGTGCCACTGCCTCGAGTAGGACGGGGGGAGCTTGTCTGCTGCTTACTGTGCCTACGGAACGAGGAAGCTGTCTCTTTGTGATGATACCGTTTGGCCACCGTAAATTATCACTGGTATTGCAGTACTGTAATCACACGTTAAATTAGGTAAGTGCCCGAATTATTATGCCACATGCATGGGTACGCATGCGCACAGGATCGTGTGGATGAACACTTTGCCATGAAACACATGTCAACACCCTTACACATACAAGATACGTGTACAAATAACAGCCTTAAACATGTCTTTACACACAACAGCCTTGCAAGTACAACGGCACCATTACACACAACTGACTAAAATAAGACATCCTATATATAACTCAAGATTGTGTGTATGGATATCATCACAATCCGTGGAGGAAATATCCCGCAGATGTCCATTGCACATTTTGTCATCTGTATAGCTATGCACACCTTTTAATACAAACACACGGCTATGCCATAAAGCCTTAGATTTGTTGGGGCAAGTGCTACAACTGTGAACAGCTGCTCTTGTTCTGCACAGCGAGGCCACAACCATGATCGGCTGCCTGTGTCTCCCCAGTTCTGATGTGTACACACCTACGCACATACTAACTTTAGACTTTGCACCTAGGTGAGACCCTGGCAGGATTATCACTCGCAACCGCTGTAAGCCGTGGCTGGGAATCAAACTTTGGTCACCGCATAGCCTTAACAGACTGGGATAGTGCCGTAAGCGAGCACAAATTTGGACCCGGCACCCGAGGGGGTGGCCAGGCAGCAGCACGCCGCCTTTATCTCCCCGTTGCTAATGTTTACATCGCACTGGGTACTCATTTGAGGCTGAGTCGACCTAGGGGTGGCCCAGGACCAGTTCAGATAAGTCACTGGTAGTGGCCGTGAATGGGAATCGAATTCGGGTAGCCGGGTTCGTAGCACTCCTGCGCTAACCACTGCGCCACCCCTAAAACAGATACATTTAAAAAAAACCCTACCTACACGCGGCTATTCAACACCTTTAGACTCAACACACATGTACCGTGTATCACAAATAGCCATATACACTAAAAAAAAACCGATGTTGCCTTTAATACAAAACATTCACAATACCACTATCACAAACGCCATACACGAATTTGTCTTGAATGTGCTTGGAATGTAATGAAATTATTAACTCTACAACATATAAAGCTATATATAGAATAGAATTATGTAAACACGAGGGCTGAAATAAAGGTTCTGGTGATAAACAGATGTCGCCTACGTGTGGATTTGTCCGTGCCATCGTATCAGTGGGGAGCAGCAGTGGTCTGCGCACTGCGATACGAACCCGTCCACCCAAGTTCGATTCCTGCTTCGCCCCGCCCACCTCACCTCACCTGCAATCGCCACGTGACTCCAAGGTGCGAGTCACGTGAGTAGCGGAAGGGACGGGGTCTAAAGCACCACCCATCGCGCTCTGCACGCCACTCCTAGGCGGTGGTCGTCGGCGTTCTGATTTATTTTTACGTTCCTGAGATCCGCGCAACACATTTTTCGCGCCCCCCCCCCCTTAAACTTTTGATTCGCTTACCTTTCCTATACTTTGCGCAAGTTAAATGTGTGCGGTGTATGGTGGCGAATTGTGACATCACCCGGAATCCATTCGATCACCCAGTCATAACTTTATGACCCTGCGCTTAACTTTGGCATCTGCGAAAAATAGCTTTGTGGCTCATCGCATTCCTCCAGTGTGAATAAAGATTCGGACTGTGACTCGTATTGGCCACCAGGGGGTTAGAATGTCGATTTTTTTTCATGCGAAGATTTTTTGGTAGAATGTCCACACTTAATTCCACGTAGAGCAAACTAAGCTCACAAACACAATGTAAGCAATTCACTCTTCTTTAAAAAATAAGCGATGAAATGTTGGTCTCTTTTGAACAAATCTAACATCCAGTATATAAGTAGTTTACGTGATAATCTGACAAAGATACCCCTGTTCATATAGCCTGAACAGACTGCTGGGGCAAGTGCTGTTAGCGAGCACCTATGAAGGCCGGCACGGCACACGAGGGGGTGGGTGGCCAGCACCACGCCCGGGCAGCCTTTGTCTCCCCAGTGGCGATGTTCTTACACACCACACCAGGTTACTCATTTGAGGCTGAGCCGAGCTAGGAGAGGCCCAGAACCGTTTCAGATAATCGTCACCGATGGTGGCCGTGAGTGGGGATCGAACCTGGTTTAACCGTAGCGCTAAACACGACACCACCGCTCTATTCACATCCTGACGGCAGGGGGCACTACAGAAACACCAATATCTGTGCCCCTGAACAATCAATAGAATTGTATTACACTTGTTAAACATATCTTCCAATAATAACCTCTTACGGATGATATTGGTCTCAAAAGCCTTTCTTCCAATGACATGCTATCTCCCAAGGCTTGATTTTTCTAATTATATATTTCCCGTAACGTTGCTAGGCTTGGCTTGGAGTCGGCATTATTGGCGCAAGGCACTGCCATTAGAGAGTAAAACTTAATTCCCGGAACAGCGTTCCAGACTTGCGGCTGAAATTAAGCAGTGGGTATCAGCTGTAAGCTAACGTGCAAAAGCCTACGTACACTTTAAAACTGCCTACCACGTCACGATGGGGGAATCTAATCGTGACATGATGTGCCTTACAGGCTTTATTTAACGAGGTTGCAGAGCCCTGAGAGGTCACTAAGACTCGTTAATACTTGTAGGAACCTCCTGGTTACACCAGTCCACAGGGGATTATTGTGTCCGTCGTGCAGGGAGGGGCTGGGTGGGGAGGGAGGGAGGGGCTGGGTGGGTGGGGAGGGGAGGGTGGGGAGGGGCTGGGTGGGGCGGGTGAGCCTGGGTGGTGAGGGGAGGGTGGGGAGGGGCTGGGTGGGGAGGGTGGGGAGGATGGGTAGGGGCTGGGTGGGGAGGGTGGGTAGGGGCTGGGTGGGGAGGGTGGGTAGGGGCTGAGTGGGGAGGGTGGGTAGGGGCTGGGTGGGGAGGGTGGGTAGGGGCTGGGTGGGGAGGGTGGGTAGGGGCTGGGTGGGGAGGGTGGGTAGGGGCTGGGTGGGGAGGGTGGGGCTGGGTGGGAGGGGTGGGGCTGGGTGGGGAGGGGCTGGTCACCCCGTGGTGCCCTTATAAAAACTCAACGTTTAACCTTCTCACGCCGGCTTGTGCCCGTCCTCACAGTCGGGCATATTTGCGGAATACTGTACACCACGCCGCCGTTGACCCTGGCCATTGACCGAGCAACCCAACGTTCCTACCAGCTCCCTCCGCAGGAATGTGTTTCCTGATGTTCTTGTATCAGCTCTCGAGTTCTGAGGCCAGGGAGTCATGGATCCTGTTCCTCTTGTTGTAACAACTACCGTTGAGCTCACCTCCAGCGTTCCAATAAAATACCACCAGCAAGGCTCCCTTTTCCTCGTACAAATCCTTCAAATTTTTGTATTTCCCCACCAAAATGTATATCTGTGTGTATATATAATATTTCACTTCAACTGGAACAGTCTGGAACCCATTTGCGGGAATTTGCCACGCCACATCCATATCGCCAGTGACATATGATGGTGTGTACTCTAGTGGTAGTGCCTTACGCTGGTAATACCGTCTCCAAACCAGCCTGTACTGAACTCTCTCCTTTAAGCTCCAAAATCTATAGACGATCCACACAGAACGCCACCACAAATGAAATCGCATCACCCTACTCTTTAGACCTCCCAGCTCCAAGATCACACTCACTGCGTATTCAAGACTCGCCACCGACTCTCCCCCACAGCAAGCTGCCTCTCCCATCTCATCTCGCCTCTACTCCCTTTCCGCACGCTCCACCCACCCCCACGGCCTTCTCTCCCCTTAACCCCCAAACCCTATTAATAATAACGAGCGCTTTCAGATGGGCGACATTTATGCAAATTGCATCTCGCATCGCTGCACAATCCGCAACACACGGAGGCGCATATAGATGAAGATGTTTTTCAGCCGATGAATGAGTGTTTATTACACGTGGAAGGAAATCGGAGCACCCGGATAAAATCCATGCGTGCCAGGGGGCAACACTCGAACAGATACAGATCAAACGGATTGATGTTTGTGCTATGAAGAAGGGCCATTGCTTGAAAAGTCGCCTATTTTAGATATTTTTTTGTTAAAGCCACAGACGTGTTATTGACGAATGTGCCGATGTTGTTAATTGTGCAAACACTGCCAACGCAGCAGCAGCATCAGCTTCCACGAATAATCTAAGATGGAGCTGGATTAGTCCCCGCTTGGCTGTTCCGTCGCATCCTGGCGAGCCAGGGCATGGCTCCTCCACGCACGGGAAGGGAGTTTCGTAGCATTTGTGTGACCCACCAACCCTCAAGGTAACAACGCACAGAGCTCGATTGCAACCCAAAACCCAGAGCCTAACCCCTCGCCGCTAGTTCTTACTCCGACCCCAAAGAGGTCGTTACATTTGCAGAAATTCAGCGAATCGGGAAAGGGGGGGGGGGCGGATTGTTATACCCCTAACCAATTTATGTATAGCATGCATAATGGTTTAAATGTAGGGTTGCATGGTTCAGATTTCGTAGACAGGATTGGACCCCCCCACCCCCCGACGTGCGTTTACATTCCGTAGCTCACATTGGCACAGCGTAGTCACGGCTGGAATTCCCACCACGCATTGGGCAGCGTGACGGTGCCCCTCGTGTGCATTTCCCAGATCGAATTAGCAGCCCAATTATAATTTTCACAAAATAATAAAATATGTAACGGAGGCTGTGGACCGTGACGTTGATTAAGCACGGCTATTGAGCGAGGGTACATATGCACTCGGCTAAATATATACACACACACGCGTTTATACATACATACTGCACACATACCAGTGGTAGCTGGTGGCTAAAATATTCGGATTTTTTGGGGGATTGGGGAGAATGACGCAGCTGACTTCAGTGGCGTGTGATATCATCTGAACCAGTCTTGCTCCCATCCCTTCACCAACCATCTTGAGAGATGGCAGCAGCTGGAGGAGTCCTTCATCCAGCAGTGGATTGACCATGGCTGATGGTGATACAAATGTCTAATAAAAGTGTAGCCCCCCCCACACCCCGTCTGTATCTACGTGTGCCTGTGTGTTCAAACCCAGCGACCCGAGTTCGATTCCCGCTCACAGCCAACAACACCAGTGACAATTATCTGAATCGGTCCGGGGCCTCCTCTAGGTCGACTCAGCATAAATTGAGCACCTGGTGCGGTGTGTAAACATCGCCACTAGGGAGACCACCCGAGTTTTCAAAGTCAGAGGCGGGTAATTGTTTCCTGGGGAATATTTAGAAATGGAATGGACACGGTTGAACGTATTTACCCCCGACTGCCGTGCCGGGAGATGGAATGGAGCCAGCGAACTTTAAATTGGATTGGAGTGCTTAACCATGACTCTAAAACAAAACTAAATTATTTTGATGTTACCAGGTATGGCCCACTGAGCTATTTTTCAGAAGCGACCTGGCCACAAATGATAGTTCATCGAAGTGGCTTATCATACGGACATTAATAGCAGCCAAATACTCTAAATGCATGCTTCTAAATGTGGAGGGAAACACCGGATGACCCGGAGAAAAATCCACGCGACCATGCGGAGAGCATGCCAACTCCAAATAAACAGGCGTCAGAGTAGGAATGTAACCCAGGCCCTCCTACATACCTGGCGATCGAGTTTATATCTCGACCCCGCGGCGCCGTTACTCCGTGGCAGCTCCCTGCATGCACACGTGTGTGTGTGTGCAGGGAAGTGTCTCTGTTTGCGGTAGTGCAGCGGTTATCGTGCAGCGTTTAGAATCTGACGAATAGAATTCAATTCCCGCGTTTGTATGTATGTTTAACTTCTTTCGCACCGTACGTAGCCAACCGTGCTTTTGGTAAATGCAAGTGACGATTATCTGAACCGGTCCTGGCCCTCCCCAAGTTCGACTCAGCCTCAAATGAGCGTTTTGTGCGGTGTTTATACATCACCACTCGGGAGACAAAGGCGGTCGGGCGTGGTACGTGTTACCCACCCTCTCGCGTGACATGCCGGCCTCCATAGGTGCTCGCTACCAGCACTTGCCCCAAAATTATGTTTAGGCTATACGGGAGAGTTTTGTCTTTATATGAGTAACTCGTCGCCTGCATCTCTTACTTCATATCGACTTGAGCGTCACACTCGACGGGAGCCAAATCACTGGGTTCACTGATGATGAGGATCGTATAATTTAAAAGTGATTCG